GTTTAAATCCCGACATTACACTAATATTAGGATCTCCTTTGTACTTATGTATAAAAGTACCTTCCTTTCCAAGTGTAACAACGCTGCCTTTAAAACCACTTGATTTGTAGTCTATTACATGTATGTTTCCATTCCTTGTATCAGTTATTTTCCTTGGATAAGTAAACAAAGGTCGATTTTCTTGATCTAGTTCGTACACAGTCTCTTCTTGCCCATTAGCGTTCATTACTAACAAAGCTTTTCTTCCTGTTTTCTTTCTTTTGCCTCCAATTATGACTTTATCTTCACTGGTAACATGGATAGCAGAAGGGGGAAATTGTTGTACTTCATATATAGAGTCGGTCAGCTTTCCAGTAATGCAACAGATTTGTTGTAATCTGGATTTTCCGGTAGCTAGGAGAAGATTATTGGATGCAGTGAGTGCCATACCATAAATTGGAAAGATAAATTGAAATAATATGTTCAATTTATCACCTTCTGGTTTCACTTTCTGCAGAATTTCATATTTGTTATCAGCTATCCACAGTGAATCGGTACATGGAAATAAATAACCAACTCTGCAAAGTTCAGTTTGGTATTCTTTATTAATATTCAAATCAACAGTTGGGTAATCATACCAGTTTTCATTACTTTCTAATTTACCAAAATGTGACAAAGAAATATCGTCTGGAATAAAGTTTGCTAAAACGTCGAAAGTAGATTTTGTTTTTTTCTTTTCCTACATACATTTTTCTGTCAATTCCACAAACATTATGAAAGAAATCAACAATATTAGCTGTATAAAGGCAGTCCTCCAGTTCATTGTATTTTCCTTCAAATTGTTTTATATTTCTTGATAAAGCATCAATATTTTCTCCAATACTAATTGAAATTTCATTAAATTAATAATTTCTTGGTGTTTGAATATTGCTACAAGTGGTTTACAGATGGATGTGTATGGCAGTTGAGGTTTATTTCTCATAAGGTAATGATTGAAGTTTTTAAATGACGGGAAAGGGGATGAAATTCATTTTTCTTGACATTGTTAAACTGTTAGCATTTAGAAATTATTATTGATAATTTAGCAATTTTAGGAATGAATGATGTAGATGAAATGAATTGCAGAATAAAATTGTATCTAAGTTAAAAGGATAATAGAATTATATTATTATGAACTGAACATTTTAATTTTTTTTTGCAAGATAGGATAATAATATGGAACAAAATTGTGGCATGCTATTGCGCATGAATTGGTAATTTTGGTTTATGGGATTGTAATTTTAATTGGTTGGGATGTTATTTAATTAGATTTGTGAATTTGTGGTTAGAATTGTTCTGAAAGTGATCGATATCAAAAGGTGACAATAATGTTGTGTGTTGAGTGGAATATCATTAAATTGTGGTTTAAGTTATTTCACTTTGAACAGAAATGTCAATATGGAGGAAATTGTTTTTAAGATGATGTGGGAAATGTTGAAATAATTATTGAAGTGGATTAGTATATTTGAATGAGAATGCTGATAATTTGATAATTTTGGTTATTCATCTTTTTACCTATTTAAAGTGCAGTAGACAATTGATATGATGTTATGGAGGAGGTTATTTTTCATTGTTTATTTGTTTTAAGAACGACTTTGATTGTTATAATGTTATTTTGAATTATTCATATTTATCTGATAAATTTGTATGGAACAAAATTTATGTGATTCTATTTAGGGGGAAGGGGGGTTACTGCAATGCATATCATTATCATTGAATGTCTAAATTAGTATTTGTTGGGTATATAGACGATGCAATGAAAATATGTGTTAGGATGCATTAAATGTAGATGCATTGGCTAAAACTTAAGTTGTGTTTTAGAATTGAAATGTTTATGCTCATAGAGGTTTAAAAGTTATGGACAGAACATTACAAGAATTGCATTTTGTGTGGGCAAATGTAACTGATTGGAATTTCATAATAGGTTTTGTAGATTTAGTCAGGAACTTTGTATTACTGGTAACTCTTTAACAATCTTAAAATAAAACAATGCATAAACAATAATCACTAAAATTAATATATCTGACTCAGCAAAATTCTTAGTAACATTTAAAGATAAAATGACAGCTTCTCATTTGCATATCACCTCAAAGATAAGACATAAATTACAAGCTAAAACAATGTAAGGGAGGTAACTCTTAATGAAAAAAAAACAAAAAACAAACAAATGAAATTGATCATATACAAGCAATTCAGCATTGCAAAAACCCCTACCATTCAGTTTTTGTTGAACTCAAACAACGTTTAATTTTGGACCCTTTGGACCTTGATGTGGACCAATTTAAAAAATTGGTCCAAAATCCAAAATCTAAATACATTATTATATTCAGCATATTGGAATCAATCAAAGTTTAGTTTTGCACCCTAATTTGAACCCACTTGAAAACACGACCCAAAATCAAAATTCTAAATACACGGTATGATTAAGCATATCAAAGAACTCCAATATTTCAAGATTATCTAACCCCCATTGAAAGAAGTCAGAAATAAGCAATTCAAACAAAGTTTTAAAAATTGCTTGTTTTGTACCCTTTTTTGGCCCTAAATTCCTAACGGGATACGGCCATAACCCCCAAATTCAATCCAACCTTCCTTTTGTGGTATGGAACCTTGTGGTACAATTTCATACAAATTCATACACTTGTACTCAAGTTATTGTCCGGAAACTAGAAAAATGTTTGCTTTTGGCCCCTTTCTGTCCCAAAATTCTTAAAGGATTAGGACCATAACCCACAAAATCAATCTCAACCTTCTTTTTGTGGTATGGAACCTTGTAGTACAATTTCATAGAGACCCATACACTTATACTCAAGTTATTGTCTGGAAACCAAATGCCTTCGATCGACGACAACTCCATACCATTATACAGCCGTAAATTTTTGCGGGCGTATAATAAGGCAGACCAAGTGTAAGATAGTGTACATTTGTTCTTGTTATCAAGATTTACTTCTTGACAGATTTAGTTTTCTTTTTGTCATGTATTTTATAGCTTACTATACTGATGGGTTTTGCTGTTTGTTGACCTATAACTGTTTACATCCCCCTCATTTCATGTCTAGTGGATAGTTGTTTAATTGGTACGTATACCACATCTCTTTATTATTATATAGAGGCTTAAAGGAGCCTGAATCGGTCAACTTTATAACTTTGATTAAGCAGATATATAATAACCGTAACAAGTGACTTTTAAAGAATATCAAATCAGACTAGACTGATTTTACTTCAATTTGTACAAATGTCTGTACCACGTCCGGAATGTAACAGTTGTTTTCCATTCGTTCCGTTGGTTGATATAGTCTAACGTTTGATTTTGTCAGATTTTACGGACTTTCCCCTTTTTGAATTTAGCGTGGAGTTCGGTTTTACCAATATTTGTTAAATTTGATCAGAAAAATACACAAGATACTGCAGATAAAAGCTCAGTTTGTTTAAAATACTGCATAGTTTTCAGTTTCATGGTATCTACCATCAAAATGTGAAGAATGCTACTCGGATGTATTACATCGTTATATTTATCTGCTTTGAGTTTTGAAAGGGACACACTAAATTCAAAAACATTATTTATTACGATAAAGAATAGTCATCAACACCCTGAAATGGTCATTTTATATATCATTGCTTCTTTGGTTTCACTGCCTGGAAGTCTGCCACATCCTATATTGAGTTGTCCAGATGAGTTGAAATCAAGAGAATATGGATACAGTATTCCAATATCATTCGTATGGAGATATGTAAGTAAATGTCCATAATTACTTAAGAAATGAATTGTATGTGTATCCACGTCAGCCAGAACAACATTGTCTTTTGGGGTTGTTACTATGGCAACCGGTTTAAATCTCGACTTTACACTAATATTAGGATCTCCTTTGTACTTATGTATAATATTACCTTCCGATCCAAGAGTCACAACACTGCCTCTAAATCCACTTGGTTTATAATCTATTACATGTATGTTTCCATTCCTTGTATCAGTTATTTTCCTTGGATAAGTAAACAAAGGTTGATTTTGTTGATCTAGTTCATACGTAGTCTCTAGGTCTCCATTAACATTCAGCACTAACACAGCTCTTCTTCCTGTTCTCGTACGTTTGCCTCCAATTATAATCTTGTCTTCAGTGGTTACATGGATGGCTGAAGGGGAAAATTCTTGTACTTGATATATAGAGTCGGTCAATTTTCCAGTAACGCCACAAATTTGGAGAAGTTTGGATTTTCCAGTAGCGAGGAGAAGATTATTTGATGCAGTTACAGCTATGCCATATATTGGAGTGTGTACTTTAAATGCAAGTAATATGTTCAATGTATTACCTTCTGGTTTTAATTTCTGTAGAATTTGATATTTGTTATCAGCTATCCACAGTGAATCAGTACATGAAAATAAATAACCCACTCGGCAAAGTTCAGTCTGATATTTCTTATTAATATTCAAATTAACAGTTGGGTAATCAAACCAGTTTTCATTACTTTTAAATTCACCAAAATGTGACAACGAAATCTCGCCTGGAATAAAATTTGATGTAAAGTTAAAAGTAGATTTGGTTTTTTCTATTTCTACATACATTTTTTTGTCAATTCTACCAACACTTTGGAAGAATGCAGCAACATCAGCAGTTGTTATGCTGTCCTCCAGTTCATTGTATTTTCCTTCAAATTGATTTATATTTCTTGAAATAGCATCAATGTTTTCTTCGATATTTTTAGAAATTTCCTTGTGGTTCTTTTTCAGTTTCTTTCTACATATTTTAGCATATTCTTTAACTGCATTTATCAAAGCGTTCTCTTGCGTATTTATATCCTTATTCACTTTGCAGTACAAGGAGTTTTCTGAAATTTGTTTTTGTTTTTCTTCGTGCATTTTAGTAGCAGCTTTAGCTATATCACTTTGCAGAATACTTTGTCCTTTCTTCAATCTGTTAATTTCAGTATGAAACATCTCATTGATTTCAATTAAAACATGTCCCTTGTGACATCTCACTATGCACCTTAGACAAACAAGATTTTCACATGTCTTACAGAAATGAGAATATAACTGTTCAGAATGATATTGACACTTTGTATTTACGAAATCAGTCTCTGGAAAATTTACTTGTTTATCCTCTTTTATCTCTACTATTTCATGGTATTTTCCTCTTCTAATTTTTTTGTGGATTTTGTCTTTACATTCATTACATATAATTTTCCCACAGTCTAAGCATTTCCATTTAACTTCTTTCTTAGTATCACAGAATTCACAATTTACATGTGTTGCAAATTTCTCGCTATTTCCATCTACAGCAGATTGTGCCATTGCAAAGTTTTCAAATAAATTCTACTTTCATTTCTGTATTTAAAGCAACTTCCCTTTTTTGATATTGATCAAATTGATAATTGCTACACTGATATCATTGATATTTAGAGTATTCTACATAAAAAAACATGTAACCATAACAGTTATGTAACAGACAATCTGATCGAGAGTATACATTATATATACGCATTCATTGCAAAGTATTATTTAACAATAATTAACTGGCATTTAAAATATCAATTAGATTTAAAACTGAAGGTAAATAGAAATGTAATACCTATTACTAAGTCAACTGAATCAAAAGATCAGCATTTTAGACATTAAAAAATTAGATATTGTGTACATAAGGTCTAAATACACGCATCTAAAAGATTGTCTTACAGAGCTTGTATGGTCTGATCTTCGTAGATCTGAAATTCGTAATAGACAATGCTAGTACCAACTCAAATATAATAGACTCTAGCTCCTGGGTCTATTGAAAATTTCACATACTGGATCAGTATGAGCTGATAAATCAATACAAGGTTATGGACTTGATCTGGAAATTTGCTGCGACTTAATTATAAATGTTTCTCTACACCTAATGCAGTTCATTCAAAATTCTGACCCAATTACAATTTGTTTAATCAAATCAAATTGTTCAACTCGTCAGAAATTTTAACCAACTGCTCAGGAGAAAGTGCAAAGTGCTAAAATAAAGCATACTTATGAACCCACACGACTTGAAGTCCACTGTATTGCTGCTTTCAAGCGTTGCTTAAAACTTCTATGCAGATATTTATTGGGATGAGTCATTGAAAGGTGAGGTAGTTACTTTGGAATTGCTATAAAAGAGTCCAACTTAAAGTTTTATACAATTCCTTTTGAAACATTGTCTATATTTAAAAAAAAATAAGACATAAGTTTGAATTAAAACATGGAATATAAAATATACGTGAATGAACAATATGCTGTCAATAAGTTTCCATGTGAAAATAATCTACAATCATTGATCCCCCATTTTTGAAATATTGGTTCGATTGTCTTATCTCCCTTTAAAACTGCAGGCATACATAGTAAAGCTAAAAGTATATTTCACTGAGAATTTTAGATTTTAAATTAAATCACCCTTGAAGCATGTATCATTAAAAAAAAAATTCAAAAACTTAAATTGGGCTTTTATTTTAAGCAATTTAAAAATTACTTCCTAACCTTTCAAAAGATTCATTTTAATAAATATGTGTATAAAAATTTTCGGCAACAGTTTCAAAGTAGACATAAAGTGGAATCAGAATTTTGAATGAACTGCAATAGGTCGAGAGAAACCCTCACTATCAAGTCACTGTATCGAAATATCAAACATATGGAAAGAGACTGATACTGATCTTACCAATAGCTAAATTCACTCAGTCATTTTGTATACTCAAGTAACTAAGCTCTAAACATATGGTATAGTTACTAGTCCATTGTTGAGATCAATATGCTGACCTCTTAATTTCGTGGGTTTATAGTCTTGTTGGGTTCCGTCTCAGTTACATATACTCAATATTTGAGACAAGACTTTTAGGTCAAATTATGGCTTCTGATTCAAATTGAGATACATTGTATCTGCAAATCAGTCTTCTTTCAAGCCACTGAATTTCATCCGTTAGTCCGTTAACTTTTACAAAAATCTTCTATGAAATTACTGGGCAAAATTTAACCAAACTTGGCCACAATCATCATTGGGGTATCTAGTTAAAAAATGTGTCCGATGACCCCGCCTGCCAACCAAGATGGCCGACATAGCTAAAAATAAAACATAGGGATAAAATGCTAGTTTTGTCTATTATTTTGAAAACTGTTATAAATAAAGAAAATCTGACAGGGCAGAAAAGTTCAGATTGTTGAGATCTACCAATTGTTCATATACGTTAAAACTGTCAGACGACTTCTTATATGAGTTATTGCCCTTAAATGACAAATTATACCTTTTTTTTCATTTTTGCCTATTATTTTGAAAACTATAAAAGATAAAGAGAAACTTCAAATTCCAAAAATGACCAGCAAGACAAGTTCTACAAATAAGTCCACATTGTTGAAATCGTCAGTCGACTCCTTATTAGAGTTATTGCCCTTTTATGACGATTTTTACCATTGTTTTGCGTTAATGGCTTATATCTTAAAAATTATAATAGATAGATAGAAACTTGAATAAGCAAAAATGATCAGTAAGACAAGATCTACAATTAAGACAATGTGGAGGAAATCGTTCGTCGACTCTTTAATAGTTTTTTTGCCCTTTAATGACGATTTTCACCATTTTATTTGCGTTTTGCCTTATATGATAAAAATTGTAGTAAATAAATAGACGCTTTAAATAAAAAATGATCAGTTAGTCAAGATCTACTAACAGGTCAAATTTTGCCGATATAGTTAGTAGACTGTCACTCTTTATAATAGTGAGTGTCCTTTAATGAGGATTTTTTTTGCCGTCTTTTGTACTTTGAGCAAAAACTAAAAAAGATAGAGAGAAACTAAACAGATTAAATGATCAGCAATACCAGATCAACAAAACAGAGATTTTTGTCGTGAATGCTATTCTTGTCTACAATGTTGGAGAATGTTCTTTGTTGGATATGCACATAGACCAAGGTGAGCGACACAGGCTCTTTAGAACCTCTAGTTTATATTGTGATTGTGCATTAAAGTTTTGGTTTCATTTGTTCATTTAGATTTCCTAAGATGAGGTTTATCAAGTAACCAAATTGAATTTTAAAGTAGGACTGTTGTACTAGTTGAAAATATGAAGCAAGTACTGCAATGCTGATACCAATGAGCCCCATAGCCAATACATTTCCTCTATACCTTTATATAACTGTAAAGTTACCTGATCATATTATGGTTTTGGTGTGTCATTTTTCAAATTTCTACTCCTCTGAACCTAAAAGGTCAAATTTAATCAACCTTTGCAGGTAAATGGTTTGGTGAAAACATTTGCAAAGACTCCTAATTTTTGTTCATTAAATGCAATGAGTGTACCACATTGAATCATATCTTCTCTTTGAATCAAACTACAGATATCCTTATAAAAATATCTCATTTTGTTCCTTATGGGCCACAAAAAAAAAACATGAACAAGAAAAGTCAAAGTTTTAAATATCTTTTCTTTGTAAACTATATTTTAAAAAGTTTATACTGATAAGGTGGAAGCATTCCATTTAGATTTCCATTAAACTGTGAAATACATTTCATCTTCTCTAATAACTTCATGGCAGTCTTAACCTAACTTGTCAATATTAATAAATGAAAGGTTCCCTTATTCTTATTTTGCATTGATTGGACCAACAACAACAAACAAAATGCTGCCAGAGGCAGTTCTTGATTGTGATAGGTCAATTTCTAAATTTCTACTGACCTGAAACTACAAAGATTTCTATATAAAAATTCCTTTATCCATTATGAATAAATGACATACATGGCAGCAATGAAGCCAAAGATGTTCATTAAACCCTTGGGAAGTCACTCTTTTAATCTACACAAAACTTTGAAATATACAACTGCACATTTTATGAAGCTGATAGATCGAGTTTTTCCAATTTTCAATCAAGACTGTACATAATTATGTAGATATGACAGAGTCCATGTTTTACAATGAAAATTAAAAATCATTCTGATAAAAAAAAAATAAAGAGTGAACAACTACCCATAGTAAAAAACAATACTTTCATTCATTCCTATATACACCAGATTTTATATGAAATTTTTTGTGATAGAAAGACAGATTAACCACAGACAAACAGGAAAACTATGTCTTTGAACATATAATTGAGGGGAGAAAACACATTAGGCAAGATTGTGCCTATACTAAGATTCCTTGGTGACATATAACATGTATCCTTATCCATTACAAAGTGTTACTAAAGAAAAACTATAAAAGTAAGGTATAAAAACATTTATTTGCTTAAACATTTAACTATATAACATGATGTGATTGCACAGATTTTGATTGCATGGATAAGTTAAAAAATATATGACTGACATAAAAAAAATAATATGATTACCATAAAAAACAATGACAAAAAAAAAAAAATATCACAGAAAAACATGACTAGATTTCATAAATATTAAATTAACCAATGAATAAAAATATAAATGAAGTATTGCTTACAGCTTATGTACTATGAACATAATGGCACAAATGAATTATACAATTAAGCGTTCTTGCCATGTTAACAAATCATCTTTAAATGTCAGATTTTTGGTAAAAAAGTTTCCATAACTTGCAACACCTATATTTGTTACTTCATGCATTACTGATAATAGCAGATTATAAATCTATTCAATTTTGACTGAAAATTGATAGTAACCCAATTGGACTCAACATATATCTCTGGAAAAAAATTGATCGTTACAACAACTGGTGATAATTATTTGTAAAATAATATATTAATAATTATAAACTATAAATGTGTATCAGCTATAGAAATCCTCCTCAATTCATATTTGTCAACTTTGCTTGAAATGTCTGAAGTCTTCCCTGAAGCAATGCTGGATGTTTCACTGGGAATAAAACTATCATTTTTTAGTGCAAACAACAGTTCATCTAAATCTTCATCCTGGTTATCATCTGTTATTGATGGAATTAGAACAGGTGGTGTGACGTAGATGTTACGGTTGAATGGAAGAGTACGTTTGACCTTCATGGTGCTCTTTGTGTTTATGGAATCTTTTTCCCAGCTCTGAAAAAATATCAATCAGTATATATGATACTCTTTATTAGCTCATGTACTTTCAATGTATAAATATATAATGAAAGAAACAAAATACTGTAATTCCAGAAATTATTGCGATTGTTTTTATTAATGCGAAAAATGTGCCAATAACAGGTTTGCAATAATAAAAAACTTGCATTCATAATTTCAGAAGTGATTTTCCTTCACAAAATTTTTGGGATCGCATTAATTTAATCACACATTTTTACTATTAGTCATTGATTCGCAATAACAAATGCATGCATTAAATTCTGAACTTACAGTACCATAAATGATGTTTAACTAAACAATCAATTGATTACTGAAGAGATAATTAATAATATAATTTCATACGGTTGAACGTAGTGAATTAGAGTTAAATTATTTTCTCTTGTCTTTTCATGATGTATATAGGTGTCGTACCTATCGTGTGGTCAGTTTCCTGTTTCTGTCATTCAGCACGACAGCGCCAAAGCGAGCGGTTCTCTTTAATCACTTGGTAAATTTTAATTTATTCAATAAGTTCCCCCTTTTTTATTATTTATAAGATAAGATTGATAGGACTGGAGGGTTGTTTTTTCTTTTTGGTATTATGTTGTGTGAAGTATATAGTTGTGTATAATATATACATATGTGTTTTTTGAATGTTCATGTGTAACATATTTAATAAACATAGCAGCGGCGTTGTTGTGTAGCTTTGCATGTTAATTATGAGTTTTTGTATTCTTCATACTTTCACAGTATGCTATTTCCTTTAAATGGTTTTTCAAAGGCATACATTATCATGGGGTGAGGTACATGAGACTAGTATTATGTAGTGAAGTTTAATACAGAATGAAGGTTGTTACAAGAGAACTGATAAAATTTACATTCAGTTATAAGGGGAAAAGATGATTAAAAAGGTAACAGATCTGAATGACTTTGTAATGGTTGAGTATATTGACAAAACAACCATTAATTAATTTTGCTCTCATACAGTTTGATAGAGTTAATGGTAGATACTAACCTCATTAAGTACAGAAGCTCTGGATCCCTTCAGACTGCCAATGTCTAGAATGTTGTTTGTATGATGGGATGGTATAGACAATCCATCTCCACCAGAGGTAACTGGAAATGCAGATTTTTGTGGTCCAAAACATTTCTGTATCCAAGGATTACGGAGAATGGTGTACAAAACTAGAGCCATTACACCCTAAAATATTTTTTAAAGTTGAAACATTTATACCTTTTACTTAAAACTTTAAACAAAAATAAAAATTCATTTAATTTAAAAGGTTTTTTTTCTAATGGTATAAAATACAAGTGAAGGCACTCATAACAGAAATAACCTCAGCTTTAAAATAAAAGATAACAGATATCAAGACGATGCAATCAAGGCTTCCAAAACGGTCATATATTCCGGACATTTGTATAATGTCCGGTAAAAGTCCGGATGGGCAAAGCACGAAACGGTCATCTACTTTTTAGTTTTCAAGGCTTTCTTATGAGACGGTCATTTTAACATAATTCGCGATCTTTTTGACCCAACCTTTTGCCTTTAACAGCCACACATTTCCGGTCATAAAAGTGACATGATCATTAAGTACTATCAAAACAACTCCTACTTTAATACATTTTCATTTTAATCAAGGCTAATTAGTTGTCGAACAGCTGAAATTTACCTGTTCAGGTGACAGCTAGGTAAACTATTTTGAACCGGACATTGATAGGTCTATTCAAAGTTATTTTCTTGAATTTCACCGGTTTGCATCTAATTAATTTAGTCAAAAAGATTTAAATAATCAGAAATACATTTACAAATATGATTTGATGAAAAAATTAAAAAGGTGAAAATGAAAAATCGTCAAAACCACGTTGTTTGAACCAGAGACATGTCTCTGTTTAAACTAGTACACGTGTGCGCAGGTGTGAAATTTAATTATGCATCCTAATTTCTTCAAAAAATGCTTAAATTGTCATTGATACCTTTATCTCACGTTTATTTTGAATATTTTCTTGAAGAAATAACGTAGAATGAGCTACTTACACTCATTCATGCTTTGCAAACGTACACGGAATTTACGTATCCGTCTCTGGTCCATGTTTTACCATTGTCAAGACAACATCCGGTATTTTAAAAACGAAAGTAAAGTTTTTGACAACGTTATTTTGCATAAATAAAGAGTCTAAGGCAGATATAAGTACGCTGATGTTGCACACTTCGAATGATGCACTGCCAATTTAACAGTTTACGTCAGAACTTCGAATTTGAATCAAAGAAAGTTTAAATTAAATATTATCGTTTTTTTTAATGTCAATCATTGGGATGGCCAACTCGGCAACTGATTACCATAATTGCCTTTTGTTTATTTAGTCTTAAGAGATTAAAATCAGGATAGTATATAAAATGTCCGGCTGGCTAAAAATAATTTTGGAAGCCCTGGATGCAATAAGTCTGAATATTGAGAATGACACTTACAAAATAACTCAAAATGGATGCTCAAAGACAAGAGAAAATATTTTCACGGTTTCCCCCAAGTTTCATAAATATCATGTTTGTCACTAGGAATAAGCAATACTCAGGTCATAAATTGTATAATACTCTCATGTAGCCCTTCAAAATATGGATTTTAAAAAAAGAAATCCTTGTGATTATAGTAACATTGTGTAAAACCAACCTGTATGATGTTGAAGATACAGAAGAGAATAAGCATCCATAGCTGTCCATAAGCCAGATGTAATCCTCCCCAGAACCATGTCAATGTTATCACTCCCCAGAATGACATTAATGTACGAATCTCTGAAATGTACAATAATCATCTTTATATTCGAAATCACTTCTAAAACTTGAAATGTCATATCTTCAAAATGTCTTGTATATTTTATTTACTATGTCTAAAAAAAATTATCCAATTCATATTTTGCTTTGGTTAATATAATCTAGTATCTTGTAACTAAATTTAATACTAAAAGCTGTATCATAAACTAACATAAAAAATAAACCAAATTGAATGTCAGTCTACATTAGTAATGCACCCAAAATATTTTAGTTTCTGTAAGACTACAATTGAACTTGTGCACTACATTTCAAGTTGGATCTTTAATACTTCAAAAGAACATTGTCTTTTAATGACTTTATGCCTTAATACAATAGTATTTACCATTGATATTATATCTGCCTCTATAAATGTCATCATAAGCCTGCCATTGTGGTGTCACCTGGAATGCCTTCATAAATATTATACCCACCATGATCAACATGAGAAGAACAGGTACTATTATACCTCCTAAACCAGCATAGGCATTCACAATAAAACATCTACAAGGTCAAATTTTACATATAGATAAATACTTATTGCTAAGAAAATAAAATCTTTCCCCAGAATCAGTTGTTGTTAATCAAGGTATTTAAATTTTTGCAAGGTGAACTGTCCCATTGAATAGTTACAATAGTTAATTTTCTCTGTGGAGTTCATTCAATGGGAAGTTTAAATTTTTATATTTAGTTTTTCAATGGGACAGTTCACCTAGCAAAAAATTAAATACCTGGGTAAACACCAACTGATTCTGGGAAAAGGTTTAATTTCCTTCGCAATAAATGATCATAATATCTTGACTATTGTTCCATAATGTTATCAAGTGATACAAAACTTCATAAAAAAAAATTTTTCAAATCATTTTTGTAGAGCCTGCAACTATTGTCGCAAAAGCGAGACATAGCGATCCTACATTAGTGGTTGGCGTCGGTTCCTGTTTTTCCGTATATTACTTATTTATATATAAATGGACTTAGTTTTTCTTCCAGTTAACATTACATACAGTCTGCAATTAAAGTTTTTAGAACATTTATTAGATTCATAAACCATCCTGGATTTTTACCAAACTTGGATAGAAGCTTCTTACAATCAAAAGATAGTATCTAGAGGAAAATTTTTAACAATTTTTTCCCCATTTTTGTTGAGCCTGCTACTAACAGCAAAAGTAGGCGAGACACTGGGTTACGCGGAACCCTTATGAATTTTCATTATGTTCATGAGGCAGGTTTCATAGTGCTTTTTGCTAACAGGTGACCTTAGAACATTTACTTCTGACCTTAACATTAAATATTGATTACCTCATTCTCAAGATAAAGCAATCATATCAAGTTTAATTATGTTTTTAAAACAAGTAAATTATGGTAATTATTACTCGTTGTATACAATATATATATCAAGTTAATCCATTAATTCACCTTTTTGAAGATGTTGCATTAATATTTCATCATCATTTTATCTTGCAGTCAAATAGGCAAAATTCTTTGAGTGACAAGTTTTCAGTGATAGTTTTTAAAATAACTTTCTGCAACATCCCTAATTAATAAGTTGAAACACTTACATTTGTCCATTATTGTTAACGTCACCATAGATATGATCCACAGGTAGATCATACACATATTTATATAGGTTATATGTGACTGTATAAAATATGGCTAGAATAACAGCAGGGCTTCCTGTACAAAAAAGAAGTAATATTTTAAAGAAATCATTCATTCACAAATTAAATTAAAAAGTTGCCCAATGTTTCAAACTATAATTCGATAAATATGGCCTTGAAATTCAACTTTATCATAAAATATCAAAATGGCCATAATTTGGTTCTCAAATGGATCTATTTCAAAAGCCTTACTACAAGGTTAACCAAATCTCTTCATTAGATAGAAATAACAAGATGTGGTATGAATGCCAATGAGACAACTCTCCATCAATGTCACAATGTGTAAAAAGTAAACAATTATAGGTCAAAGTACAGCCTTCAACACGGAGCCTTTGCTCACACCGAACAGCAAGCTGTAAAGGGCCCAAAATGGCTAGTGTAAAACAATTCAAACAGGAAAACCAACGGTCTAATCTATATAAAAAAGGAGAAACACTTGTGAACCACATCAACAAACAACAACCACTGAACAACAGGCTCCTGACTTATGACATTCTAGGCTTTAAAGCCAGTACATTTTAGATATATAGTCAAAAAATGATGATTTTGTGCATTTGTTGGACCTAAAAGCTTGAGGATACCCTCGGCCACAACCTAGGATCTAAAATGTTCTGTAACCAAAAGTTGCCAATGATGATATTGAATCGCTAGACACAAAAACTTTCTGGATCAGGGGTGGCTGCCAAAGTAGATTATTTTAAAAACTGTTAAGATTTATTGAAAATTTGACCAAATCGTCCGTTACAACGTAAGGTGATGTACCAAAAAAAAAGTTATTTTGTATTAATAGTTGTATCACAACTATTTCAATGTCAAATTTGTAGTATTTTGTCCTGATTAGAAAAACATAAAATTCTTGGGGCCAATTTTAACCCTTTGTAAACTTTCTCCTTTTCAAAAAGATTAAAAAACATTTTTTGGGAAAAAATTCCATATTTTGTGTATGTTTGATTTTTATGTTTTGCCATATTTCTGAATACAAGCCTAAAGAGTATTTCTACTTCTTTGAACCTTTAAAGTTGTGGTTTAACATTTACCAATGAAATCCAAGGAAATTGGTATCCACCAAAAATAATGAATCCACACTACATACATCAGCTATAAAAACCAAGAGATATACTAACCCCAGCCTATGAGGAAGAAGAAAACATATTTTCTGTCTGTATGTTCATCATTCATTACTAAGATCTTCCAGTAATTCATTGCCTGAAAATAGTTAAAGTATAGATGCATCTGTTTGAGCTTAGAAAACCAAATGAAATTGAGCTGAATTCATGGATTTTTTTTTTTATTTAAACAGAAATTAAAAAGTTTTGTGTTGTCACATAACACAAATTAAATTAAGAGTGTGAAATTTTACAAAAATCAACAAATGGTTATTTTGATTTCTCAAATACTTGGTGAATAGCTGCTTTTGATTATTTATATATATAAAAGTAGACCATAGAACACAGTGAAATGGAAATTTGACCCTATCTATCTGACTGAAGGGTATGCCAGTGTTTTACAAGAATCAGGATTTTATCAATGAGCTAATATTCTTTTGACTTGTAAGGAAGAAAAGTATATAAATATTATCAGCCACATAATACTCTTATTTTGTTATAAATCAGTGATTTATGTATTACCTGAGCTAATATCCATGTAAACTGTGTCAGAAAGAAATAATGAAGAAACAATCCCATGACAATGCATCTATAATTACTCTCTATCTTGTTATATATCAGTATCTCATCAGGACTACCATAGGCTGATACTATGTAACACAGCTAAAATAAATGGAAAACTATGTAACACAGCTAAAATAAATAGAAAACTATTAATGTCCGATTGTTTGGTGGTGTTTAACTCCACTTTCAGCACCCTTTGCATCCAGGTTCTACTGATGGATGAATCCATTTATTTAAGGTATACAACCACTAATTCATAGCCCCATTGCTTTCTATGTTAAATTCTGCAATTTCAAGCATTAATGGCTACTTTGTCTTAAGTTCAAATAAAGTGGCAGTCATTTCATGTCTAAACTATACCTTATCCTGACTTGTGCTGAAAAATTCAACATACCTTTAATTGCATATTAGAGCATACTGGTTCCCAGAAGTTTGATAGTACAAAAACAGGTACTTCTGATCTGAACAACAAGGCAATAATGCCCTCCTATTATAATTTTATATACTTTTTTATTATTCAAAAGAAACTTTCAACAAGGGTTCTACAGTAATCCCAAGTCCCCAAGCTTTCATTTGATACCAAAAACTACCCAAATATTTCAACTATTGACAAAGATACAGCTATGCATAGGAACTATTTTGTTTAAAATATGTACTACTTTCTTGTATGTTCTTTTCAGACCGGGCCAGAATTAGTGGTTCTATACCTTAAGTAACTGGAGAGAGTTCAACCTTCGACGAAAACTATGTCACACTATTGAAAAAACTATTCAACAAATAAAACGACTAATAGGCTGGCTTTTACAATTAAAAAAATGCTTTGCTTAGAAATAAAGTGATTTAAAATGCAATGCACTTTCTGTAGAAATAACTGTTAATTAGGGTATATTCAGAAATTTTTTGATGTTTTTATCATTGCCAAAATTGGGGACAGGATAGGATTAGCAAAATTTAAAAATTGTCTTTAAATTTTGGATAGCTTTATATGTATGCAGCATTTCCTAAAATCACAACATTTAATCTTGTATTTCTATTCATTTTGCCACAATCGAAATAATAAATGTACACAAAAATGTCTGAATTTTCAGTAGTCATGTATGCTCATTTCTGTTAATTTTCAAAATACTTTGATCTCCATTTGGAAAGCTTATATTTGTAAAGTTTTCTTCTCTTTAATGACGCCATATCAATACAGCAAAAAATTCAGATTATTGTATAGTAACTTACCTGTGTTGCAAAACAAGCAAAACACATATGCATGAGTAAGTTGGCAGAGAACATTGCATGTAACATAGAACATATGTGATGAACTAATATAGCCAATGCCATGCTCACCTGCAATGAAAGACTATATACTTTAGTAAATGTTCGATATTTATGCATCTTTTTTTCCATTTTTTTTTGTAAATTCATGGTAATAATTCTATACCACACATATAAAGACTGATATTGTAAGTGTTTTAATACTAAAAATTGAGCTTTAAAAAAATCACATTTTCCCTCACAAATATAAATATCTTTTCAATCCTTGAAATTGCAATAAGCCTTCAATAAATGAACTCAGTGGCAGATCTAGGGGGTGTGTGATGGGGTATGACCCCTTTTGATCCCCCAAAAGAATCTAATGTTTCTAACGTTTTGTATGATTTTTTGGCACAAAATGGTCCAAAACACGATATATATTCAATTTTCTAGAATTAAGACCCCCTTTCAAAAATCCTGGATCCACCCCCGATTTAACTCATATGTTTACAAATGATAGTTATTAGTTATTACCAGTTATAATTTTTTTTTAAATCTTACCATACAAAAGAAACATGCAACAAAAAACCAGGATGAATATCCCACAATTCCAGCATCTAAGGCTGTTGCCTTGACAGCATAGTGAGACAGATGTTTACATGAACAATCAACAAAATCATCCTGGCCCGTTGAAAGGTCATTGGTCACTTGACACCATCCTGATGGATTGACCCAATCTTTACTTCCATAGTCATAAAATACACATCTGAAAATTGGACACATAAAATAGTTATCATAATAGCTCTTTAACTGGGCAAGAAGAAATATAGAAAAGCTCTCTATATGGAAAGAGAAAAAGCAATTTCTTTATTCAGGCAACTCCTCAGAAGTCATTTGTACAATACTGACAAGAGTCATGATGTTAAGTTACATCAGAGCCATTATAAAAAAAGTCTTTCAATCTTTAATTAAATTCACAGTATCACAGCCTAATGTGCATACTTTAAGGTTTTAACAATATCATAACTTATTTCTAAGCAGATCACCAAATTATTTCAAAACACCTGATGAGAGCCAAAAAACAGCAATCTCTTCGCATACTGTTACTATTCAATAAAGGTCTTTCTCTTACTGACACACTTATCAATAAAATAAACTGTTATAACAGAGATATGTCTCGCCTTTTTGTAATTTTGATAATGCAAATGTTGAAATTAAAATTGCAATACTTTAACATGTAAGTTATGCAAATATTCAAAGTCGATGAACCATGACTTAAGGTATATGGCTAAACAATCTCTATGGAATGAGATGTGCCACTGCTAATACAACTGCATACCAAATACCATTGACTTATTATAAGTCGTTCCCTTTAAACAAACCTAAACATAAACATTAACTTGTAAACTATGTAAAAGTTTCAAAGTCAATGAACCATGATCATGGGTGGGGCAATATAATCTCCTTTGAAACGATACTTGCAAATGCCAATAAATTTGCATACCAAATATCAATGACTTAACATTAGCAGTTCATCTTAAACTGATCTAATCACAAACTAATACATGTAAACTAAGCAAAAGTTTCAAAGTAAATAGACCATGACTGAGGGGACGGGGCCAAATATTCTCCATGGAAATGAGATGTGCTAATGCTTATACAACTGATCACCAATTAACATTGGCCACTCCCTTGAACTGACCTAATCACAAACTAATACATGTAAACTTAGCAAAATTTTCAAAGTCTATAGACCATGACTAAGGGGGCGGAGCCAAATAATCTCTATGGAAATGAGATATGCCCATGCTTATACAACTGCATACCAAATATCATTGACCTACCACTAGTGGTTCCCCATAAATTGACCTAATCACAAACTAATACATGTTAACTATGAAAAGTTTCAAAGTCAATAGACCTTGACTGAGGGGGCAGGCCCAAATAATCTCCATGGTAATGAGATGTGCCAATATTAATACAACTGCATACCAAATATCATTGACCTACCACTAGTGGTTCACCACGAACTAGACCTAATCACAAACTAATACATTGTTGAAGCCGCCGCCGCCTTCATCGACGCCGGAAACAGCATACCTAAGTCTCGCTTTTTGACTCCGTCAAGGCGAGACAAAAACCCTAACAACAAGAATGCATTGTACACATGAACATAGGCTTAAAGCCAATATCTGTTTCACTGTAAATCCTATTTTAATAGATACAAATTGAGTAATTTAAATCATTTAAAAAAGCAAGACTCAGTGATGCTACTAACGACAGCTTATCAATATAGTCCAAAGTATTCCTGGAATTTTAATGGACACATATAAACAGCAAACATGGAAAAGTAAAATGAAGTATTGAAGCTATATGTATCTGTGTATTATAAATGTCTTTTTGTGTAAAAATTGTTTAACTTGACATTAATACCATGTACATGTATAGGGAAAATGTCTTAAGTCATCTGACACTTACTGTGCCTGGTTTGCAGCAATCCTATTATCTAGTGTATGTATCTGATATACTGCTGGCTTGTTAGTGTATGCAGATGGTCTGCCTTTTATACCAAAATTAATTATCTGAAAATATAAAAAGTTTTTTCAATGCAACCTTTTAAAGCTTTTTTGTGGATATTTCAAGATTAGATGTTTAATTTAGAATGTTCACCTTGGTATTGTAGGGAATATAAAAAAACAATAAGGTGTTAAATAAAACATGTAATACATTGCAAACTAGTAAGACTGATAATATTCACATTTTTTACCAACACAATAAATGCAAATTCATCCTTAGCAAAAAATTATATAAATATAACTTTTACTGGTTTCCTAATAGGTAATTCTGATAATCAGAAATTGAAGGTCCCAGTCATTACTGTTCAAAATCAGAAACTAGAACTTGGCTTTTAAAATTTACAATTCTGACTTAAAACTGGAATACAGTTTCTTTTCTCTGGAAACTAGTTGCTTACATGGCAATAATCTTTTATTTTTATGTAGATAATTTTTCAGTTTCATGGGACATGTTTCTCCCTCATTCCTTTGAGGTAACTCACCAAATTGCTCAGTAACTGTGGCTTATCACTTGTCATAAGTAACTCATCTTATTGCTCAGTAAATGTGGCTAATCACTTGTCATAAACCATAACTTACCTTATTGCTGAGTAACTGTGGCTAATCACTTGTCATAAACCATAACTTACCTTATTGCTGAGTAACTGTGGCTGATCACTCGTCATAAACCATAACTTACCTTATTGCTGAGTAACTGTGGCTGATCACTCGTCATAAACCATAACTCACTGCTATACTCTATCATATGGAAATCTACACACTGAAAATACATTTTATATTTTTACAGAGAAATATCTTTGTATTTAAGCATAGGTTTAGTTTCCAGGACAAAGAATCAATGGATAATACCATTCTGATATAAAAACAAAAGAAAAAAACAATTTACAGGTTGTTGGGTTAAGTATACTCCAGCTCAATTAATTCAAAGTATCTGCAAACAGGAAGTAGGAATCTGAAAGATCCAAAAAGTTCTCATAGACAACTATTCATCATTCTCAATCTGTTGACAAAGTTTGAAATCATTTTGTGCAGTAATGCTAGAGATTTGTGTGACAGAAAATGTTAAATTTATTCAACAAATTGAAAAATTCAAAGTATGGGCAAACAGGAAAAAGATATCTAACAGATCTGATAAAGTGCTCACACTGTCAACGTATGTTTGTTCTGCCTAAAAGATGTTCCCCTGGATACTTTGTTATAAACAATTCCATAATATCTGTTCCTCTTGGAACAAATATTCTATATCTTTTATTCCATGGAAATAATATTACAAAATATTATGGATTACAAATGTGTCGAGTTTTGTGATTGGATAACAACACAGAGATGTCAGTACCAGTATATATTCAGGAAACTGCAGGGGGATATACGACATTTTTTATCCCAATTGGAAGCTCAACAACGTGTCTCAACGAACGTTACTATGTGACGTAGTCTGAGGCTATACAGAACACATAAAGAACGTTAGAGGCTCACAGAGGGAAAATAATGATGTGTATCCGTCAATAATACGTTTTTAATTTAAAACCACGTGATTTACACATCAAATACTTAATTAATGTCTTAAAGTGCTATTACAAATTATTGCATACACAACAGAATTACTTTCACAGCAAATTACAAATCCTTCACGTATGCGGAAAATATATTTACTGCATGGTGAATGTTTAACAAATAACTTGTTCGGGAAAAAACATTAAGGCACAGGTAATCTGTAATATATGTGTAATTCATGTTTTAGACTTCGGCTCATGGAATATAAACTCTAAGCTGGGAATGTCACATTATATACCCTGTCTGAGACCTGAATAACATATAATATTTCTTCCAATTGAAACTTATATAATGAAGGAACTTCTATTTCATGACACCTACTTCTATCAAAACAAGACCTGAGTTTTCATCTGAATTATGGTCCAAGTGGATTACAATTGACCATTTTAGAATCTAAAGGATTGTGGGTTATTCAATTGTTCATACCCGAAAATAAAAATAATGTCACGTCATTGGTTAACTTTCCATTGTTTAGGACGTTTTTAACCAATCACAACGTTTTGGTGTACACTTTTGAAAATATTACCAAGAATGCATTTGATTCTGAAAAGGCAAATTGTGTAAATGTACTGTACATGTATTGCAAAAAGGATGTGTGCCAAGGCATAAATGCCATAAATATCTATAAAGAAATGTAAACAAGTCTAAATTGAAAACAAGGTTCAAACCTATGATTGCGTTGGATAAAAACCGCAATTTTTATACGTGTGCATGCAAAACAAATTTCTTGGTAGAGGGGTCTAAATACAGCACAAACAACATTTTCTAAAAGACCAAATGAGTGAAAAAGTATATTTTAACAAAACGCATAAAGAAATCTATACATACACTGTCTACTTGATTTGCTGGAGGATCATCTATTTCGTCTGGTACGGTAAAGGAATCATCTTGCCTGAAAAAGACAACAATAAATATATGTATTATTGAGGTTAAACTAAAAATGTAATACTATAATCTATGTGAGGTGTGTCAAGTCTGCAATATGCAGAGCACAGTGAAATCCAGTTTATACATGGTTAAATGAAAATAGCTCAATACACATTTATTATAAACGTTTTAGTGAAGAAACTTACTGTAAACCAACTAGTTTTTCATGGCTTTGGCAAGGAAGAAAAAAACGTGAATATAAATTGTTGCAGATATGTACAACTTGGATATTTCCTTATATAAATACAGCAACAATATTGGAAAAACAAGGAAATAAATCGCTGCAAAGTCGGCTAGAAATGGCCAAACGGAAATTTAGTATTCACGAAAATATCATATTGGTTTACAGTATTTCAGTGATTATATTTGCGTTTGTCGCTCTTGTAAGAGACCATGATATATTTTTAAAACATTCTTACTATTTTTACATGTACTTACTGTGCTGGGTACTTAAAGTTCAGTATTTTCTGCATTGGCCATCTTGCTGCTGAGATTTTTGCATGCAAACAATACTGCAGAGTTGACCTAAACAAATATTTTATATCAATGGATATTTGTTTTGGTTATTTTACATATATCCAATATAATGAAAGAACTGTACTAATGAGATCAAACAAAGAAAACTGTCAGCATTCTTTGATACAATACAAATTAACAGTGGTTTTCTCAAACCTGTGTTTTTGTTGCCTTATAGAATTTTGCATTTTTTTTCTCAAAAAAAATTTAAATTGTAGGTTTGTTTGCATTTTTGTACCTTTTGTTTTGAGATTATAGCAGTGACTGTTGAAAGATAAACAACTAGTTTACACATGTTCAAGTACCTGTACCAAGTCAGAAGCCTCAATATTGGTTGTCATTCATTATATCTTGATGCTTTTTGTTCTCCGGGGAATTTGATGTTGATGGCTGATATTTGATACTTTTTTTTTTTTTTTTTCATTAATGTTTAGACTCTGGGCAATTAAGAGCATACTATGATATATAGACTCCTGTTTATTTTTCTAGACTATATGGATTATTATCTCTTAACGTACCTCAAAATGAGGAACACAATTATAAAATTCTTACCGGTATTAAAAACCTCTGAGCAATGATATTGGATAGGGTACTATTTATTGAAAATTGAATTGGCCAAAGTATTTTCGTTTTTTGAATACCATAGAATGAAGGTGTAAAAACTTTGGAGTTTTCAAATATTTGTAAAGAGCTGAATTTCCAGAGGATTTAATTGTGTGGAAAAAAAAATTGTTTATATGCTGAAGTGGCATCATACAAGAGCCTTTAGTGGTTTCCAAAATTGTGAAAAATTAAATCACATTTTGTTTTTCTATCCCGAGAATTTAACCACATATGTGAAAATGTCTCAGCTTAGAACCCTGTCATCATACATTTCCAAGTTTATAATATGGACAGAGAAATTGAAGAAAAGGCTTCCACTACTGCCTGTCTTAAATGAATTGTCCAAATTGACCAAGATGTTGACATCTAGATGTCTGTATTTTTGTATCATTGGGTTGTTATCTAATTGATGAAAAATCTACCTCTCCATATCACATGGCTTGCAGTTTTCTTTTTTCTTCATAATGAGTATGATTCAGAATCTTTATTACTTTTTTTCAAATAACAACACTTTAAAACATGTTTGAGGTCACATGACTTACATAGTAGGATATTCTGGACTAGAACAAGATTTTCCAGTCAGTTTAGTATATGCTAACTTTTCCATTAACAATCCAAGTGATGATCTCCCTTTAGTAGCATCTCTTCTGCTAGGTTTCAACATTCCACATAAAATATTTAGTAATTCATTTAAGATCTCTTCAGGCAATCTGGAAAAATTTGGAAAAAAATAAATGTTAAGGGTGTCTTACTATTGAACTCCTTATAATACATTACAATTATATAATTTAAATTAGTTCCAAAACTGAACCCAAAAGGTGAATAATTTTTTGCTAACTTCAACCCTCTTATTTGGGGGTAAAAATACATCTAAGAAAACAGCATATTCTCAAACTGCAAATACTAATAACAATAAATATTTACCTGATCTTAAAATCTACTTACTCTCTTGTTTGTCCCTCATCCAAAATATTTTCCAGAATATTTTCCACCAATGTAAGTTCTGTTTTATCAAGATTATCCTTCACTATTAGATCTAGTTTCACTAAAGTTCTGATATAATAATGAAATACAATAAATTCAGATATATAAATTCTATATTCATTCATTCATAGTAATCATTCTTCAGAATTCATTGTTTTTTTTATTTAGTATTGGGTTTCATGCGTTATTTTTTGTTATGCAAATTTTTGTAATGCTTATTCCACATGTTGTAAAAGGTGTGAACTGCCTTTTCTGCTGTTGTATATCTGTTTGTCATTGATGCTGCTATGCATTGTGTATTCATTATTTCACAGTAGTTGTGGCATTTAGTTGTGTAGATCTCAAAAACGGCCATAACAAAGTATTGCTGAATAAGCACTTGGAGATTTTCTATTCTGTTATTCAATTATTGCATACTCTTACTATAAATATGTCATATTAATATGCATGTTTATAATTGTTTGTAAAAGCTCTCAACAGTTTTCATTCATTGTTGTAAATGATTTCTTGAACTGTACTAAATAGTAATAATTCATACCAACATGTTTAACCCTGCCACATTCTGTATGTGCCTGTCCCAAGTCAGGAGCCTGTAATTCAGTGGTTGTGGTTTGTTGCTGTATATCATATTTGTTTTCTGTTAATATTGTTTTGTACATAAATCAGGCCATTAGTTTTCTCGTTTGAATTGTTTTACATTTGTAATTTCAGGGCCTTTTACAGCTGACTATGCAGTACGGGTATTGCTCATTGTTGAAGGCCATACAGTGACCTATAGTTGTTAACTTCTATGTCATTTGATCACTGGTGGAGAGTTGTCTCATTGGCAATCATACCACATCTTCTTATTTTTATATAAATGTTGACAAACTTTTACATACTTAAGTATATCTGTGTTATTCTTTACTGATCCTTGGTTGATAACAGACTTCCAGATCTCTATATTAGATTCCTCAACAATTAGAATGCTAGCTTTAGAGAATGATACGTCAGGATGGACACTGTCAAAGTAAAATAAATTTCTATAATAAATACTTTAAGTAAATTAAATCAAGCAAATTCCTAACATTAAATTATTGACAAACAAGACTGGGAAAAATGAGTCAACAATGTTACATTGAACATTTCTCTTCATGTTAACAGCTATCTACCCTAAAACTGTAGTGACTCCCCTTAATACCTTGAGAATGACAATACAAGACTTCATAATTAAAAGGTCTTTACCAATCTCCTTTGATATAATTGCCTTTAATTCCCCTGAAACTGTAATGACTCCCTTTAATGTCTTGAGATCAATAATACCAGCATATAATATGTCATGGCATGGCTTTTTATAGCTTTTCTAGTATGTAAAGAATTTGCCAATTTTGAAGGCTGTACATTGTCATTTATAATACCAGCAGTTGTTTTAAACATCTCTGTCCTTTGGACTCTCAGCTGGATAGTTGTCTCATTGGCAATCAAACTACATCTCCATATTTTTGTCTCCACAGTTAAAATGTCCATACCTTGCTCCATTGTTAGGATTTTTCAATAAAACTTTAAAGAGTTTGGGGTAAGGATTTCCGTCCATGGCTTTCTGTGGTGTTAAAGTTACATCTACATGTTTGATTTCCTGTGAATAAAGAAAAATTTAATTTTCATACAACATTGAAATTTTGAGCTACCCTGTAAAGTAAATGATGTGATTGTAAGATATGGATGATTGCCTTGAAAACATTGGCAAAAGTTTATCATTTTGAATTGAGAGTTACTATTAAAGAGGACTATATCAATCTAATATATTGATTTGTTATTATTTGTTTGATACCAATTTTCAATGGATTTCAGGGGTATAGGGGAACCACAACTTTAAATGTACAACAAATTACAAATCTTCTATTGGAATATATGCAGGCTTCGGAAAAACAAAAAATTAAATATCCATGAAGATGCAAGTTTTTCTCAATCAACAACTAGATGTGTCGGAACGACTTGAATGGCCCTGTCTCAAAAAACAGAAAAATCTGCAATTTCAACAACATATGTGGACACAAACATGCATGGATAGTATCCAGCTCTCAAGACCAATACTAGTTTGATGAAAAATTTTCCTTGATCAATGAGTAGTTAAATTTCAAACTATCAGCAAACAGGAAGTGGATGTACTGAAGATGTGTTGAAACGACATGAAAATCAGCATATTGGAACTAAACATAAACTTGATCTGTAACTCATCATGGTAGACTCACAAATCAAAAATCAGCGCAAAATCTGAAGGCGTATAGAAAAAAAGTCCGTATAACTGTGATTTTCAACAATTTATCAAAGTCCAAAGCCCGTAATTTGGGCAAAAATTAGTAGAATGGAACAAAACTTAAACTTGATCTGTAACTCATCATGGTTAACTCACATACCAAAAATCAGCCCAATATTTGAAGGCGTTTAGAGAAAAAGTTGGTATAACTGTGATTTTCAACAATTTATCAAAGTCAAAAGCCCGTAATTTCGGCAAAAATTAGCAGAGCGGAACGAAACTTAAACTTGATCTGTAACTCATCATGGTTAACCCACATACCAAAAATCAGCCTAATATCTGAAGGCGTTTAAAAAAAAAGTCCGTATAATGGTTTGATGCGGAATGACTGAATGACAGACAAGGGTAAAACTATATGACCCCGACAACTTTGTTCCAGGGCCATAAAAACAGGTACCTACGAATTTAAATGATTCAACAGTAATAGACATATTTTATACATACATATAAGTTTTTGAGAAATAGATTGAAGTGCAAAATTAATCAAATAAGGAATATATCAGACAGGTCAATATGTCTAAGCCATATTCATGGCAAGCAGGGAATAGGTAGAAAGCACTGTCAATGTTCTAAGCTGTCAAATAATTTGGCTTGGTCATATTCATAATTGCATATGCCTTAAAATAAGAAAAGATTCATTTATCAATTGTACCTAATAATGCAATGAATATCTGGATACAATAATTTTTAATCTTAACTTATCAAATTGCTTCAAAAGAATAACTAGAGGCTCTCAAGAGCCTGTGTCGCTCACCTGATTCTACTTTGGTTTTGGAAATCATGTAAAAATAGATTAAAATCATAACAGATACCCTAATAATGAGTGAGGCTAAATTTGGTTTAATATTGGTCCTGTAATTTATTAAAAAATCCTGGTGGCCATCTTGAACAGTAAATCGGCAACAAAGTAGCAACACTTAATCAGCACCTCATAAGAAACATTTATGCCATGTTTTGGTTTCATTCCATTCAGTGCACCTCTAGAAGAAGCATTTGTATGTATTTCCCATAGGGTCGTATGTTAAAGGAAGTCCCCCCATTGGCGGCCATCATTGATGAAGGATCAGCTTCAAAGTAACAAAACTTAGTCAGCACCTCATAAGGAACATTCATGCCATGTTTGGTTTCAATCCATTCAGTATGTGGTTCTCTAAAAGAAGACATTTGTATGTATTGTCCATAGGGTCCTTTGTTAAACATTGTCCCCATCTGGCAGCCATCATGGATGAAGGATCAGCTTCAAAGTAACAACACTTGGTCAGCACCTCAAAAGGAACATGCATGCCATGTTTGGTTTCATTCCATTCAATGGTTCTCTAAAAGAAAACATTTGTACGTATTTCTCATAGGGTCCTATGTTAAACTAAGTCCTCCGCTGGCGGCCATCTTAGATTATGGATCGGCTTCATAGTAACAACACTTGGTCAGCACCTCATAAGGAACATTCATGCCATGTTTGGTTTCATTGCATTCAGTGGTTCTCTAAAAGAAGACATTTGTATGTATTTCCCATAGGGTCCTATGTTAAACTAAGTCCCCCGCTGGCTGCCATCTTGGATGATGGATCAGCTTCAAAGTTACAACACTTGGTCAGCACCTCATAAGGAACATTCATGCCATGTTTGGTTTCATTGCATTCAGTGGTTCTCTAAAAGAAGACATTTGTATGTATTTCCCATAGGGTCCTATGTTAAACTAAGTCCCTCTCTGGCGGCCATCTTGGATGATGGATCGGCTTCATAGTAACAACACTTAGTAGGGACTTCATAAGGAACATTCATGCCATGTTTGGTTTCATTCCATTCGGTGGTTCTCTAAAAGAAGACATTTGTATGTATTTCCCATAGGGTTCCATGTTAAACTAAGTCCCCTGCTGGCGGCCATCTTGGATTATGGATCCGCTTCAAAGTAACAACACTCAGTCAGCACCTTATAAGGAACATTCATACCATGTTTGGTTTCATTCCATTCAGTGGTTCTCTAAAAGAAGACATTTGTATGTATTTCCCATAGGGTCCCATGTTAAACTAAGTCCACCGCTGGCGGCCATCTTGGATTATGGATCGGCTTCAAAGTAACAACACTCGGTCAGCACCTCATAAGGAACATTCATACTATGTTTGGTTTCATTCCATTCAGTGGTTCTCTAAAAGAAGACATTTGTATGTATTTCCCATAGGGTCCTATGTTAAACTAAATCCCCCGCTGGCGGCCATCTTGGATTATGGATCAGCTTCAAAGTAGCAACACTCGGTCAGCACCTCATAAGAAACATGCATGCCATGTTTGGTTACATTCCATACAGTGGTTCTCTAATGAAGACATTTGTATGTATTTCCCATAGGGTCCTATGTTAAACTAAGTCCCCCGCTGGCGGCCATCTTGGATTATGGATCGGCTTCTAAGTAACAAAACTCGGTCAGCACCTCATAAGGAACATTCATACCATGTTTGGTTTCATTCCATTTAGTGGTTCTCTAAAAGAAGACATTTGTATGTATTTCCCATAGGGTCCTATGTTAAACTAAGTCCCCCGCTGGCGGCCATCTTGGATTATGGATCGGCTTCAAAGTAACAACACTCGGTCAGCACCTCATAAGGAACATTCATACCATGTTTGGTTTCATTCCATTCAGTGGTTCTCTAAAAGAAGACAATTGTATGTATTTCCCATAGGGTCCTATGTTAAACTAAGTCCTCTGCTGGCGGCCATCTTGGATTATGGATCGGCTTCAAAGTAACAACACTCGGTCAGCACCTCATAAGGAACATTCATACCATGTTTGGTTTCATTCCATTCAGTGGTTCTCTAAAAGAAGACATTTGTATGTATTTCCCATAGGGTCCTATGTTAAACTAAGTCCCCCGCTGGTGGCCATCTTGGATTATGGATCGGCTTCAAAGTAACAACACTCGGTCAGCACCTCATAAGAAACATTCATGCCATGTTTGGTTTCATTCCATTCAGTGGTTCTCTAAAAGAAGACATTTGTATGTATTTCCCATAGGGTCCTATGTTAAACTAAGTCCCCCGCTGGCGGCCATCTTGGATGATGGATCCGCTACAAAGTAACAACATTTGGTCAGCACCTCATAAGGAACATTCATGCCATGTTTGGTTTCATTCCATTCAGTGGTTCTCTAGAAGAAGTTCAAAATGTAAAAAGTTAACGCCGACGACGGACGACGCTGGACGACGAGGGACGACGCCGGACGACGACGGACGACGCCGGACGACGGACGACGGACGACGGACGACGGACGCCAAGTGATGAGAAAAGCTCACTTGGCCCTTCGGGCCAGGTGAGCTAAAAAAAGCATTTACATTACTATTCTTGATATGCATGTATAAGACAATAATGTTGTATTGTAAACTTCATCTTTAGAAATTTTTCAAAACTGTGCCATTTTAGTTTAAGCATTAATGCACCTGTGTGTTTTTCTGAAATAATAAGACTCCAGTCTTTAAGTTGAAGGCATAGTTCTCCAGTGCAGGGTATACATCTATCTGTTGTAGTGTTATCTGACTTGTAACTTGCTCTGTTTGATAACTGACATCTATGTCATAGTTACGACCTTTAACCCTCTCTACATTTAATGTCACTGTTGCCTCATTTTTATGTATTACTTTAAATCTGAAAAATAGTATCCATTCATGACTGCATGAATTAAAGGTCATAATATAAAAAAACTTCATGTGTGACTTAAAAAAATCCTGTATTTGAAGATTTGTTGGTTATTTATGTGATTGGGTTGCTGCTTTATTATCATAAACCCTGCATCTTCTTTTATTCATCTATATTTGAAGAGAAATCAGAGAAAAATGAAATTTATTAAGGTTCAAACAGATCCTAATCCAAGACCTTAAATGACAAAATTATGTGGTTATAAGCACTGCCACTGTGTCTAAGTGATCTACATAACTTGTCAAATACTATGTTTGAAAACAAAAGATATTGGCTGAATGTACAGGAGACAAAAAAATCTACTGAAATATTGGAAAATAGTCAATAGATCAAAAGAACAGCCATTTAAATACTTTTCTTCATTTTGACAGTTTCTGGAAGGTTTTCATGAGCTTAAGAACACACATCTTACAACACAAGATAAACAACCCACATTGGATTGATCTAAGCAATACTCATATATATTTATGAATAACTGATACAGTTTAATGAATCGCTTCAACCTACCACAATTGTAATCCTTTACGTCAGAAAGATCTTACAGAAAATGAGCCAAGTTGAGGTACTGTAAACCGAAATAAAGTATCCGCGAAAATAAGTTGGTTTACAGTAATTCATGTGTCTCTGTCAGAATCATAAGTTTCTCTTTGAGAGACAATTTCTATTCCTAGGCACATAATATCCACAAATTTAAGTGTCTCTCATAAAATTTCTAAAATATTCATTTGTTCAGTGTATGTTCACTGGTGTTAATATGTCCTTTGATTGAGTTAAGCTATTTCAGTTGATATTTTATAGTGTGTCTTTCTATGTTGTGATGTTACACTATTGTTTCAGAAAAAGGGTGAAGGTTTGGTACCATTAAAACGTTTAAACCCGCTGCATTTGTTTGCACCTGTCCTAAGTCAGGAATCTGATGTTCAGTAGTTGTTGTTTGTTGATGTGGTTCATAAGTGTTTCTCGTTTCTCGTTTTTTATATAGATTAGACCTTTGGTTTTCCCGTTTGAATAGTTTTACACTAGTAATTTTTGGGGCCCTTTATAGCTTACTGTTCGGTGTGAGCCAAGGCTCTGTGTTGAAGACCGTACTTTGACCTATAATGGTTTACTTTTTTAAATTTTGACTTGGATGGAGAGTTGTCTCATTGGCACTCATACCACATCTTCTTATATCTATTTAACTCATTAAGTTAAAATATTGTGCACTGAATGCAATGATTACTTAGTTCTGTTTTTGTTAGCAGTTATACTTGTATAGACTAGCACTAGAGCCTAATGTCGATGTTGTACTGACCTGGAGTCCTCAGTGAACTGTAGTAAACCTCGGACATAGTCACTACTAAGGACTGTTATGTTAGCTGTAATACTTTTATAATCCAGTTCAGCATCTTTGCCAGCACTAGTCAGTTGTATGATAAACTTCATCTCCTCTTCTGGTTCCTGAAAACAAAATATTTACAATTCATCTGAAAATACACTGACATAAAGCTTTATTCAAAGTCGATATATGCAATATAATTACAAACATAAGCTCGGAAGAGCTTTAAAAATTGAAAAAACAAAAGCACAACAAACAATAAATACATATCAAGTCATGCACACATACAATAAACATAGAAAGTAAGAGTTCATATTATGCATACACTATATATCTGGTAGTTAAGTAGTCCAAATAATTATGACGTCTTGAAAGGCTATTATATAGAAGGCATCAAAGCAAAAAAATAAAATAGCCTTTCAAGACGTCATAATTATTTGGACTAGCAGTTATGATAAAACTTATCAGTTTTCCAAAAGTTCATAAATATTTATTAACAATAAATAGGAGATCCTCAAGTCAATTTAAGGATATCCTGAAATCAAATCATGGAGGACCTGAAATATTTCAGGATATCTTGGTTTCAAATTATGGAGATCCTGAAATATTTCAGGATCGCCTTACCTAAATACAATTTATTTTGATTAAATCTGTGCCTCATAATAATATAGCCTAAATATTATAAAAACTGTCAATACAACAGACAGTGATCTTTTTAGGTCAACTCTATTATGCAGGTCACATAAAAATCAGTATGGTTATAATGGTAATTATGGAGAAAAAATAAATTACTTGATGTGGCCTTACCTGGTCATCCTTCAATGATACTTCAAATGTACATGATGATTCCTGTGCTGGGCATACAGCTGTCCCTGCTGTCTTCATCAACTGGTTCCCTAACACAGTATCCTCAGTCTCTGTACTGGTAAGAGATGCTTTTGCTTTCCATGATACCTGGTAAATTCCACAATCAATTCGATATGAAAAATGTTATGATTTGTTTAAGATTTACAAAATCATTAAGGGCTGTACCAGATTTAAACGCATGGGGGGATGGGAGGCCCTTTTTTCAGACACTGACCACCACTGATTTAAAATTTTCATCTTACTTATAATTCTAATAAAATTCTCATGAAAATGCATCCACCCAAAATTTATTTATTTAAGTGCCTCCCCTCGCCCCATGTGTTTTAATCTGGAACAGACAAGTACATGTAGTAATCTTTCCTTTTTAAATTATTTGTAAAGAATAGAAAATTACAAAAAAAAAAAAAAAATATCATTTTATAGAGCCATTCCTAATCTGTTCTATTTATGAAATATGGGATGGCTCTAGCTTAATAGAGAAATTCTGTGTATCAACTTTTAAAAACTAATACAACAGAGCTATCATAAATGTGAGAGACAAATAGAACTGTACAAGGAGTTCTGAGCAGGAGAATTGACCTTATATCAAAAGCTTCTCATATCATGATATTTTATGAAGAAAATTTTTTCATTTATTTACTCCGGTTATTTTTAATTTCCATCAAGAGAGACTGTTGAATTCAGCTGATTCATTGACAGTACCACCACAAAGAGACTACTACAGTAAAAAATTGAAGAATAAAAAATATTACAATGATTTTCATTAAAAGCATTTGGTTAAAAGTTGTAATATCTCTTACCTCAACTTCTCCAAAGTAGGCATTTATTCTTGATAGTTGGAGACTAAATGTAGGCGATGTATCTTCATTCACTGTTACAGATTTCGAGCTTTCAGAAAATCCAATTATTCCATTGGACAAGTCATTCTGAAGTATGGTTATTATAGAAAAACCCTGAAATTTAAAATCAATAATAAAATTAAAGTAGAGTGAGTTTTTAATAAGGTCAAAGGTACTCCTACATATCAGGCAATTACAATTTCACAGATAACAAGGGACATAACTATTTAATAGTAAAAGCAAAATCCACCATAAGCAACTTAAAATGTGAGTTTGTATTTGATAGAGTCTGTAATATTTATTTACAACAAGTCTAGACTGAGAGCAATTTTGAGCTTGACATATTGTACAGACACTTGTCTGTTGTTAAATAATGTATGCTGACTTCTAGATGTCTTCCCATTTTCTGTTTTGTTAGGTTGCTGTCTCATTAACATTTGTAAAAAAAATAAAATGTTTGAGGCATTGGAATCACTATTCATTTTATAGACATTGGAATTACTATTCATTTTATAGACATTGGAATCACTATTCATTTTATAGACATTGGAATTACTATTTATCTATTTATTCAAAATTACACTTTCAAGAAGAAGGATGAGAGAAACTTTTAACCTAATGTGAGTCTGCCATTAAAAATATATATGTCAATTTTTTTCTTCGATATCCTGCCATACTTACAATGTATCGTTAATTTTTTTTAAAACAAACACAAATTATCAATAAATCATTGGTATAAAATAATAATCTTTATAATGCTTTTGTTTCTAACTCTCTGACATTTTTTTTAGAAGTATAATCATGTTTAACCCTTGACACAAGTCTCTGCTATTACCTTCTTGCCACCATCAGGTGATCCCAAGGCTATTCTAGCACCACCTGTTGGCTGTGTCAGATAGATAATCATGGTTTCATCAGGCTCTGCAGTATTGTCTGCTAGTATTGTCACTGAAACAGATTTACTGACTTCCCCTTGTTGGAAGGTGACCTTGGATTCAAGGATTTCATAATCCTGACCACCTGTTGCTATGTTGTTAATATTCCTATTGCCAAGGGCTTGTGTTATGGTATCGTTTATGTCAGAGGATTGAGCTACTATCTGTGAAGTCCATGCCTCTCCTCCACCAACAGATCTCACCACTACACTAATTGTTCCAAAGACACCACCTATTCAAATATCAGTTCAAATATTAGAAATGATTTGTGAATTCATTGTTATACATGGGATACCAATTTCTTTGGATTTCATGAACAATTCGTACATGATCTGGTCTATATACTATGGCCCTGAAAAACCTTAAACAACATGGCTGGAACATTGTAGTATATGTGGACACTTGTAGTATATGTGGACACAATACCAACTGAATGCCCCTGAGTGGGAACACCCCCAAATGACCCCCCCATGCAGAAAATTTTGATTTATATTTAAAAAAATGTTTTCACTTGAAATATACATTGAATTTACTGACAGAAAGCATTTTGGATATATGCTGGTAGACTGATATGTATATTCTCTTTAAACATATCATTTGACCGCCATATATCCCAAAATACTTTGCTCTTAATAGTAAATAGTGCAGAGGCCACGCCAATTTAATTCCTTGTTTGACAGACACGCCCGCACATATTTTTTTCTAAATGGAAAAAAATATTTTTAAATATTCCTGCATCCCGCATCCAGAAAAGTAATCGCGTCTATTTGCCGCTGGATTTTTAGTTGACATTAAAAAAATAAAAAGCGATCGCCAGAGCGTTTTAGTCAACATCAAATCGCAACCCTTTAAACTGTTTCGAGCATTAACATAGATTTCTTATAAAAGTCGAGGACGATTCTTCACAAAATCATGCCAATTTTCGTTGTTAGAATAAAGGTGTATGTGCTAATACAGACACCTTTAAGCAAAAGTATCCATACCCCCTGCATTTTTATGCACCTGTCCTAAATCAGGAGCCTGTTGTTCAGTAGTTGTCGTTTGTTGGTGTGGTTCATAGGTGTTTCTCATTTTGTATATAGATTAGACCGTTGATTTTCCTGTTTGAATTGATTTACACTAGTCATTTTGGGGCCTTTATAGCTTGCTGTTCGGTGCGAGCCAAGGCTCTGTGTTGAAGGCCGTACTTTGACCTATAATTGTTAACTTTAAATACTGTAAATTCAGAAATTATTGCGTGCATTTATTATTGCGATTTTGTCATTTTAGACTAAAATGCGTTTTTAATTTTTGCGATATTGAGAAAAATCCTGTTTAATTCATATAAAAAAATTCAAAATGCGAGTTAAAATTATTGCGATTATAACCCTGTCGCACTTTCGCAATTATAAGAACATCGCAATAATTTCTGAATTTACAGTACATTGTGACTTGGATGGAGAGTTGTCTTATTAGCACTCATACCACATCTTATTTATATACAAAGTGCCAAAAAGACAAAGAACAAAAATGAAAACACCAAAATAATGGAGACACAGACAACCAACATATAACACAAAAAACTAAAAAGTACACACATCAACGAACAGCACGAACCACTAAAAACTGGGAGAGGCCTTGCGGTCATAAAACTTGCGAGCACGATTTTCGTACTCAGACTCAGAAATCAACCAATCAAAATCCTGGATTTAGTGTTTAGAGCACAAATTTTGTACTCCGAGTAATAAGTGTAGTTTTATGACCGAGAGCCCAGGTGTTCCAGAAGAATGAGCAGTTCCTGCTTCTTGCAAGACACCGGCCTTGTTGCTAGGTATTAGTCATGTCCGCTGAAGGAGGATAGACATCTATGACCATTCAATGGAGATCATTTAAGACAGTTGAAATAATTATTCAATTATTCAGTTCAAGATCTGATGTCCTCAGAAAGTAACAGTAATACAAGAAGTCATAAATATGCTGCAATTAAAAGTGGGCATTACATGTCTTGGTGAACAGGAAAAAAAACCACTTCAGCAGTTGATAAATTAAAGAAATGTCAAAGTACAAGTGGTAAATCAAATTTCATACCATCTTGTTTTGATCAACATTGTCAGAACCTATGATTTTATGTTTACTAAAAAAAAAATATAATCGCTTGCCTTTACTTTTCAAGCTTCGTCTCAAAAAATTTGCAAATTAAATTTTTTTTATTAAAATTTTCAAATTGCTCGCTCGTCCTAATTTTCGGGGGTGGAAAAATCCGTAGAACAAGATATTAAATTGGTGTGGCCTTCAGAGGAGTATCAAAAATCTATTTTAAAATCTTAGAATTGACCTGAAATTGAATTGAAATAAAATAATTCTACATCCCAGATAAGCATGATACCACAAGACCTTCAAAGCTGCTGTCAAATAAAAAAAAATGTAATCATTATCCAGAACACTATTTTATGTTATTTTCTTACAATAAAGTCATTAAAACTTACATACCTGTTCTGTGAATATTGAGAGGGATCTGTGTATACTTCTCCTCTACAGATATAGTGAGTGGTTCTATACTCAGTATACCATAGGGGTCATTGCTTTCTTCTATCCTCACTAATGATGTGGCATGTAGTATACTTAGTCGAGGAGATATTTCTGAAAAAGTGATGTGTCAAGATTGTAATAAAATTAAAATTGTTGTGAAAAATCAATCCATATATATATATAAAAAGTTAGAAGAAACATTAATGAGACAGCAACCAAAAAACACAATAAAACAAGAAAACAACTAGGGGTCAACATATGGTCTAATATTCTAGACACATGACTAAACCCTATGTTAATCTCTAAAACAACCTTAATCTAGACAATAGACATAGACTATTTAAGATCTGTCACCATCATGAAATTCCTTCAAGGACAAACAAACTCTACTGATCACAGATTTGAAATACATAGAGGTTAAATAAGTTTTTTGAGAACTCATCCATGTCAACTTTATCATCTCAATTACTTGAACAATCAATTGTACATATAAAAACTAATATTTAAAAATAGAATAAGAAAAATCACACATCTCGTAATAATATCACTTATTTGTTACTTAAACTAAGTATAAATGTTTGATAACAGTATATTCATATTTTCCTCAATTAAGTCCAACTTTCATATTTTTAATAAAGATACATGCTAATTAATTTAATTTAATTGTTTAATCAGTTTGATTTGCGGCAGTCATGTGAATGTATTTTGTTAATAATTGATTTACTTGGAACTAGTTCTGTAGGATATTTTTCCACATATGTCAGGTTAATGTGAAAACTTTCTTCCTCCTCTGGATGGTTATCTTGTAAAACCTGAAAAGAAAAATACTCTTAAACTGAAAAAAACATCAATTTAGCCATCATGTAAAAAAAATTTACAAGTTTGGCAAAACTGAGCTATTCACTCTTTACTAGTCATATAGTAAACTAATTGTATACAAAGGAACGTTCATTAAGACTATATAATACCAAAATATTTAAACAGAGAATATTGGAATTTTTTGTAGTTGGGCAAAATTGATGTAGAAAAGAAATTGTCAAGGGAGATAACTCATTATCAAAGCTACTGTTAATCCCAGTACCATTATTTCAACATTAGTCTTTACTTTAATGTTATCCTCAAAGCTTTTCTTAGTTCTCAGTTCCATTATTTCAGCGTTAGTCTTTAACACAAATGAATAGAATTCTCAAAGAATGAAAATTGTCGACCGTGCGAGACCTTCATGGGTAGTCAAGGTCGATAAACACCCCCTAGTAGTAAGAAGGAAAACTGATACACACCTGAATCATTATGAGAGCTGATATTTCTCCTGGTTCCATGATGACAGCATTGGTCTCTGTTGTAATGTAATCTAGACCCCTGTCAGCACTAACACCTTGAGACCTGTAGGTTACCTCTATTTTACCTTGGGAACCATAGATTCTTTGTACCAATAAATATGCCTTCAAAATATTAAATAAGAACTTTGAAATATATATTTATTTCAATACTTATATTTTTCTGTCCAAAAACAATACTATTTCCAGTGAGTTCATCTGTTATAAAAAAAATACTTTCCCTTAATGTCTAAGCATTAATAGTTACCTGTCAGCAGAGAAACACCATCTCGTTTGAAAAACAACAGATAACCTATACTGTAAATTAAGAAATTATTGTGAGGTTTTTATTAATGAGAATAACGTGACTACTTGAGTATCGCAACAATAAGAACTCACATTCTGATATCAAATACATATCTGTATGTAGCTTTTCCTTAAATCGCAATAATTAAACTCGCATTTTTGTTAATTCTTCAAAAATCGCAATAATAAATGCATGCAATAATATCTGAATTACAGTAATTAATGTGATTTTTGAAGAATGAACAAAAATGCAAGATCAATTTTTGCAATTTTAGGAAAAGCTACATACAGATATATGTTCCAGGTATCAGAATGTGAGTTCTTATTGTTGCGATACTAAAGGAGTCGCATTATTTGCATTAATACAATGTAAAAACCTCACAATAATTTCTGAATTTACAGTAGTTTGTTTAGATATTGAGGACAATAAGACCAATGAACTCCAAGGTAAAATACAACACAGTTATTTGTATCAAAAATATTTGAGTTGCTTTCTCCCTGAAAAGACATATTCTTAAAATCCTAAACTTTTAAATATACCTTTTCTGTCAGTTCAGAAACTACAGGACTGGTAGAATTATCAGCAAATCTGATTACACCATAAGGTTCTATCTGTACAGTGGTTTTGGTAGGGTCAAGTTTGGTTCCTCCTGATACTGTGGTAGATGGGGTGTGAGGTAAATGTATCACAAAATACTCCACTCTACCTGGTAAAGCTGTCACCTGCAAACAATAATTCAAAGAGAATCAGATTATTTCAAAGAAAAGCCAAAACTCCAAAATATGTTTCTTATCTGAAATTGCCATCTTGTTGAAATTCTAGATCTTTTTCAGCTTAACATTCAAATGAGATCTTGTTGCTCCAGTGGGAAATAGTTCATACATATTCTGAACAGTTCAACTATTAGGAAGATTCTACTCAGTATAAGGAGAAAAATAGCAGTCAACTTTGACGGTCACTAGAAGAAATGGGTACTATGTTGACTAGGGACAAAAATAGTGTCTTGCAACAGGTCATCTAACGACCCTTCATAAATTTGATGCAATGCTATTAAACCGGCATAGAGTGTGTCGATCACTTTTATATAAATCATCAGATTATACGTCTCCAATCACTCTATTGAAAGAAAACAATAATTCTGACATAGTACTTTACTAGGAAAATTTGATTTAGACTTGGTGGAAAACTGAAATCTTTAGTGTCTACACTATAAGGTATATAGCTATACACTTACAGTAACACTGAAATCTTTAGTGTCCACACCATGAGGTATAGAGCTTTACATTTACAGTAACACTGAAATCTTTAGTGTCCACACCATGAGGTATGGAGCTTTACACTTGCATTAACACTGAAATATTTAGTGTCCACACCATGAGGTATAAAACTATACACTTACCGTAACACTGAAATCTTTGGTGTCCACACCATGAGGTATAGTGACAGTTCCTATCTGAGGAGTTATGCTTCCTAAAACACCATTCCCTGGATCCTGGCCAGAACGATATCCTATTTGCCAAGGAATGTTTACAGGTCCATATGTCCCAGTTCTGTGAAGGGTCATTGTGGCAGTGTTGGTTTCTGAAAATGTAAAAGTAAAAATGACAGTGCAAATAATTAGTGATTTAGAATGATCACAATGAGAGCATTATAAAAAAAAATCTTGACACAAACCAATGAGACAAATCAGTAAAATATGTCTAAACCCTTTCAGACTAAAGATTTTTTTCAATTGAAATAAGTTTTCAGTTTACATAAGTTATATTGTTGAAGTAAATTTATTGTTATACTCTTATACAAGATGTCAGCTTGCATTTTTTTTTTCAAGTTTACACAGGATTTAGTTTGTACAGACTTTACTATAACAAGCATCATCTTATAACAGCAAAAAATTACATTGAGCATTACAATAAAGAGCTGCGCCATGAGTGCATGATACGCCCGTCGCTTTTTCAACCAATAAAGTTCCGTAACTCCTCAATGTCATATCAGAAATTTATAAAAACTAAAGGGAGCTTATTTTAATAGACATAAACCAGTCACCAAAGTTTCATGAAAACTGCTCAAAGCATTTTTCAGTGATTGTCCAAAAAATTGCCCCCTTTTTTATGAATAAAATCCCATAACTCCAAATCATAAAATCTAAAATTTATAAAAATCGAAAGGGAGCTTACATCAATAGATATAAACAATTCACCAAAGTTTCATGAAAATTGGTAAAAGCGTTTTTGAGTTATTGTTCGACATGTTGACAACGGACAGACAGATGGATGGACGGATGGACAACGGTATAACATAATACCTCCCGTAAATGGGCGTATCAAAATTAAAACAAATTTTGATGTATGATATATATATATGGCAATTACTGAATATTAATTCATTTCTTGAAAACTTCAAAAGAATCTACAGACCATATTCCTGCAAAAGGCTGTGTCATAATTTGCTTATAGCAAAGACTTATACTGCGAGAGATTGTGTTTTTTTTTTAAATTTTAAAATTACACATGACAAAAATCAAAAATGTTTCAACCAATATATCAATCAGGAAATGTATGTGTTTCTTTTTAATTGCAAGTTTGTGCCAAACAGATTTTTCATCAAATGCCCTCTACAAATAAAAACTATTTGATGACAAAATTCCTGAAACAAATTTATGTGGCAATCACAATCAATGCTAAAGGTGATCTTGAAAAAACATGTCATTATACTTAATTTAACAACACTAAGCTGTATCTAGTACATCTAAAGTATTGACAAATAGGTAAAGTTTTGCCTACCTTCATTTATACCGGCCAATAAATCTCTGAACCCTATCACACTATTAGCTGCTTCTGATGGCACTGTTATCTTGGCTTCTGTTTCTAGTGGCTTTAATGCTGGTGGTTCTGTTACTAGAAGTGGGAATGACAAGTTGGGTAATTATAAAAAAAAAATTAAATCAGTTTTTTAATGACTGCAGCCCTCAATTATCTTTAGGTATTAACTATATGTTATGTGTTCTTTTAAAAAAAATATTATTGCTATTTTCCAAGATTTTTTGTTGGTCTTTCTGTATGATGATTTTCCATATCATACTACTCGGTTTTTCTCTGTCAAGTAGAAAGAGAATGTATGATGTCATGGGCCTACGTCACAATGAGACTGCACATGAGAAACAACCTCTCATTGAAAGAACATCCATAATCTATAATCATATCTGGATGCATTGTTTGTAAAAATATCACAAAATACATGTACTTAAAAGTAGGAAATATATTTGTGTTGTTGGGCTGGTATCTTATTGAAATGTACCTCAAATCTCCTGACATTTATAACTTTTACTTATATTAACAAGTAAAAGTGTATTTAATATACGACAGCAGTTTTTTGCTTTTGATAGAAAAATCATTCTTTTCTTCCTGGATTCTTTAATTTTGGGTTTCAAGCTTATAACAAAATCCAAATATATAAAGATCATTTTTTTTTCTTTAACAATACCTTATAAAGATTAATGAATTTTTTTTATAATAAACTGTTTTAGACATCAACACACACAACTGTTTAAATAGTGCAATTAGAATAATAATAATAATTTACTGAGAACAAAGACCACAAAATGCCAAAATCTCTCAAATCCATCAGAATACTCCATGGGTTTGTGTAAATATTGTTCTGTTTAATATTTAAAAAAATATACAAAAAATATAACGAGTCTTGTTATACCTCCAGCGTCAAAATAATCTACTGCTTTAAGGGTAGCTGTAAATGTTGTACCAACAGCCAGAAATCCATTTCCTTCTATTGCTGTGGTAACCCTTACACTTGTCTGACCTTCATTGAACTGCACTCTGCCAGTAGTTTTTGAAAGAACAATACCAGACTGTGGCTGAAATATTTAACATGGTTTGATAAATTTTTTTATTTCAGTTTCCTAAATTACAACACATGGACAAAAGTCATTTCCTAATAATAAATAAATGTAAATGAATACATAATCAATGTACTTGTAAATTCAACATTTTTCATGATACTTTTATTACTATGAAAATCGTGACTGGATAAATTTTGCAAAAATAAAAAGTTATATCTTGAACTTTGATTGCATTATTTGTTTGCAGCATTTCCTGTTATCACAATAATTTATCAGCATTTGTGTCGGTTGTTCAACTTTTGCAATAATAAATGCATGCAAAAATATTCTGAATTTACAATATATGATAGCATTTTTTTTATTCAATAAAAAAACAAATATCTATAGAAAAGTAACAAATAATAAATAATGAATCCTTTATGGAACCTTAAGAAATCAAAAGATCTTAGTAAAATAAATCAATATACCATAACCATACCGGAACCAATCACATTCAATTTTGAACCTAGTTTCTTACCTGGAAGAATAAGATTGATTGATTGTTGGTTGCTTAATGTCCAGTGGCAAATATTTCATGCATGTTCAGGACGAGAACAAATTAACAATAAATACAATAGGTAGGTACTGTTTTAGAGATAATCTCGGACAAAGTCTGGGGAAATTTGGAAAGAGAAGAAGAACCTTATCAGTCATACTTACAATATCATATTTTAAGGTGAATGTCAGCACAACTTTACCGAATGTTCCTTCGTGTCTAGTGAAATTCAGTAGTACAGATCTTACTAAATCTGATGGGTCTACATTTATCACTTGTTGTGACTGGATTAGTCCAAATAATCCATGAGGGTGGTCGTTGTATCTGTAATGGAATGTTTTAAGTTCTCAGTATTTGTTCAAAGTAATGTGTGAAGCTGTTCATACAGTTGAGTAAAAGGGTGTCCAAGAAATTTTGTTTGGCTCCTTTTTTTAAATGAAGATTTTTGCCTTAAGAATGATTGATTAAACATCAAAGGCTATGTAATTTACTTGTATATGAGTGAGTCAGTAGGATACTCTTTGGTGTGATTATTACAACCAGTTCCTATATTTTAAGAAATTTGCTGGGGTGCAGGAACTGATTATTGCTCCAGAGCACCTCAGTTCAGCTCTAGTTTTTCAAAGGTATTTGTGTTTTTTTTACTTTAGCATTGTAAGCTCTTTGGGTTGGACATAAGGCATTTAAAATCTTCTATTGTATGCCTCTTAACCTGTTATGACTCATCAAAGCTTCTTAACAGATGTTACAAGACAGGTAGGTGTCGACAGTGGTGCTGACTTCTCCAGAGAACCAGAGTTCACCTTTGTTTTTGTTGGTATGTCTTGTTCATCCTTTCTTTTTATTGTAGTTTTGTAGATTGTAGGCTTTTCATATTCAAGAATGATACTAGCACATACAGTTTCTGTTATGCATGAAGTGAATCTGTGTAAATATAATAGAAAATACAAATCTAATGTGAAATAGAAAATACAAACCTAATGTGAAATACAGCTTCATTATTACTAGTATCTATCTCAGCACCACCTTCCACTGAGGTTAGGATAACCTTAAAAGTTTCTGTCAGTTCTGGAAGCATATCTGGTAATATCTGAATGTTAAAGCTGGCATCTCTCTGTAAATTACCAATATAAACAGAACCATTCCTGGGTTGGAAATCTGCAGTGCTATCAAATGGTCCAGTTATTTCCCAAAACACCTATTACATAATAGAAAGAACCTTATTCTATATTGCCAAAACACTTATTTTAAGAACTATCTGTAGGTAATTTTTTTTTTCATACAGCATCATATTTTAAAACAGGAAGCTATAACACTGGGCTTGGTTTTCAAATAAGACAATTTATACTTTTGACCAAACAAAATTAATAATACTATGGAATTAATAATACTATGGAATTAATAATACTATGGATTCACTATTACATGTGGAATAACAATTTTCTTTGATTTAGTGGGTAAAGGTGAACCCATAATTTAAATGTTCATCAAAATCCCACAAAAATATATGAATCCACAGTAGTTGTGTTTTGCATTGCATAGAAAGGTAGATGCTTTTGATTTGAAATTGTGTCAATATCTAGAAATTCAAAGTGTGAAATAGTCATTGACATTATGCTTTATTGCCATCTTTTCATACACTGACATAAACTTGGATTTTTATATAGTGTATAAAAGCAGTAAAAACCCTTTTGTATAATATGCGTTATGTACATGAATTACATACCTGTAAGGTTACCAACTACTCCTGTGGATGTCATACTCTCTATGTCCATTAATTACATACCTATATGGTTCCAGCTACTCCTGTGGATTTCATAGTCTCTATGTCCATCAATTACATACCTGTATGGTTCCAACTACTCCTGTGGATGTCATAATCTCTATGTCCATTAATTACATACCTATATGGTTCCAAATACTCCTGTGGATGTCATAGTCTCTATGTCCAACAATTACATACCTGTATGGTACCAACTACTCCTGTGGATGTCATAGTCATAATGTCCATTAATTACATACCTGTATGGTTCCAACTACTCCTGTGGATGTCATAGTCTCTATGTCCATTAATTACATACCTATATGGTTCCAACTACTCCTGTGGATGTCATAGTCTCTATGTCCATTAATTACATACCTATATGGTTCCAACTACTCCTGTGGATGTCATAGTCTCTATGTCCAACAATTACATACCTGTATGGTACCAACTACTCCTGTGGATGTCATAGTCATTATGTCCATTAATTACATACCTGTATGGTTCCAACTACTCCTGTGGATGTCATAGTCTCTATGTCCATTAATTACATACCTATATGGTTCCAACTACTCCTGTGGATGTCATAGTCTCTATGTCCATTAATTACATACCTATATGGTTCCAACTACTCCTGTGGATGTCATAGTCTCTATGTCCAACAATTACATACCTGTATGGTACCAACTACTCCTGTGGATGTCATAGTCATTATGTCCATTAATTACATACCTGTATAGTTCCAACTACTCCTGTGGATTCTTCACGTTTGATTGGGAACTGTAACTGAAAAGGATTTATTCCTGTTGGTTCATCTACTGTCCTTTCTGTCAAAGCCACACTATTAAACTGTATTACACCACTAGGGTCTCCATTCTTCTCAATCTGTAATTATATTGGAACCTTCATAATAACCTTTGTAACCTTCATAATAACCTTTGCAATCTTCATGATATAACCTTTCACATAAACGAATGAGTTTTTTTTTCCAATTTGCCTTTAATTCAATTTGATACTTTGGATAGGTTTTACTTAAGTTCAAATAAAAATGAAACACATTTGAAATGTTTATTCAAGGATCCAAAAAACATCAGTCAGTCTGGAAAATTATTAGACTTACAGTGACTGAAGCCTTGCCAGTATTTGGTCCTATCTCTCCATCACCACTTAATTTGGGGTAACCAGTAATTGTGACAATCTCTACAATAAATATTTCTTGTATTTCCCAACTGGAGTAAGGTTTAATATTCAGGGTAATGGTTTTTGCTGCTGATTCTCCATCAGACCACACTAGATTACCACTAGTGCTTTCTTGGTTGTTGCTGATGTAGAAGATATCATTGGTTTCCAGCAGTACTCTCTGTGGATTATTTGGTCCCATCAGTCTCCAAGTAACCTTAAATATAAATGGAATGTATTTATATGGGTCTTTTAGGCCTAGTTGGGCTAAAATTTGAGATCTTAAAATAAAAAATGGTATTCCCCACACTTGCCCTGTGGACAAGACAAAACACAGCATTTCTATTTCATTGATGCACCTTCTTTTTACTGACTAAATTGTTCTTGCAATTGACTAAAATTTTAATCAGTTGAAAAAAAAATTGCAATTTGAAAAGAATATTTGGCTCATTAGCAAAAAGAAAAACAAAACCTTCATTTAAAAGAAATATAGTACTGTGGATACATGATCAATCATTGAATTTCAATTTTTGCAGACTTCATGGGTTAAGGTTAACCACAACTTTAAATGTTCAACAAAGTACATATTTTCTAAAGGCTTGTATGCAGACCTTAGCAAAACCAAGAAATCTCTTATATCCATGAAAATACAATTTCTCCTTAATCCACAGAAATAAATGAATCCACAGTAAATCATTAACCATTCAATCTAGCATTCTAGTTGAGTTCAAGAATAAACAGTTTCAAAACAAAAGTCTTTTATCACACATAATTTCTCACAAGCAGTCACAATTCCTGACTTCAAAATCTTAAAAGATTATAATATAAAATAGATATATCTTACTGTTTGTTGACCTTTTACACCTCCCGACCTTTCAATGGTCAAGGTCGTTTGTACTTGTCTAGATGGATTCACCATGACAGTTTTCAGAGGACCTTTGAATCCAAACATTCCATTTGGATAATCTGATTTGGCTATGGTAACTGTTGTTGTAGAAATAGCACCAAGCTTGGCACCACCTGCAATTATTATAAACTCATGATGAAGTCCTGAATATATAACTAGAAAAAACATATAAAATTATTAGGCAGCATTCATTCATAAACCAGAACTGCCTTGTTGCAAATTTTACAGTGAAAAGGCTAATATAATATGTAGTGTTACAATGAATCAGTAATAAAACTCAAAAATTCCTTTCCAGATAAAACAAGAATTTGAGCCCAAAGGACACCATGCCCTGCTCGCACTATCTTATTTCCAGATCCAGTGAACTGTGAAATCTTGGCCAAAACTTTAATTTGGCATATATATTAGATAGTTCACATCATAATGAATATAATAGCTGTGTACTAAGTTTCAGTTTGATATAACCAAAATCTACCCTGAACAAAAACTTTAACCTACCTTGAACTAAAACTTTAACCTATCACATTTCCATGTTTTGTGAACCATGAAATCTTGGTCAAAACCTTAATTTGGCAAATATCAAATAGTTCACTTTATAATGAACATGTGTAGTAACTTTCATGTTGATATTACCACAAACTCTTTAACTTTCTTTAAACCAAAACTCTAACCTGATACGGGACAGGCAGACAGACTAAAGGATGGATTGACCCACTAACCAGAAAACATAATGCCCCTCTACTATCCTAGGCAAAGCATAAAATGAATTTGTTCAACAGAAAATTACTAAAAAATCATATGGCTTAATTGTATTTATTTTATTACCAAGCTAGACTTTATTTCCCAAGGATATATATTACAAAGCAGTATCTTACCATGTTAAAACTTACCTATAATACTATTAATGGTAATAGTGAACTGTTCAGCATACTCCATTTCAGAATCATCTTTCAGAACAATATCTATGGTGGCCTCATTTTCACCATCCTGAATAATGAAGTCAGTGTCAGCCATCACATAGTCCACACCAGCTGTAGCATTTATTTCAGTAACAGTAAATCTCACTGTCAATCCACCATAATTACCTCCCTTTCTGACAACAGGTATCTTAGCAACACCTGACTCTTCCAACACTGTAAATAATATAAAAATAAATTTACAGTAAAAAAAAACATGTGTTATATCTTGTTTCATACCTTAAGCAGCACTCTGAACTATTAAAACCAGAGGGTCTATTTTAATTCATTATTGGGATGTTTGTTCTGTTCTGCCTTGATACTTTGTACATTTTGTATTTGCACAGCAGAAAAAACTTCTTCTATGGGAAAACATTCATATAATCTATTTTCAAGCAAAAAAATCAAAATCATTTCTTAATCAAGAAGGTGAGTAATGTGAAACAAAGATTGAATAAATACAGATGGACAAGGTCAGCGAGTACATCAACCACACTAGTATTAGGGTCAAATACACAAACAGTCCTAAGTTTTGTCTGTATCTTCATTTCAACATAAAATGTTTTAAAATATGGCTTGAAGATGGAAAGTTACAAAAAACTTGAATACCAGTAAACTTGTCTGCTTTAAACTCCACGGTTCCCTCAGCATTATCATTCTTCTCTATAAGTATGGTCTTTACATTGAGGGATCCAATAGCTGGGGCCATGTCTAATTGTAGTCCATTTACAATAGTATAGTTATTGTTACTGTAAAATAAGAAACAGTGTTAACAGCATACCATAGATAAATATATTGCTATTTTCAGTAAACTTTTCTTTAATATGATAACAATCTTTCAACAGTACCATTATAAAAATCACAGAAAAAATCAAAAAACTAACTTTAACTATGTTTTTTTTAAATCATGCAACACTTCAACCCTTTTACTTTCATTTTGATCATGCAAGATGAAGTGAAGAAAATTCACACAAATAGATAACATCAAGGAAAATATAAAGTTATACAGGATAAAGGACATTTCTTGAATATTTTTTTCTCTGAACTAAATGGTCCCTAATTTTATCTGTATCTGTGTCTGTTTGCTCTGACTCCCACGTACCTTGGTACATTTAGTCTAGCAGACATCAGATTAAGATAAAACATCTCTGGACCTTCTGGTATATCATCTTGTTGTATGGTGATTTCCACATTCTTTTGTTTCTGTTCATGTTCAAAGGTCAATGTCCCTGATGTTCCATAGAAATCTTTATTGACCTCAGCTGTTCCAGGTGTGGTTGTGTACGTCAACATTACTCTGTTTATCCTACCATATAGACGTAGTATAGGGATACTGACCTATTCAATTAAAAATAATAATCATTTCTTCATGATAAACTAAAGCAGATATTACTTCTACAGTAACAAAAAAAAACAATGTTACACTGGCTGATAAAGGATTTTCAAAGAGGGGCCCAGAGGGGCCACTTTAAAAATTAAAGTCAGAAACAAACAAAAAATACACTAAAAGACACAAATGTTGGGCTATAAGTGGGCCCATAGTCTCGTCCCATCAGACCCCCCTGGATCCAACTATGCTTAACATGTATTACTGCAAGGACATACAACATTTAAAAAACACCGACAATACCAATATGGTGTCTTAAAGCCTTTACTCCTAAATGAAGTGTGTTCAACAGAGAATCAGCCATTATCAATTATAAAGTCTTATGGTTTGAATTAGCAGAAATACCAGTGGATGTTATTATAATCAATAGAACACGCCCGCGACATTGCGGATCCGTGACCTACAGTACGCCTTTTTTATAGTGTGGATTTTAATTCACTTGCATTAAAAGATGTAAATAGTATTCAGTTACGGTTTTTGCATTTCTGTATATTTTTAGGACAATAATATTTTATGAAGGAATGCATATACCCTTTTTGTTTTAGTATTTAAGTTCTTAATGTTTTATTTTTAAATAAGTAGTATTAAAATTAAGAAAGGTCTTTAAATACCCGTGTGACAAAGGTGCTCCGACAACGGAGGAATTTACTTAGAGAAGAAGAAGCCATATACTATTGGTATCGGTATCAGATTCGACCCGGAATTTGTTAATTATTGGTAATATTAATTATGTGGAAAATAAAAGACCCTGGAATGGTGTAATTTTTAATCAACACCATTGTCCTATATTAGTTACATATAAAGTTGAATTCTTTGATTTGTTGTATTTACATCATGACGGCTAACAAATTGGACTTAAGTATTATAGATTTCGCAGATAGTACGTCGACTGAGCATGCGGGAAAGCGTATAAGACACGGATCAATAACGGTCTCCGAATTTGGATATTTTCTCAAAAATTGGCGTTTTCTGAGGAAAAAAGATTGTTTCAAAGACAAATTTAGGAAGTACGAAACACTACATTTATACGTCATATCACAAATATTTCCAACTTTTTATGGTTTCAGAGGAGTTGCGGCTCAATGAAATTAGTAGTATAGATATCTTAATGTTTTTTGTTATTTGCAAAATTTTGTGCTGGTGGCTGAACTTCAATAGTCTCTGTTGCATTTATTCACAATGTTTTAAGACTCTGGCTGATTTAGAGCTTTGAATATTTTATAGACAGCCTGTCTATTTTTCAAGATCATGTGTTGACCTCTTGATATCATTTGGTTAATCATGCCATTGGGTGGCAGTATCATTAAGGTAAATTGCCCCACATCTCCTTTTATTCATATTCAATATATCAACCTAAGTTCTCCCAGATTCAAGACAAGCATGCTTCCACAAAACCATCAGTACAGATTGTAATTTAAAATGTAAGCAGCCACTTTAGTTTTCTAGTTGCTTCTTTATATTTTTTTTGCAAGGAGACATTTGGACCATTCAAAATTATGTAAATATTTATGAAGTCCTACTTTTGCTGTATCCTCTGTAACACTGGTAATTTCAGGTAATGTGAATTCAAACAGTCCATGTGGGTAGTCACTAGCAACATATATAATTTCAGATTTAAATGTTCCTTGCTGACTAGATATAGTGGCTCCACCTGTAGCAGAATTAATCTGTAATGTATAGATCCTCCTTATTTCTGCAAGGGTGTCATCTTTTGTCTAAAAATTAAAAAAAAATTGACCAAATAAAGATATTTTGATATGTAGTAAAAATTTGGAATATGTTGAAGAACAACCATATTATGAATAAAGAAAAGTAAATCTCATGTGTTGATGAATTATAATTCTTTCTGCAATATTTTGTTGAATTATAACTTTTAATATAAAACAAAGAGATGTGATATGATTGCCAATGAGACAACTATTCACCAAAGTTCAAAAGATTATATATTATTATAGGTCACTGTACAGCCTTTAACAATGTAAATAAAATGTTTCGCCGAGCTCAGCCTGATACGACCGCAGAGGTCGAACCGTGAACAGTAAGGGTAAGTTTGGACACAATATTCAAGCTTGATACTGTCTGAATTTGGATTATGATCAAATTTTTGACATAATATAGGTTTCTGACACAAAATAAATGTGGTCAAAGATCTTAAAAATTTCAAATAGGACATTTAATTTACCTAGTATGGTCTGATATCCAAAATCTAACAACATGGTTATATTCAGCACATAAAAAAAACACCAAAAATTTAATTTTAGTTGAAATCAAACACATTTTAATTTTTGACCTTTCAAACCTTAATATGGACTATAAATGTGAAAACAGGGTCCAAAATAAAAACTCTAAATGCACAATAAGATTCAGCATATCATAGAGCCACAATAATTCAGTTTTTGATGAAATCAAACAAAGTTTAATTTTGGACCCTTTGGACCTCAATGTAGACCAATTTAAAAATGGGGCCCAATATCCAAAATAGTAATACAAGGTTAGAACCCCCCAAAATAAAAGACTTTATATTAATCCCCTTGAAATTGGTTAAAAGATTTGTATTTATTTTCAATTGAAGATTCATTGCTATTGAGCAATACTGTGCAATTGAAGATTTCTTGCTATTGTGCAATACTGTGCTATTGCGCAATCCTGTGATATTGCGCAATACTGTGCTATTGCCCAATAATGTGCTATTGTGCAATACTGTGCTATTGCGCAATACTGTGCAATTGAAGATTTCTTGCTATTGCGCAATACTGTGCAATTGAAGATTTCTTACTATTGCACAATACTGTGTAATTGAAGATTTCTTGCTATTGCGCAATACTGTGCAATTGAAGATTTCTTGCTATTGCGCAATACTGTGCAATTGAAGATTTCTTGCTATTGTTCAATACTGCACAATTGAAGATTTCTTGCTATTGTGCAATACTGGGCAACTGAAGATTTCTTGCTATTGCACAATAGTGTGTGAATGTTTTTGGTGTGTATCTCCTGTCATATCAGTATTTGTTGCTCTATATATAAATCAGAAATAATCAATGTAAAAATGGAAAATTTTTAGAAAAAAAAAAAAAAAAAAAAATATGAAAAAAATCCCCCCCCCCCCCCCCCCCCCCAATTTTTTTTTTTTAAATTTGAAAAAATCCCCTCCAAACTTTTTTAACCCCCTTGGAGTAATTACCCCCAAACTCAATCCAAGCCTTCCCTTTGTGATATGGAACCTTGTGGTACAATTCCAGAGAGATCCATACACTTACACAAAGTTATTGTCCTGAAACTACAAAAAGGCTTGTTTTTGGCCTCTAATTCCTAAACTGTTGGTACCATAACCCCCATAATCAATCCCAACCTTCCTTTTGTGGTATTGAACCTTCTGGTAAAATTTAAAGTTATTGTCTGGAAACTAAATATGTCTTCGGACGACGCCAACGACGACGACATGATACCATTATACAAACGCCAAAAAATTTTTGCGGCCGTATAAAAACCCATACCGTATAGATAGCTACAAAAGGCTTGTTGTTTATTCTTTTAAATAACATCTGCCTTCTTTATTTTTTGGCTCTTCAGTGGTTGACATTTATTTATATAATGTCTAACTGCTTTGTGGCATACTAATTTTGCCATTGTGAGGATATTGCTAAAGGCAATCATGACTTCTTTCCACTCTTGTTAGTTAATTGCAATATTCATAAAAAAAGGCAACATATGTTCAAAACTTGTAAATCCATTATCAATATACAAATCAAGATAAAATGGCTGAGGGAATTGCAAATGAAGCCAGACTTTGTGGGTAAATGCCTCTCAATACACACGATATAAAATCTAGGCAACCCCCCTGCCTTTTGAAATCTGAAAATGTTGTCTCTTATTCAATACAGCGGTTGAATCAAATTGTTATTAACTAATAATGAAAAATTAGATGAGTAATAGAGAGAATACTGACATAAATAGGTGATGTTGAGGCATGTGATTGCTAGGCTTATGTTATAAAGAAAAATAAGTCATATATATAAAAAATAAAACATAATAGAATACCTGTAAAGTAATCTTAGCGGTTTGCTGAAGGTCCACAAACTGAACAGTTCCCTCTACTTGCATGAAAGCATCTAAATCTCTTGGTGTTAACACCCATGTCACAGCTATGTTGCCATAGATACCAGCTCCTCTTGTCAGAACAATTTCTACTTGGCCATTGTATGTCGAACTGGACTCTCCTGGTTCCCCAATATAGACAGTGTTATAGTCAGGTAATATTCTGACTGTACCAGCTGATCCAAGGTCAGGAAGAAGGACAACTGAAGCATCCCCTCTGATGTGGGAGATATCAGCATTATTATCAGCTGATATCAGGGAGACTCTGAATTTCTCCTCACCTTCTAGTATATTGTCTATCTTAGTCTTCAAAGTAATACTTTCCTTAACATCTCCCTACAAAAAAAATTGTACATTGTTTTTATTCCTCAGTTCAGCAAATTTCACTCTAATGTGAAAGACCACCCTTAAAATTCACTTACGAAATAATTTATGACAAATATCAAAATGAGTGGTCTCTAAAAATAACAAAATATGTGAATGTATCTTAAAAAACCTAAACTAATTTCCCAAATTTTGATTTTATTACCATTTTTATTTCATTTTCACTTTCATTACAAACTTTGGCTATACTAATCAAGACAATTGTCACAAATATATATGTGCTCATACATTATTGTATTTTGTCTTTTAGGAAATTTGGTGTTGATTGAAGTTCATTGATCTGACACTTGTCTAGTATAGAAAACATATGCTAGTTTACATGTGTCTTAGGTTCTTTGTGTTTTTAAGTTGTTGTCTTATCTACTTATCTTCATATCCCTTTATAGATAAGTAAAAAAAAACAGAAATTATTAAAGACAGTGGCTTAAAGCCAGACGAAAATTAACCTGTGCAAAAACAACAGTTCCAAATATAGGTTCCATGAAATCATTAACAGCTTCAGCATTGAGTCTCCATTGTACATTAACTACACCTTCCATCCCTTGTATTCTTTCTATATCTAAGGTTACTTCTCCATTAGGATCATTCACACTGGTAGACTCCTTCACAGAAACCTTCAAAAAAATAAGTATTTTAAATTGAAATGCATAGAGATAAAAATGAAAACAAAAACTTATATAATACAAACAGTTATCAATATTTGAAGGTAAAAAATCACAATTCATTCAATACAAATTGAAAAAATCTATATGAATAGGATTATGAATAAAACAGCATATTCACCTGTGGAAAAAGTTTATTCACCACGCAAAACATCGTGTGCTTTTATGTGTATAATTATGGTAAAATCGTTTGATGACCAATTGGTTTTTGGTAAATAATTGTCATTTCATACATTTTCTCTGTCAGAATACAGAATAAAACATTTACTGTCTTTTTGAAAAGTCAATAAAACCACATATTTACCTCAAATGACAGTAATTGTATAATATTTCACTAGCACAAAAAAAGCTTCAAATTAGTGATATCATTAATGCCAAAAATGTTTTAAACAGCTTTCAAGATTTACTATAAAATAAAAGGGTTATTGCATGAATTTTGGTGAATATTATCCCTCGTAGAATATTTATTGCACCCACAAGCTCATGCAATATAAAAATCTACTCTAGACAATATGTACCAATACACATGAATATTCATGTAATTATTCTATGTTACTGTACATTCCCACTGACTTACCATTACATTACTACAATAATGTTATATGACCTCACCTGATTCTGAACAAATCTGAACAATCCATTGGGAGAATCATTTTTCAGAATGGCTATCCTCACTCTGGTGTTTGGACCTAAGGCAGATCCTCCTGTCACTGTCAAAAGTTTGATATCAAAAGTCTATAAAAGAAAATAATACCTTTACAGTCAACTTCTAAAATTGGTTTTCATATTAAAAGGCAACTCTCAGATATAAAAAATTATGAATTTTAGGTATAGAAAGTTTAAAAAAAAAAAAAAAGACTGATAAATACAACACTCAATCTTATAAGTAAAAGATTAAATTGCAGGTATGTATTGACATATAAGAAGAATTAGAATCTAAATTTCAGTACCTCCATCTCTTCTGCTATGGTGTCATCAAGTATTGTAATAGTTATCTGCCCTGATTCTTCTCCATCCATTAGAGTTAAACTACCACTAGGTGGCTGGAAGTCAGAAAATGAAGCCTCTTTGGTTTCAGCTTCCCACGACACAGTCACAGTTCCCAGCAGACCAATAGTCCTCTTGACTTTCAGTGATATAGTACTGTTTTTACCATATTCTTCATAAGTGTCAATTCTTCCTTCAATATTCTGAAATAACATGATATTGTGAAAAAAAAATGCTATCTTAATAAATATTTATTTTATCTAACGTAGTTATAAACAATGTATAAAATATGAACAGACATACTGTACTCTAAATAACATTTTCTTTTACAAACAGCAGGGAGATGTAGGGGGTATAAACTCTAATGTGACCATGAGCAAAATGCAATGAACCAATTGCAAGACAATCTCTTTAGTATTTTCTACTTTACACATGGTTTCCCTGCTCTTTAAATTGTATTGATTGTTTTGTATTATATCATAATCGTCATCGTCAATAGACATATCAGCATTAACTTCTTTTCTTCAAAAATGATACCCACTACCCAACAACCAATGCAGTATTGATTTCAATACCTCACAAATGTTTAAAACAGCACTTGGTAAAATTCAAATTGACTTGATCAGATTGCAATAAAACATGTTAACACTTATTTAAGTTTGATTATCTCATTAATGACTGTATATGTAACCTTCTTTGCTAAAACTTTGGAATGATATGGGACAAAAAATATAAAACTAAAGTATCATTTAATTGGTATGAACTAGAAATTGATTTGTCTATAGTGTTGCATTTTTAATCAGCTGACCTACAACTAAGCTTTCAATCATGTTTCCCAATTTTGGACTTATTATTAGTTTTAAGCATTTCAAAATGAACCCCACTTTTCTTTAACTGAGGATTAAGTGATCTGAGAATAAAAAACCAATACTGTCGCTCCTAATCTAAAAAAAAATAAATACATCTGACATGAAAACTGATGGCAAGATAACAACGTCTTGTGCTATGTTACAAACTTACAGTTGTAACATCAAATTCTACAGATCCTCTTGCATTGTCATTCTCTGTTATAGTAATAGTTATAATATTCCCAGGGACCTTGACACTAGGTTCAGCTCCTGCTGGAGGGGTCAACCCCATTACTGTTACACCAGTGATGTTCACAATAAATGATTCATCTGCCTCAGGAATGTCATCCTAAAAACAGAAATTATGTATGTATTTATGTTCCCTTCAAATCCCTAGAATGAGTTCTATGGTTACTTTTAAAGACTCAAACACTTTTTACATATTAGGAAAACTCTTAGCAAATTATTACATCTGTAGTACCATCTCTTTTGTATACAAGTCTCATCTACTGCACTCAAAATTATTGAAAAATTAAAGAAATATTTTGAAACTGTAAAGAAACTTCTACAGTGATGACAGGCTGTGTAAGCTAAAATGGAAATACTTTTTAGAGAAAGCTTTATAATTCCCATTACAAGCAAAACACCTACCTGTTTAATTACTAACTTTACAGGGACCCTGGTAACATTCTCTTGCATGATTACAGCATTCATACTGGCTACATAGTCTTCACCTGATACTGCTCTTCTGTCAACAGGGTATCCAGTTGCTATGCCTGTCCTGCAATGGAATTATCTCCCTTTTTCAAAAAAAATTACAACTAAAATCTGTATTCCTATCCAATCTTATTATACACCAATATTGGTGAAGTTCTGGTTTTTATCATATTTTGTCTTTAACAAATCATAAATTAAGTGAGTGAAATGTGAATGCAAATATTTTAATGACACTCATTCCTCTTTGATTTGTTTCTCTATTCACACTAAGTTTTCTCAAAACATAAACACTGGTGTTACTGAATCCACAGTCAATGAAGTGACATATTTTCTCAGGTCTGTCAGGTTTATACAATGTTTCTTTTTTGTGATTTTAAATCATTTCTCATATGAATATGAGCAAAAAAAAGTTGTTTTTTTGGTGAACAGATATAAACATACTGGAATGAAACTTGAAGTTGACCCATCATGCCTTGCTGCCTTGTGATGTATACTTCCTGTGTCAGGTCAGTACCATCAGGTTCTGGTAAGATAACTGACTCTCTTTCCCACAGAACTACACCATAAGGTGAATCATTAGCTTGTACGATTATCTTGGCTACATTGTTTTTTCCTGAAATGAAAAATTATTCAGAGGCTGTCATGACACCAGTGCAAAATATCATGTTATACACACATGTACACAATAATGTAATGTTACACAGGCCTCTGTATCTGAGTAGTCTAAGTAATTCATCTACCACAATCACTAGCCTGTCAACACTGAAGTGAATTCTCACCCCACACATGGCATGCATGTTTGACTCCAACCTTAATTTAACTAGGATTGCCATTTTCCTGTCAAAGGTCGTAGTTCTTTCTGGGCATGTTGGTTTTTTCCACCAATAAAAATTGGCTGCAGCAATATAGCCAAGAGTACTGAAAGTGGTGTTAAACACCAACAATCTATCAAATATGTGATATTACATTATTGTTATTAAACACACATGTGCACTATATTAGAAATTTACATTGATTTGAAATTTATATCATGAATTAGCACTTTAATCTGCACAATGTCCATTTCAACAATGTACATGTCAGTTGTATATTTTTTGTTAGTTCTTTGTCAAGAGCATTACTTTGGGTCAATTCAAGCAAAATCAGAAATGATATAAAAATGTTATATAATTTTCTTTTTATGAATGACTGAAATTTCAAGATTACCTTGGATGGTAACTTACAATTTTAACAGAAGTCTAATATAAATATATGGTCACCAAGCTTACCAATAACAGCTCCGTTTGAAGGATCTGTTGAACCAGATTCTACGATCTCAGTAAGACGTATATAACTTATCTCTGGTAATTCTGCAAGGTTGTCATTCAGAATAGTAATTCTTATTTGGGCAACTGAATAACCATTAGGAAACTCAATCTGTAATTTACAAAGTATTTAAACAATGAAAATTCATGACAATACTAGATATGCAATAAAGTATTGCAGCATATTAGCATTTATATTTACTATATTGATAATTACGGATATGTTCCAATTGTTCTCTCCACAATCACATCCACTTTTCCATGATTGTGACATCACCAGATGAGACTTATCCCCTAACTCATGTACTTGCATGAACAACAGGACAGGTGCCTAATATGGAGCACTTGTGATCACCTCTGATTTTTGGTGGGTTTGTGTTGCTCAGTTTTTAGTTTTTTATCTAGTGTTTTGTCGATTTGTTTGTCTTTTTGTTGGTTTCTTTATGTTTCATATTTGTTGCCATGGCATTGTCAGTCGCCCTTAGACTTATTTGTTTTGAATGTCTCCTTGGTATCTTCAATCTCTTTTTTACTACAGTTCAAATAATGTTTCCAAAACACTTCTACTTTAAAATATTTCACTGAAATACAGTATTTCTGAATAATTAGTCTAAAAAATCACTTACTGTTCCCTCTAGAGGTGTTAGATCTGACAAACCATTCTGGTCTCCTGTTATAGACCATCTGACCACTACTCTACCAAAGAAGCCATGTTTTCTCACTACCTGGATTTCAACAGTATTGTCTTTGTCATCCTCCTCTGTAACTAATTTCTCCAATGATTCCTAAAACAAGAGAAAATCTATATATCTTTTCTCTATTTCACCTGGATATATACAAGAATGCACAAGTCGTCATGCTAAGTACATGTATACTACAAAGTTTAAAGTAATGAAAATAGGAAGTAAGTGTTTGACAGATCCGAAACACACACACACACCTTACAACTCATCAATGTTGAGCAGCTGACAAAATAGGAAGTAATTCTGTTCACTAGTATTGGGGAAATGTGTAACAATAAGTTTTAAGTTCATTCAACAGGGTTAAAACATGTACATACTAGAGGAAATTCTATAATTCCATTAGCATTGTCATTGGACAATATATTGACTGTAATCATATTGTGTGGACCAATCTCAGCACCACCTGTAGGATTGCTAAGGGTTACATAGAAGGTCTCTGTTTCCTCTGGCTGGTCATCTTGTATTATGGCAACAGATGTATGTAAGGTCTTCTGACCAGGTTCAAAGGTCATTGTGATTGTTCTGAAAGGAAAAAAAACTTATGGATCACCTTAAATTTCTCAATGTTAAAAAAGAATTTTCAATGTATATGGTAACCAAGATTACACTAAAAGTAAAACTATAATAGTACCCTAATAGAAATAGAAAATCACTATGTGGGGTAAAATATAAAATCTGATTACTAAGTTTTCTGATCTGTCATTTTGAAAGTAAGAAATCTGAAACTAAGAGACGAAATAATTACGGTTGACATACTTGGGGAGACCTGCTGCGAATGATTCCGACAACAAAGGTAGGCGTGTTATACACAGTTGTGTAGATAAATCAATTTAGATCTACGGCATGATAAGTTTTAGTGGGGTTGACAACCGAGAAATCGAAATATAACGGAATTTCGCGACTGGGTGACATTTTTCAAAAATGCTAGTTAAGTACCTTGTGTTATATTAAGGTATATAGGATTTTTTTTTCAGAGACACGTGCCTGTGGCCTAACTATTTCTTGCAACACCATTAAGTTACAAAATATAAACTTCCATTGAAAATTAAAAAAGTGAAACAATAAATGCATCTTACCTTGGAGAGAAGTCACTGTCTTTTATTTTAACAAATTGATATACGGTGGTATTTTCTGTAGATGCTAAACCACCTACAGTCACAACAGCCAGGGCACCAGTTGCCTGTGGTATAAGGATAGGAAACATTGTGGTAGCAGGAGGGCCAGTCCATACTGATATAAATTTTTTATCATGTATGTCCCATGACAATATCTCAGAATTTCCTATGCTGTTTGAAACTACCAAATAGGCTGAAATAAATAAATCATTAAAACATTTGTCTTAGTTAAATATAAAATAGTAGCATGTAAAATAATCTGATGAACATTTTATTGTAAAGCAAATTTAGTAATTACATTAAATTCAAAAGTGATTCATACCAAAGTACAGTGTATGCAGTATTTACACTATTATTATAATGTATGTTTCATGATAATGCAGATGTATATAGTTGTTAAACAATATAGAAGTACTATGCTGGGTAGCAGCCAAACATGTAGGATGTATGATAAATGATACATTTTTGGAAATGAGTGCTTTTTATTTCAAGTCAGTGGTATAAAATCTTAAAGATTTCCATTTAACACCTTTCTCTGCTTTTGTTTTATGGTAGACAAGTTAAATGAATTACTCTACTATGTTATGGCCAAACATTAGAGATTTTGTTGATACTGACCATTCAGAAAATTGTTTTTGGTTATGAATATCTTTCAGACCATTTCATTCAAAGAAGTGATATTTTCTATGGCAGACAAGTTTGATAAAGTAAATTATAAAGTTTAGGTAAAGCTTTCTACTGGATTAACAAAAGCAACATACAGATTTCAGAATTACATTATATATTGTATTTATTTGAACAGCATACTGATTTACATTTTATCGTCCTTCCCTTCCTCTATCATCCTGCTCAGTTGCTCCGTAATTCTTATATCATGTCTTTGAGACGTGAGCAGAACTTATCTGCAAGGTCACAATGTCTGAGGAGAAGTTACTAGTGCTGTCAAAATATGTGAGGAGACTTTGTCAAGCTTAACATTATCTAAGGGAGGGAAAAAGACCAGAAATAGCTTGATAAACAGATTATCAGATTTGCTGTGTATATATATATTGTAAAATATTTGCCACTGGACACAATGTGAAGCTTTTTTCTCGTTCGCAGCGCTCACTCACTAAAAAGGTTCACATTGAAGCTTGCGGCTGATATTTTACGATAGAAAACCCAGTAATCTATACATATATATATACTGTGATCTTACCTGTGTCATCTGAGCCAATAAAAGCTGATGTTGCTTCTACACGATATGTGTCTAAGTCACTATGCTTAAAAAACATCTGTGTTGTCGAGTCCCATCTATAGACCCACGATTTCTGGGGACTGTTGACAGAGTCCCCTCTATTGTTAGCAAATACCAATATATTCAGGGACTGTATTAGTAGATGTGTGACATCTACAGCTCCCTCAGTCCTAATTCTCTGATGTTCAGAAAATTTCTTATCAGCATTTAATTTATATATGACTGAGCTGAAACACAGAAAATGATATACAGATTATGTTGATTGTTCAAAATTTTTTGAAGCATATCTAAACAAGAGGCTCATGAGAGCCTGATATTGCTCACCTACAATTTCAGTTTCAGGCATTTGACTTATTTGTAGATCTTACTTTGCTGAACAATTTTGTCATTTAAACTTTCTCTCTTTCTATAATAATATTAGAGATGATACATAAACTGTAAAATTTCCTAAAAAATTAACTATTTCTGGACAGTAACCCAACAATAAGTTGTCCTATTGGTCTAAATATTACTTGACAGGTAGATCTAAACCTGTTTAACATTTTCACCTATGTCAGTTTTGCTCTTTCTGCTTTAGTTTTTGAGATGAAAGCCAAAAACTTCATTTGACTCCTATGTTCTATTTTTAGAAACTGCCGCCATGTTTTTAAATGGATCAAATACCCGAATACAATCTATAAACTAGATACCCTAAGGAACATTCCATTGAAGTTTTTAAGTATTTGGCCAAGTAGTTTCAGAGAAGAAGATTTTTTAAAAAGTAATTAGACTTTCAAAAAAAATGTAAAAAAAAAACGTTTTAAGGGCAATAACTCCTTAAGGGGTGTCTTGACTATTTTGATCATGTTGACTTATTTGTAGATCTTACTTAGCTGAACATGTATTGCCATTTATACTTTCTCTCTATCTGTTATAATATTAAAGTCAATAACCTTAAACAGTAAAATTTAATAAAAATAAACTATTTCCAACAGTAACCAAACAATGGGTTGTCAAACTTGTCTGAAAATTTCATAACAGATAGATCATGACCTATTTATCACTTAAACTCCCTTTCACTTTTGCTCTAACTGCTGTAGTTTTTGAGATATAAGCCAAAAACTGCTTTTGTCTCCTATGTTCTATTTTTAGCCATGGCAGCCATGTTTGTTGACGGATCAAAACTTCGGTTACAAAACTAGATACCATAAGAAACATTCAGTTAAAGTTTGAAGGTATTTGGCCCAGTTGTTTCAGAAGAGAAGATTCTTGAAATAGTTTACGACGACGAAGACAGACGACGCCAAGTGATGGCATAAGCTCACATGGGGCCCTTCAGGTCAAAGTGAGCTAAAAATAGATCAAAGACTCAAATGGCTGGGTTGCACTGATTTTATCTTGAACAAAAGAAGTGTTCTCTACTGAACATATAAATATATGGAAATATGATATGTAAAAATGAGAGAAAATCTTAAAACAACTCCATAATGATTGCCCAACCTCAATTGGTTTGCAAACTCTGTGAAGGTCCAAAGATCTGGGTTAAAAAAAGAATTATTACCATCTTTTGAAATCTTTGGCTGAAAATGACTAAGTTCCCAAATCTAGAAACCAGGTATTCCCCATTTCCATTCTCAATTTTATTCAACTTCAACATGTGTGCAATCTTCCTCTTAAGTTTCAAATATCTTGGTTGAAAACTGTAGGAAAAGTTGATTTACACAAAATTAGGTACCCACTTTTCCCTGACCGCCTGCCTGGCATCACCATACTATAAGCTGGTTTAAGATTCCAACCCAACCCAGCCAGAAATAACCAAGACTTCAAAATTATAAAAAAAATGCATTATAACATCTGATTTCAGTATGATTAATCATATTATTTGTAAGTTTAAATATCTATTTGTGTTTTAAAAATTGTAACTCAGTGAACCCAAGTTTACTTCATAAAATAGTTCCATTTGGAATTCTCTTTGTCTACATGCAAGGGCAAGGAGAATAGTGTTTATAGTCAGAAACTTGAGAATAAAAAGAGTGAATATCATTATGAAATCGAATAATTTAGGACTTACTCAACAATATATGTAGTTTGAACAGAATTATAATTATTAGCCACTGCCATATATACAACACCCTCCATTTCAAAAACAGCTACTGCTTCTGCACCCTGATTATCTAGAGATTGCCATGCTGCAAAGGTGAACATTCCTATAGACTGGTCCCATTTGTAAATGTCTACAGAAACCAGTGTGTTACCATTGTTATCCTTAGAGTTAGCGAATACCAGAAAGTTATCTGTTCCTGATGTGAAGGATTTAACATCTCTTGCTCCTGATGTTGATAAATCTTGAATCTGTATGGTAGAACAATGAAATAGTCTACACAAAAACTGTAGCAACACAACAACTGTAGCAATTATCAATAAATTTGAATAACATTCCTACACTTTAATACACATTATTGCTATTTATAACAATCTGGATAAGTTCTAAAATTACACAACTTTTTCAAACCAGTTGAAGCTATCTGGAGCCTTGTTCAAACAATATATTGTGCATAAAACTTTCATAGAGACAGATTTAAACCATCATAAACACATCAAACAAAGCATTTTTAACAACTTTAATTTGTCTTTTAAAAATTGCTTCATAAAAACTATCAAAATTTTAAAATGTTCACTTTCCAAACTTTTTCCTCCCTTAGCTCATTGCTGATGACCTTTGTTTTTGTGATATTTGACCCAAACAGGAAGTTGTCTAGAAGACTGTTTTTTTCGGAAGGGACTAAATAGCGATAAGGTGTATTGTGCCATTAATTGATTGATTCTTTTTTATTTTATGTCCAGTGAAAAATATTTCATGCATATCGAGGATGAGAACAAATTAACAATAAATACAATAAATACGTTATGTAAAGTTAGTCTATGAGGATGACAATTGTAACATTTTTGACTGCCAATTGAAAAGAAAGGTAAGCACTAGAAAAGGATTATAGAACTTTCTCAAGAAACAACAAAATATTGAATTTAAATTACAGATATTTAATAAATATATGTTGTAATGTGCCTTAATGTGTAAAATTTTGACCTCCCATTTGTCTTTTAGTCTTGGATATTGTATTGTGTAAAAATTAATCATCAAAATATATAAGATATGTGGGTCATTTTCAAAAAATGTCGAATTTTGAAATTGAAAAATATATTAAAAGTTACTTATTCAAACAACCCTCTACATAAGCAAATCAAAACAAACAGTACTTAAAGAACAACATGTTAAAAGATGCAATCTTAATAATGTCATACAAGAATATCTTGAAACATTTTTTGATAGGTGGTACAATATTTTGTCTCTCCTGTTACCATTTTCAAAAGAAATTTTGGGTTATTAAGAAAAGGTTTAGATAAAAATTTAAGCTTGTTTTACGTAGCCAATTAGATGGTTTTCAAGAGAATAAACTTCTATATATATATTCATTTTGTAAAATAATAGATTATTTGCCAATTTTCCAGGTTGTACTGAAAAATGTCTCTAAAAATTGGTTTTCAAAGGTTGTAAAAATTACTACCAGTAATGCAAGTCTAAGATAGCAATTCATATTGTTCGGCATTTTTTTCTCTCTTTCAAATAAACCCAACATCAAGTAAATCCCTCATAAGTTAGTTTACTTTTCTCTTTATTTCATTGGTAACAGGAACGTACGTTTATGATATGTCACTATATAAAAGTCTATCCTGTTGCCTTTTTGTCTATCCTGTTACCGATATCAGTATTGCACCTGCAAATGCTTAATTGGGAAGAATAAGACCTTATAACTTTAAGATGAGTTCAAACAACGAAATATTTCATTCGTTTTGCAACTATATGTTAAGATAATTTTTTTAACAACGTTTCTGTCTACAATTGTCTATCCTGTTACTGTAACCATAGTAACCATAGTAACAGGATAGACATAACAGGATAGACAAATTTCTTCATTTTTGAATGCTGTTGTGAAATGACTACTCCCTTTGGTGAAGTGATTATGGTTTTCTGTTGTGAATTTGATTTTCAACACGATATTGCACTTTTTACAAGTATACTGTTGGTGTAATTAATCAAAATTGTTGGTAACAGCATAGACATGAAAAAAAGTACCCTCTATTTTTTTTCACTAAATGTCTTAAAATTTATTTTCTCTACACTGTCGTACAAGAAACGTGGTGTTTTAAATATAAAGGTAACTTTGAACTTTTGAAATCAACATTGACTGATTCGATATTCATAGGGAGAACAATATCACGGCTGATTTAAGTAGTGGTAACAGGATGGACATGAACCTCCCGTACGCTGATTGAATTTAGTTTGTAGATAATATGTTACATAAAATGATTAAGAAGCTACGATTTTTCGTTAGAATACTTATTAACGTTCTTAAAAAGTCCCTTTTGCAGATATCAAGGCGATCAGAAAATCATTTGCAATGTGTTTTTCTGACACTGTACGCACACAAATACCCCAAAAATCGGACTTAAATACATTTTAATCTTATCAAAATAGATGTAAATCGTGTTTATTATCGATGTTCTGAATCATAAATCCGACAAGCTTTCATTTAAACCATTACAACTGAAATTTCCATTAGAAATACAAATTTTAGCATGGGTGTACTGAAAATTCGACATTTTTTGAAAATGACCCATATAAATACTTACTACTAGTAAGGTTCCATTTGTGTTGACTTTGTAAATTCTTGACTTGCTCTGGTACCTTCGTACATTTCCTGTGTTACTGATGGCAAGGTAGGTGCTGCTACCAATACTGAAGGAAACAGCTGCAGAGGCAATATCTGTTTCTATTGTCTGAAATTAAACAATGTAAATTATAGAAATCTATTTTATCAAATCATCATATTTTTAGGGTTTTTATAATTTTCAATTAAGTATTTAAAAGATACTGTGGATTCATTATTATTCGTTGGATACCAATTTTTGCGGACTTCATGGGTTAAGGTTAACCACAAATTTTGATGTTCAACAAAGTACAAATTTTCGATAGGCTTGTATGAAGACTTTGGCAAAACTATGAAATCAAATATTCACGAAAATATACAATTTTTTCTCAATCCACAAAAAGTATTACCCACAAAAATAAATGAATCCACAATATAAAAGTATATAAAAGATTAAACCATAGTTGTACATAGAATATTAGTTTGCTTGTTTGTTTGGTAAACCATACATTTATCTATACCTGCAATGGGATCATCTCTCCCTGCCATTTAAACAGAGTAGAATGAAACAATCTGTCCACATTTATAGTTCCTGCAGATCCATCACTACCGATCGCAGACGTCAATTCTCCCACTCGGAAATTTGTCAGCATGACAATATACACCATACCATTGTATGTGTAACTGTACCAGTTGACCACCTGTATAGATGGTATTGACTGTAAGCGAGACAAGGTCACCAAGGAGCGGTCAGTGTCAGTAATGGCTGTTCCAGGCTGTGTTGCCATGTCAACAGATATCCTTCCATCTGTTCCCTGAGATCTCTGTATGTCAAAGAATATCAAACCAACATTTTCATCTACAGTAATTGTCTTGTTGCTGAAAGATAAGCAAATTAAAGCTCCATTAAGTCATATAAAGATTCTACCACAATACTTTATAATATTTATCCGAAAGATATAGTTAAATTTTCAAATTCAAAATGCAAGGCTTGCAAAGCATTTTATTATTTTTTATTTAACTCTAGAAAATGAATAAAAAGCATTATTAATCAAATAAAGTATAAAAAAAATCTGTTTTTCTAATAGTTCTATAAAGTATAATATTCCAAAAAAGACAAAAATGGGTCTGGACCTGCTCTGCTGCATGCGATTGATTGAGGTAAGAAGTATACTGAAGCAGAACTGATCATTTCATTTCATTGGAGCCAAGAAAACTTTGACGGAAATTTTGCTTGTAAATTTCAGACTGTTGGCAAACAGAAAGTTCCTGCACGGCAAGTGAAGAAATTGCTTTCACACTACGCAAAACATTATCAAGCTATAGACCAAATATAAAATCAGACCCTTTCATAGAAGCCAAGAAAAGTTATGAAACTATTACATACCTTGTTCCCCTGGCATAAATTTGCATAAGACCATTAGGTGAATCATTAGGGTTTATAATAACAACTTTATCTGTATGCTGTCCCAGCAAGCCCCCATTACTTGGTTGTGATAACCTGACGGTAAATCTTTCTATCTGTTCTGGGTCACTGTCATCCACTGCCTCTAATTCTAAAATAGCTGAATCCTAGAGAACAATAAAACACCAGGTATGAATTAACTTTTCCATAAAGTATTGAAAATAAATATGTACATGAGGAATGGAATTATGAAAAGTATTCCTAAAACTGATGATATAAGCATTATTCCTTGCAAAAAAAACAGAAAACAATTGATCAAATGCACATAATTATGATATGCTCATCAAAAGAAACAAATTATTGTATACAAAATGACAGATATGCCATTTTTTTAAGTTCATTAATTCTAAAATCGCAAAGAAGGAAAATTGTAAAAATCACAACATATGATCAATATCAATATTATGTAAAAATTTCATGAGATTTGGTCACAATACACAGATTCTTTCCTATCTTAATGACTTATAAGCCAATATTTAAGATGGATTACCTGTTTATCTTGGAATACAATGATACTCTGCATAGGTGACAGATCATTCACATTAGATACTTGTTCTGGTATAACCTGGTAGGGAACATTGACCACACCATAAATCCCTGGTCCTCTGACTATCTTTAACATGGCTAAACCCTTCACGTCACCATTTGTCTCTTCAACAGTCACTGCTGTGTCTGTCTCAAAACTAAACGATCCACTAGCATCATCATTGGCTAAGATAGTCACATTGGCTGCAAACATTTAACAGATGAAAATAGTTTGTTTTTTATTTAAAGATATCTTGTTTGATGTTGTACAGGAATAATCAATTAAGTAGAAAGCAGCCAAAGAGGGATAAATATATAAGGGATTGCATAACCAAAGGGGTTAAAACATGTCAAATTTGTCAGAGGGAGATAAAATAACTTATTAGCGGTCAATGAAAATGTACATGTTAAACCATGGTCAAATGCAAAAAACATTCACTATGGGACAGTAAATTGAGAGAGCTGCATAAGTTTTACTTGTTTGCCCTCATCAGGAACAGTGAGAATCTGAAAATCCTTCAGAAAAAAAACCAACACAAGAAATAATATCACAAAGTGTAATTTAAACAGGACTGTCATGAAACATTGTCTTCCTTGCAGGTGTAGTACTAAGGATCTTTAAAGTGTGTTTTTACTTTTTGAAACAGGTAGAATATCTGCATGCACAACAAACCTATCTCTACTAGGAGTTCTCACATATAGCACCATTTCTAAGGTTAGCCAACATGACTTCAAATATCTCTATGTACAACAAACCTTCCTCTACTTGCAGTTTCCAGTATAGCACCATTTCTAGGGTTAGCCAATTTGACTTCATATATCTCTATGTACAACAAACCTACCTCAACTAAGGGTTGTCAAGTTGGTTAATTATTCGTTATTCATTACTTATTCCTTATTTGTTACTTATTTGTTAAAAAAGGGCAATGTCTAAAAAGCTAATAAGGAAGGAATAAGTAACAGAGTATCAGTCCAGCATGAGTACATTCACGAGAACAGGGTAAATTTGCATCGAAGAACTTACAGGAAAAGAGAATAGAATAAAGGCAGGAAAAGTCAAGTTATTAAAACTTGATAGTCTAACTTTGAGACGATAAACATGGTTAACAGACTGATTTGGCCCAGAGATAGGTTAATTTGTGGTTAGCACACTGGCTTCCTTTCAAAATATCTCAAAAAGTCATTAAAGTTAAGAAAAGAGTGATCAAAGTCAAGAAAGTTATAAAAAAAAAATAACAAAAGAGTTAGCGAATAAGGAAAAAGGAACTAATAAGGAATAAGGAATAAGTAACATATAAGGAATAAGTAACCAACTTGATGAGCCTCCTCTACTAAGAGTTCCCAGTAATAACCACCATTTCTAGGATGAGCCAATTTTACTTCAAATACTTGCATGTACATCAAACCTACCTCTACTAGGAGATCCCAGTATAGCACCATTTCTAGGGTTAGCCAATATGACTTCAAATACTTGCATGTACATCAAACCTACCTCTACTAGGAGATCCCAGTATAGCACCATTTCTAGGGTTAGCCAATATGACTTCAAATACTTGCATGTACAACAAACCTACCTCTACTAGGAGATCCCAGTATAGCACCATTTCTAGGGTTAGCCAATATGACTTCAAATACTTGCATGTACAACAAACCTACCTCTACTAGAAGATCCCAGTATAGCACCATTTCTAGGGTTAGCCAATATGACTTTAAATACTTTCATGTACTACAAACCTACCTCTTCTAGGAGATCCCAGTATAGCACCATTTCTAGGGTTAGCCAATATGACTTCAAATACTTGCATGTACAAAAAATGTACTACAAACCTACCTCTACTAGGAGATCCCAGTATAGCACCATTTCTAGGGTTAGCCAATATGACTTCAAACATCTCATCTGGTTCTGGTATATCATCATTGTTTATCTCTATCATAATATACTTCCTATTATCTCCTTTCTTGAAAGTCACTTCCTGTTCAATTTTAAAGTAAAACTGAATAATAGTAGTATATATTATTTAGAAAAAAGGAAAAACAATAAAGAGCAAACTTGATAAAATATATTGATATATAACAGAAGCAAGTAAACTAGTTTCAAAAGAACCTCAAGTATTTTTCTTTACCCTTCCATGAATTAATGTTTGGAAATTTATTCATTATCGTTATAATATCATTCAATTCTTCTGGGATGGATGGAAGTCAAATATAACATGTATATTAGGGACAAGAAAATATGATAATATTTAAGGATATGTTATTGGGTTATAACTATGAACTTTATTAATACCATTTTTTTATAATTTTTAATATTCTATTAAACATGGATACAGCCAGCAACCATCAAAAAGACATGTCATCCCATTCAGACACATTTTTCAGACTTTGAGCAAACTAGTCTTGGATATTACTCCCAAATTCTGTTCTTTAATATTGAACAATTTTTATAGTCTTTAAGTTAAACAAACATTCAATGAAAGTCAGGTTGAATTTATCTATTTTCCATAAGTGCTTTGCATGATGAATTTCTATTTCAACAACATTAAACTATCTAACTCTTGGCAAAAGTGGCAATTATAAACTTTGCAGATATCATGTACATGTATAGAACAGGTTCAAGAAAATGCATACACAAGCTTTTTGTTAAATAATTCAAGATATGAGTTCACTATTATGTAGACAGCTGTCTAAATTAACAATATAAGAAATAAAAAAAAAAACCAAACAATATAATCCAGGTTCACATACATTTTCTGACACAATGTAATAAATTTACCACATCTTTTGAAATTTCTGTGCAATATAACTCACGTTTCCCTTTTTCGTATATAATTCAATTGATCATAAACATACGTGCATTAATCATACATTTACACATATCACTTATATAGCAAAAAAATTCCCTTAACATTTTAAAATATGCTAAGAATTTAGGAAAATTTTGAAGCCTAAAATGGATATTTCTAAATTTTAAATGTAAGGATGTGTATGAAAACCTGCATAAGGAAAAACATAACTCAAAGCATATTTAAAACTGGGCATAGACATGGTGACAGTTTTACCTGCATGCTGGAGATCCCTCCACCTTTATTCCTAAATAAAAAGTGACATGTGAATCAAAGAAAATCAAATGTGAAGGGAAAATGTGAATACAACTACATGCTACTTGTATGTATGTCAATTAATTTTTCTTGTACTAATCATATATATGTAAAATTGAAAATGTTCAGCATTAAAAATGAAAAATAATGTTAAAGCCATAATTATGTTCGCAAATGTTTGTTTCCAATCCAAACTGAAACAGTAAATCTTATTATTCAGACCTTTAATAACATTTCAACATTAGAATATTCATCTGCAAATTGAAAATTACAAAAATGAAAGACACTGTTGCAAATCTAACATAACATTTTTAAAAGTTAAAACTTATAAACTATTAAATATTTTTTGACTGTGTTACAATTAAGAAAAAGACAATTATAAAAATATTGTTATTTTAAACATCAGCAACACACTGCTTATAGTAGATTGTCAGACAGATTTTCTTTATTCCAAGCGGGTATGCTCAATAAGAACAAACCGTATACTACCTCGAGGACCTTACATTCCACTCCCAATGCATCACACTAATAATTGATACAACAGTACAAACACAATACCTTAGGATCAAAACGAAAGTCTTGTCCTTGCGTAGTCCCATCAGTAATACCCTGGGCATAACAAAACACTGTCACTTCTCCAAATGTTCCTTGATCTCTAATTATAGTTAGTGTAATATTCTTTGTAATTTCATCTACTGCAACACTGCAAAGAAATAGGAAATTTAATCAAACATTCCATAATTTCCAACCATTTCCTGACTTTTTTTTCTGCGTAATGCAATTTTTTCCTATCACAACATTTTCACTAGTCAAGAATTTGAAAAAATAGCAGTACATAACCCATCACAAATATCTCAATGATGATTTTTCAAATACCATTTTGCAATAATCACCTTGCCTCTTTTGGCACAATAACCAGAGTCTTATATTCAATAATTTCTGAATTTACAAACAGTTATCTGTACTAAATCTTTTGGGAGTCTTTCTTACAAAAACAGCAAATGTAGTATCCCTTCAGTATAAAGGTCAACTATAATGTTATATAAAATTATAAGTATTTTCTGGTCTAATAATACTGATCTTGAAATTTCATTTTTTATGTATTGTTATTTATATTGCATGTCAAAATAGAAGGTATACAAAAAATTACTTTAAAGAAAAAAAATGGTGTTATTGACATTACATTGAACATATACCTGTGGGAATCTGATCCAAACATTATGATTCCTTTCGTTCCATCATTGGCTGATATAATTATCTCAGAGGTAGTGTCCTTTGTACCTGTTAATTAAATTTTGAATAATATCTGAATTATTAAAGATAGATGAGTCCATTAGGTAATTTATAGCTGCTATATCCGTAAAGGAGTAGGTCCGGTAAGGGCCGATTTTGGCCTCAAATTTCAGGTTCATCTGATGAAAGATTTTGATCACTTTTTAAACACTTAAGTGTCTACTTCAGTCGATTCAATTAGTTTATGTGACAGATTTGAACTGATTTTATCATTAAAGACGCTCAGATTCAAGCTGAAATATGAAAAATCTATCAAATATGCCATAATATGTCACTTTTCAGATGGTTTTTTCCAAAAATGAAAGTGGCCGCAACCGTGTTCACTCTCAACCTTTATATATGTTATGTGTTATCATCAAATACATCTTGCATTTAAATATTAAGAATGAACACAAATGCGGCCACTTCCATTTAAGACGGAAACCGTCTAAAATTTAACTCAAATGCTAAAAATTGAAGATTTCAGTAATTTAGCATGACTTAATGATGCTAATATCCGATATATATGCATTGTATTGTCAAAAACTGCCCATATTTATGTAGCAGAAGTATTCTACTTTCCAATAAATAGCTAAAAGTTTACATTTTAACAATTTTGTAAAACTGCTATATTTTGGGGCCAAAAAGGGGTCTTACTGGACCTACTCCTTTAATGTAAAGAACATGTCACTGATCTTCATCTTAAGCTATAGGCTCAACAAAATTCTCATATTTTGTTAAGATTATCGAGGTAAAAAGAAATCATGTGACAATTTAGAAGAAACTAAATGACACAATTTTATATAAAATTACAAGAAGATAATTCTCATTAAATGCTTTCAGGAAATTTACAGTAGAAATAGGGTCACCACACTTGTTCTCTTGCTACATAACAAATAAGAAAATGTGCAATGGATATATTATCTGAATTATCTCCCCTTAAAAGCAAAATCTTTAAATAAAAAAAATAATTTTTATATTTGTTTTCATGGTAAACACATGGGTACTGAAAATGACTATACAATGATTTGATAAAGAATATTAATAAAAACTGAGGTGGAAATCCTGAAAATAAATATATTTTGCCAGCTGAAGGACGCCTCCGGGTGCGGGAATTTCTCGCTGCATTGAAGACCTGTTGGTGACCTTCTGCTGTTGTCTGTTCTATGGTCTGGTTGTTGTCTCTTTGACACATTCCCCATTTCCATTCTCAATTTTATTTACCACAATTTTTAAAAATAGGTAAAATTTTCAGATTGCAAAGTTTCTCGGTATGCATTCAAAACAAGTTTTGTTCCAAAAATAAAACTTTCTGGTTTTGACACCACAATCCCAACACCTTTGATCAATTCAGATGCACCGTTATAAAAGGGAGTAAGATTATACCTTTAACAGGAATTATACTTACCTAGCTGAGGAGGCATGTTGGACACTTGTGAGTTATTCAGTAAGATAACACCAGTCAGTACTACTATAAAAACTTCATCCAGCTCTGGTATACTGTCTTCTTTAACTCTAACTCTGATTGTAGCATATGAGATTCCATTACCAATATCAACATACCCCTGTAAGGCTTCAAAATCATCCCCAGCAGTAGCCTTCAGGAGATCCTCTGACAGGGGAGTCACAGAACCCTCTTTTATTTCATATGATACTCTTATACCACCTGTTAATTAAGTAGTAAAAGTTAACATCTTTTATAATGCAGATTACTGACTAAGCCTTGGAGTCATATAAATACTGTTTGATGTATAATGTCTTAGTCAATGTATTTATTAGGATAAACAGCTAAAATAACTAAGGTTTGCCAATACTTTTACTACAAGTTTAACCTTTCTAAGGTACAGAGTGCTTCCGAGTACTGTAAATTCAGAAATTACTACATTCATTTATTATTGCAATTTTAGAAGAATGAACACAAATGCAAAATTAATTATTGCGATTTCTGGAAAAGTTGCAACAGATATATGTATCAGATATCAGAATGCGGGTTCTTATTATTGGGATACTCACCCAGTCGCATTATTCGCATTAATAAAAAACCTTGCAGTTATTTCTGAATTTACAGTATCCTTAAATATGTTAACATGTAGCAATAATTGCTGATTGCGTATTACATACACATACTTTAATTTTATTGTCATGTTCCCAATTTTATATCTCATTCTAGCCAATAGAATCTTTCCCTCATCATAAGGCAACCTATGAGAGCGGATATTTGTTAAGTAATAATTTCAAGATGACGTGAATATCCTATAAAACTAATAGCTTTTCATTGTGATGCAAAGCAATAAGATATAATAAAAGACCTGAAATTAAGAACAAAGAAGCAGTGAAGTTAAAACTATTTTTTCACCGAAAAGATTATGTAAATGATAAGTTAAAACACTATTTTTCCACAAACCTATATTTCCAAATTTTCTTTCTATCTGTAAATTGATCATGACATCTTGTTCCTCTTTTACAATCTGTAAAGATGTCTGACTAAACTGCAATAACCCATGGGGATAGTTACTACTGTTGATAGTTATGGTGGCCATCTTTAATTGTGAATCTATGATGGCTGCTCCTGTGGGTCCAACACCTTTAATATAAACCATTATTACTAACTGTTGTAAAAATTTTGACATTTCTAGTTGAATGTTCTATTTTTCGCAAGTATTTGTAATTAATGTAATCTTGAATTTTATTCAATTTCCCAGAGGATAGCAACAAAACAATACCATACTGTATGTAATGAACACTTTTCATTGACCAATTGATACTTATATAAAAAATATTAAAAAGAAGTGCAAAATAATTTCTTTGATGAATAAATTTTTCACAGCTAAGGTTTATCTCCCTCGCCTAACTTTTATTCTTCAAATGATATACTTACCAACAGTTCTAATATTTGAAAGAAGCACTTGGTACTCTTCATTCACCTCTGGTGTGTTATCATCTAAAATACTCAGTGTTACATCCTTAGATGTATCTCCCTGTAAGATGGAACAAAATTACAATGCTCAAAATATACAACTTCATATTGTTTGAATAATCTCAAATAAGGAAATGATGTGTATACATATCATATTGTGCAATTTTTAAAATGTGTAAGCTAATTATTTTTCACTTTATTACTTCTATCTACAACACATCTTGAAATCAGTAATTGATAAACAGATTCAAAGTGACTGTTTTATATCAAACACCTTGAAATAAAAGGTTTGTATTTGTTAATAGTTCATGAGGTTTTGAGAATTTTGAAAAATGATTTAGTGGCACTTGGAACTTGCTGTGACAACAAAACAAAACAAACAACCGGCAAAATTTTGTTAGCAACATTTCAAAGAACAAGCATGCTTGAACAAAATAATAAAATCATCAAACATTTTGCCTAAAGTCAGAATGATTGTATTAATATTAAACATAGTATTGTTGCATCGTGGTAATTTTTTTTTGTCTTTATAAAGAAGTTACATAATTTTACTACTATTTTTGTCATTCAAAAGACTTACGGGTAAAAATACAAGTGTTCCATTGACGTGTGAGAATCCTTTATCTGGGTCTACTCCATTCAATCCATGTATTTTCCAGTCAACCATTACAGTACCAAATGATGATCTTGCTCTTATAATAGCCAGTGTTATATCAGTACCTGAAAATACAATGTATTAAAATCATTTACATATCATAGAATTTTGTGTTTATATCAAATAAAAAGAATTGTCTACTTACATCCATTCCAAATATTTCTAGGGTAATGAAATAAAAACAAATATTAACATAAGAATCATTAAAAAAAACACCAAACTGCACCATGATAAGTAATAGCCAAGTAATAATTATTACCAAATTTATGATTTTTTTTTTACCGTAATGTTTCAGAAGATTTGCATTAAGAAGCTGTTATTGATTAAAAGCACAAAAAAAATGTTAAGGGGCAATAACTTCAACAAACCTGTCATTTCAAAATGGTGGTAGGTATTGATAAATAATACAACTTTTGATGAGAGATGTCAGCAAAATGTTCAATGAAACATAAAACAATGATGCTGTCACCTGATTGAATCGTTTAACATGTTAATGTAATTTTTTGGGGTAATCATACCTGTAAAATTAATCAGTACTTACCTTCTTTTCCAACCAAAGCAGTTGTTCCAAAACCTATAATACCAGCAATATTGTCATTTTCTAATATCACAATGGTTACCATTGCATCTTGGGAAAGTTCTGCACCACCTTGTGGATTTCTAAGTTTAACTATAACAGTTTTATTTTGTTCTGGTACAGTATCATCCAAGATGGTTACTGTGATTACTAAAAAGAAAAAAATATGATTTGCATGTATGTATTGAGCTAAATTTATTTCACCTCTTATATAACAGCTTTGGAGATAAATTATGATTTTATAAAACTATTGTAGTATGTTGATAAACAATAATCTAATACAGAAATAAAATTTTTTGATTGAAATATAATAAGCAAATTCTTTCCATAAAATTGTATGATGTATTCCGCTGAAACAAAGTACCTATTTAACTATTTAAGGCATGAGGAATTTAAGATATCAAGTTTTTTTTTCTTACACAATGTTCTTGAATTATCAATTATGTTTTGCAAATGTGTGAAAAATTGTTACTATCCCAAATTTTATTAATATAATAATGTAAGATGTACTTACATTTACTTGCCACACCAGAAGTAAACTGTAGCGTAGCACCGTCCCCTGTATAATCTACACCATATGTAGCAGTACTCGCTCCTATATCTATGTACCAGTCTATACTAACATCATCTAAATTACCTCCTGAAATAGTAAACACTTCAATAAAACCTGTAGATTCTGTTAAATGCTCCTTTCTAAAAAAAAATAATATTGAATTAGTCTCTGTATCTGTATCTGTTTTAATACTGACCTCTAATATATATTCTATGTAATTTTTTTTTACTTATGTGCACAAAGTATGGCATTTATAGACTACCAAATTATTTTTCTATGTGTATGTTTGTAAAACACATCGCTTCATCTCTAAAACTGTAGGAATACAATTTGCATAACTTGAAATCAACTATAAATTTAAACATAAGTTGTTTTAAATGAGTCATTATTACTGACTTATCAATCTTCATATTTTGTGATGTCATCGAGTATTACTGGTGGTTCTTCTTCTCTCCTTGTATTTACCTTTCCTCTCCACAACTAGATCTACGGCAAACTTGTGCCTTTCTTCCACTGCTATCTGATGTCCTCCCTCTATGGCTGTAGGATTATCACTTATCAGATTAAATTCACCATAAGCATTGTCATTCTGCTCTATGACAACTGTTGCTGCGGTAATACTACCCAATTTAGGTGGATGTTTTGTGGATGTAACACCAGATACTACCTCAACAGAATTAAGCTGGATTAGAAATTTCTCATCTATTTCAGGTAGATTATCTCCCTTGATGGTAACTGGAACATTTCCTGTGTTTGTGCCTTCAGCAATGAAAGCAACACCATTGTTTACAATTGCAAAATCAATTCCTTCTGCAGCTCTTCTTGAATATAAATTGTTCATCTGCAGAAAAAAAGACACAAATGAATAATTTTTAACTTCTGATCTATGATACAAAATTCATTAGCTTCTCTTTTTCAAAGGCATATATACTTTTTTTTTATTTGCATAATGTTGTATACATTTCCGAAGAAGCCTTTGCTGTCAAAGGTAGTAAGACACACGTAAAGCAGAAATTCACTGAAATTCAAAGATTAAGGGAAGAGGATATTGGTAAGACATTAGTTTCAGTAAAAGTTGGCCTTATTACAACACCATTGGGTTTTTACTTGTCATGCACAACATGCTGAGTGCAACTGCCTTTCCTCAGCATCAACGTTGTTTGAGTTTTCTATGTAATTTTCTATGAAATTTCTTTAAAGTTTTTGGTCTTGAAGACTTCCTTCTATTACTGATTTTTGATTGATCCCATGGAAACTTCTCAATTGTTTACAAGCAAATTTAAAAATAATAAAAAAGAACCAATGTATCTGAATGTCATGAAACACAGTACAAGGTAAAACTGTAAAAGGTTAGTTTGTCTTACCTTAGAGATCAAAGGTTAGTTTTGTCTTACCTTAGAGGTAAGTCTAATATAATATTGATAATCAGCAGTATTAGATAATGGTGTGGACAGACTAGTAGAATACCAGGCACATGTCTTCAAAGAGATAGACACTTCAAAGGCTACACAAGCCAATATCCTCAAACAGGCTTTTCCACATGCCTATTAAAAAAAAAGATTTACTAATGAGTCGAAATCAAATTTATTATTGAACTGTTCCTGATTTCATTGTGTCATTTAATATTTCATGTGATTTCATAAGTAAACCAATTTCAACTAATTAAATTATTCAGAAGACAATATGATTTTGTGCTGTTGTCATGAAACATTTTCAGTTTCTTGTCACCTTCCTTGTTGCTATGAAAGTTTGTTGTAGCCAAAAAAATCTATAAAAATATTGGAGTACAAGACAAAAAGAGAATAACATTTTATTACTTCACTTTTTCTAGACAAATTATATAGCGTGAAAAAAACAGAAACAAGAACCAGACACATACTGTCATTCCCTAAACCAGAATTTGCAAGATGTTAACCCTTATATTATTTCAACAGTGAACCCATGAGCTATGAAAACTACATACAAGCTAGTATTGGTTATATCTAATATCAAGTTAATGTCTCTTTCATTTACCCCATATCTACTCTTTAAACATAGAATTGACAATTCTTGGTTTGAGTTGCTGTCTCATATGCATAAACCCAAACCTCAATTCCTAATTAACACATGTCTGCAATTAGTAATAAACTAAGCACAACCAGAAGTGTACTAATATATACAACAAGAGTGCACACGCTGAATTGTCTCGCCTGTTTTACTAACCATGATTGACTTTATGTTCATGGTCCTAAAGATAAAGTTTTACTACAAGTATCACATAAACTTAACATTATCAATGATTCATGAAAATGAGGTCAAGGTCAGATAAACCAAGCCTGACTGACATGTACAACTTACAATAATTCCATACAACAAATATAGTTGTCCTTATTGCTTATAGTATCTAAGAAACAGATTTAACCAGGAAAACTTAACATTGACCAATGAACCATGAAATTGAGATCAAGGACAGATGATACCTGCCATACTGACATGTTCTCCTTACAATCATTCCATACACCAAACATAGTTGACCTGTTGCTTATAGTATTAGAAAAACAGACCTAACACAAAAAACGTAACATTGACAAATGAACCATGAAAATGAGGTCAAGAACAGATGAAACCTGCCAGACTGACATGTACCCCTTACATTCATTCCATACACATTTATAGTTGACATACTGTTTATAGCATCAGAGAAACGGACCTAATCATGTCACTTTAACCTTGATCACTGATCCTTGAAATGAGCTCGAGGTAAGGTGAACCCTGTCTGACAGACAATAAGACAATGCATGGAACTAATATACCAAATATAGTTATCCTACTACTGATAATAAGTGAGAAACTAATGAGACAAAAAAAAAAAAAATTTTCAAGCAGTTGCTTAACCATGGAAATGGTGTCAAGGAAAATGGACATATGACAGACAGAAAATATGTAACATAAAGTATCTGAGTACAAGGTATGAGGCATTCAGGTCTTCTACCTTCTGAAATATAGAGCTTTATACAAATATTTTACATCACTACCGCTGCCAGATAGTAATCCCTATGTCATACATACTGCGACAAAATTGTTGCAGGCGAGACAAAAACTAAGTACTTAACTATTTTTTATTTAAGAATATAGAAACATGTAAATTTATTTACAATATGCTGTACAGTAAAAACCAATACTGTATATTGTTCTATCTCCATATACAAAGGGAGATAACTCTAGCTAAATCTTGACACTTGGAATTGAGAAAATTTTTTAGAGATTGACTTAAAATGTTGTATCGAAATAGCCAAATACAGATGCTTGCAGCTGTAGCTCCAAGTTGAAAATAATGAGAAAAAATAACAAGAATGTGTCCATAGTACACGGATGCCCCACTCGCACTATTATTTTCTATGGTCAGTGGACCGTGAAATTGGGGTCAAAACTCTAATTTGGCATACAAAATTAGAAAGATCATATCATACGGAACAAGAGAACTAATTTTCAAGTTGATTGAACTTCAACAACATCAAAAACTACCTTGACCAAAAACTTTAACCTGAAGTGGGACAGATGGACAGACGGACGGACTGACGGATGAATGAACGGACACACGGACCAAAAAAACATAATGCCTCTAGGTGGGGCATAAAAACCCAATCCACTTTTTGCTGTCGGTACAAATTCTAATTATTCAAAGTAGAGGTCATTTGAATTTGAGCTTGTCTAAGTATATCTGGAGAGGTGTGAACATATTTAGTATAGCAATCTTAGGACCATTGTCCCAAAGTTTGAATAAAATAATCTTCCTGTGGTACTTTGTGGGCAGTAGTTGCAGCACCACTCCTGAATGAATAACTGCTATACTTATCACTAGATAATCCTAATTTGTCTAATGCACATTTTACATGAGAAAGGAAAAAGTTTCTTGATAATGGATCACCTTTCATAGTAACAAAAAAAGACTCAGAATTGCTAAAAATACTCATTCAGAGTCTATAGTATTTTTGTAATACAACAACAGGACATATATCTGAAGAGTTTTTGAACAAAGGAATAGTAATACCATATCTAAAAGGATCAGTCTTAGATTTTCTTAGAAACACAAAAATACAGTCATTTGTTATTTGAACATCACTAAGACATAAATTTGATTCAGGATCAAAATTTCGTGTAGCATGAACAGTGAATTCTTCACATCTTAAAAATCTGAAAAAAACTGTTACACATGCCGCTTCTATTAAAACATCTGTAAAACTTCTTCTATTGCAATAAATATTATTTTTTCCCAACTGCTTGTATTAAAAAATGTTATGACAAAAGAAATGTATGGCATACATAATGAGTTGTAATGGTACATAGTCAACATCTAACTAAGTATGCTATTTACATTTTATAATACTTGAAAAATTAACATACATCTGCTGGGTTGGTTTCTGATGTGATGTCAACCAAAAATCCTGTTAACCCTCTGCTGCCAACTAGTGGTTGATTGTAATAACTAAGAACACTGCTGCCATCTTTTGTAGCTTCAGTAACAATGTCAGTCTGTTTGGTGCTGTAGGAAACTCTAAGTTGTCCAAACAATCCTCCTCTGAAAAAGATAATATAAGGTTCCCACTATATAGCATCAAGAAAATTTAAATGGCACAGTATATTTTACCCTTGTTTTCCTTCTCCATAATAAAATGAGAGTAAAAAATCTTGTTACATTTGACTCCAAGCAAGACCAAAAGTAAGTTCTTCCTTGACCATAGAACCTAAATGTAAGAACATCCATATAGTGTGCTCATCAAACTTGTTAAGTTCTGTTGTAGCATCTTGTCATAATGTTATCTAATGACTATGTTGATATTTAAAATGGTATTTAAGACAAAGCTATTCAATGATGCCAAACAGTCAATAAAGGTTCAATATGCTGTGGCAGGATTTTCCAATTTGTCTCTGGGTTTGCAGGATCTGCTTACCCTTCCAGAGCACCTGAGATCACCCACAGAATTTTGTAGGATTTGTGCTGCTAAATCTTTAGTTCTCTATGTTGTGTTATGCATACTGTTATTTGTCATTTGGTTGTTTTTTGGTTTTTTGCCACGTGGTTGTCAGTTTGTCATTGACTTGTGAGTTTGAATTTCCCTTTGGTATCATCAATCAGCCTCTCTTTTAGAATACGCCACATGAATTCTAAAGTCTAAACATTTTATACAAATAATAGAAAGAGTTCACTTAAAGTATTCAGAATAATATAAAAATAAGTAGGGCAATACCAAACTTACGATCTAGTGAGTGACACCAGCTGTATACTATCACCCTGAGCTTCTTGTACAGTGAACATGTTCTGTGAAAATTGTACAGTACCATGTGGATTGTCATTAGGAAGAATGGATAGGGTGAACTCCTTACGCAGACCTATGGTTCCACTATTGGAAGCTGTTAGCAAGGTAAATGTAATATCCTGAAACCAAGGTAACAATAAATCAAAACATGCAACAGTTCTGGTTATTAAAAAAAATTAACAATAATGGCCATGGGAAAAAGACAAGTAAAGTATATCAATAACTTTAGGTATATTTTAGGGGAGCATACCTACAAAATTATAAGGAAGCAACTTTTTTACAGCCTACTTTAGCAAAATAATGTTAAATGGACATGAATTCTATCCATCTTATTCTTAACAGATTTTTATACTTTGACAGAAACTATAATATTAAATATAAACTTTTAGAGAGGGATGGATTTATTTTGGGAATCCTACCTCCTGACCTTCTGGGATGTCGTCTGGTAATATCTGTATTGCAATTGAACGTCTTAGTTCATTACTGACAAAGTACACTGATCCAGATATAGGACTAATATCACTTGCTGCACTGCCACCTACACATACAAAATTCAACAATAACTGCTTTTGTTTAATAATGAATAATCTTATAATAAATCTACAGCTAAGTCACTGGCACTAATAAAATAACTTCTAATCATTTTTCACATCTTGTTTAGATATGAGGAAAGGAGTAGGGGCATTAAGGGCTGGTTTTGGCCCAAGAAAAAATAAAAAGTTTTTGAAAAACATTTCAAATATGCACATAATGTTTGGAAATGCATAAAATCAATCAAGAAATATAAATAAATTGCATAAGATTTTTGATGTTATGACGTCACAATTACATCATAATATGTACCATCTTCATGAAAATAAAGAAAACTGCAGAATTTATACAATTTTTAATTGTTATTTCCATTGTGGAAACGTTGAGCGCAGACTAGAAACAACAAAATAATTTAAGAGAAGCTTTATTATAACTATTGAATTAATTCAACCAAATATAAAGTTTTTTCTTGGGTGCGCACATACTTTTCCTATACATAGGAAAAGTATGTGCGCACCCAAAGCTTAAGCTTCTCTTAAATTATTTTGTTGTTTCTAGTCTGCGTAAAATAAGTAAAATACAAATTATTTACATAATATACAAATTTTGTCATGGGTTGTTGCTATGGTAACTTGTTAAATGTGAAATTTGTTTTTTATTTTCTGAACACTATGTTTAGTTAAGACAAATCTAAGAATATGTATGGAAACTTTTTAATTTGCACTATATATTTGGGCAAAATAAGGGCCTTACGTATTGCCCCATCTCCTTTAGCCAGAGCTTGATATATGATATTTACCCTTAACTGTTTACTGAAGACTTTATATTATTGACTTTTTTATATGCCTTTTGTATTTCTATGTGTTGTAGGGTTGTGTTATACTTTTTAATACCCAACTTCACCCTAATACATATGTGATCATTTACATAAGAACTATTTATAGGTATAAATATGCATGTATATGGTTAGAGAAAAAAAGTTTGCTTTTTAGAGGGTGTTTTTGTAATTCTTTGCTGATATCATAGTGAAATAGACATAATTGGACATCAGTATACATTGATGATACAGCAAACCAACAACACAACAAATCAAAAGATATCTAGAGGTTTTTTTTCAAATTTTACAAAAGATACATGTTTATACAATATGTCAGCCTTTGTAACTGCCCCATAAAGGTTGAGACCAAATTTAACAAACTACTGGTATCAAAAACTTTATAACCTTATTCCTTTAAGAACCAAAATAAATCAAGATTGAACCTAGGACAACTACTGATGAGGTTCCTGACTACTTTTGAGTATCTTACTTGATTTGACCAACCTTTGAAATCCTCAAAATATAGAATCAATATTAGATTTGCTGTCTTTTTATCTTATTCAAAATCATAACTATAATCCATATTTGTTAATTATATTGCTATATTTACCATTCAATAATGCAGCCCAGGTGATAGTGACTACCCCTAAAGACCCTCCAGTCCTAACTATAGTAATATTTATAGTCACTGGCTGCCCATTCTCTGGTTCTTCTACTGATAGTCCATTGATCTCAAATTCTAAAAAAACAACCATTGCAATGTTTATATGATATGAGTTCTCTACAAAAATCTAATTATAGTACTAGGTAGTAATCATTGTCATTTGAAGAGCATCAGTAAAATTTTGATAACTACATTGCAACTACATTCTTTACAAATGATTCATTGATATCATATGAAAAAATCATAATCAATAAAAAACTAAGCTATCAAAGACAAAATTAAAAATAGTCTTCTGCCACAAATTGTTCCAAATTCTGTTACATATGTGTCGAACCAAATCTCCCAACAAAAATCCAGGAATAAGTTTTTTATTTGACAGACAAAAAAAATTTCTTAATCAAATTTTTCTGCTTTGAATAAAATCTTTCTAAAACTACTAACCAAATGCTCCTTCAGGATCATCTGATGCCAGGATATTTATAACAGCCGATCGGTACTGTTCAGCACCCAACACTCCACCTCCAGTTATTTGATTCAGTAATTCAACGTAGAACGTTTCCTCAAGTTCAGGTAGATTGTCGTCAATTATTCTGATTGGTAGATCAACACTACTGGCGCCATCTGGTATAACAGCCATGTCAGAAAGAGTTTCAAAATCAGCATGTTCAACAGCTGTTCCATTCACTACTCGAAACTTTACACTGACCTGCAATAGATATATATTTCAAACATCATTTACTCATTCCAAATATCATAAAAAAATGTACGTAATTTTCAAAAACTGTCACTGTGTGACAACAGCCAAGCAACACATCAATTTATAAACCTTTAAACATGTTAAATATGGTACACCATATTTATATTTATTCAATATTCAAGATATCTCATATACTTTATATCAAATCTTATAAAATGTATACAATATCACAGTTATTTGGATATCAAATAATAGATATAAGATATCTTATGAAATATATTAGATATCTTATAAAATAAATAAGATATCTAATAAAATATATAAGATATCCATATCTTATAAAGTATACATGATATTTCATATCCTTTATACAATATCTTATGAAGTATATAAAAAGATTAAATAATTTGTCTTCTATAATATTAAAGATTTCTTATGAAAAACATAAAAATTCTCATAAATATAAAAATAAGGAGTTGTGTCATAATTGCCAATGAGACAACTTTAGATATATATCTTATGAACTATAAACTTTATCAGATATCTTATATATTTGGGAAAAACAAATGAAATTTTGTACAATAAATCATAAAATAAATCTACAAATGAAGAAAGAAAACAAATCCTTAGTATTCAACTTATTAACTATCTACCCAGATGCTTTTCTTAACATTTTTAAGGAACTTTAATCTTGAAATGGGTATACCTTTAATCTGAAATCGACCTGATCTTTGACATAAATAATGAAAACACAAATTTTAGACTTAAATCCTAAAATGGAGTTCAAGTTATCCAAAGATATTTTATTCTTAGCCAGCTTTACAGACCTGTATTTTCAAAATTTCTTTCTTTGAGTTTTTAAAAGTATTAAGTTTTACCTGACCAAATGTTCCTCCTCTTCTTAATAATTTGACTCCAACATTTGGTGCACTTTCCAAAATTTTGACAGAAGTGGGAGACAACTCTAGGGCACCATTAGCAATATCATTACTAGTTATCATAATCTGAGCTATGAATTCAGATAGAAGTCCTAGTCTTGGAGAGTTAGACACTGAAATAAATAATGAAAATCATAACACATGCTATGGCTTCACACCGAAGCCTTTAATTCAATTTAAAAATACAATGAGAAAAGAACATAAACATTAAATGAGACAGAAGTATTCATATTGATATATTTCTGATCAGATCAAACCAATTTGGAAATTCAATGTCCATCCTCTCAAATGACATTGTAAAATCTTGAAAAAACCTCGTAAATGAAGCTAAAACAAATCAGTAACAAAGTCTATCCCATATTTCATCACAAGTTTTAAATTCAAGCTTAAATCTATTTTAGCTACTTCTTAGATTAAAATATTATGGAAATATATTTGTTGAATATAATACTTGGTTTTTTTTGGCATTTCATTAGGAATTAGGATTAAAAATATTTGTAAGTAATATATAATTTTTGATTTGATACCTGTTCTAATTTGAGCAGGAGTGTGTAGTGTTGCATTTATCAGGATAACATAGAAAGACTCATCATTTTCTGGATCACTATCATCCATTACTGTAACAATTATAGTCTTCCGTTTCTCTGTAGGTCCAAATCTGACCATGCCTTCTGCTGCCCTGTAATCATTGACTCCAGCCCTGTTTACTGTAACTGGAACCTGTGGATGAAGCTCTGCTGGGCCTAGAGTTCTATAATAAATATCAACTGTACCAAATGTTCCTTTAAGTCTGCTTATGGTCAGAGTTATATCTAAAATACACAGAATGCAAAATATGTCTTACATTTAGTTCCAAAAGTTGCTTCAATTTCCAATTTTCCTTCTATCCACTTATAATAAAAGTTTAAAACACAACTAAACTCATTTCAAACATCATATCTGATTATCTCAATACAATAAAGAATTCATATATGTATGTATGGGGCCTGTTATAGCTTACTATAAAGTATGCATTTGCTCATTTCTTCACATTATTATGTCTCTAGTGATAGTTGTCTCATTGGCTATCATACCACATCTTCTTATTATTATATAGTTTGATATTTAAAACTATTTTCTTAAACTGAAAAATTTAAGTGATTTTCATTACATTGTAATACTAAAAATATATACTTACATGGAAAGGAGCTAAGTATATAGATTATGGACAGTGATCATAGACAAAAGTCTGGATAGAAAGAAACATTTGTATTTACTTTTATAATTTTCTTCAACCTGTAATGGTCTTAGTTCACTAGGAAATACAAACTCTCCATATGGATCATCATTGGCCAGAATGGTCACACTGGATACTAATTTATCTGCAGCACCAAGTTCTCCCTAGAAAAATACGTTTGGATAATACTTTTTTTTCAATTCTAGTAAATGTATTAATCCAACTACTTTTAAAACTCTATAAATATTGAAGTTATTTAGTCTTTTGTTAAATTGAAAAATATTTGATAACCTCATTACAAAAATGGATACATAAAATCCAATATACACATGAATATGTCAACAGTCATTAGTCTACGTCCTTAAAGAATACTTGAAATTTCAGCAAACTCAGCATATCTTCCATTTTCATCAGATAAAATCAATTGCAACATTTCAAATATTCATCTAATTCTGGAACAGTATCTGTTCTGACCTTAACTTACCGGTTCAACTGATGTTAATTTAACTTGGTATGTTTCATCTAGTTCTGGAACAGTGTCTGCTCTGACCTTGACTTCTAAGTTATGACTTTTGTCTCCATGGTTGAACACTATTATACCATTTAGATCTACAATATCATTGTCTTGGTTTCCGAGCACCTCCCAGGTGACCGCTGATGTCCCTATAATGCCCTGCAGTCTATCAACCTAATAAATTAAATATATAACAGCAATATGATGGAATTTACTGAGCAAGTGCATCTGTAAGACAGGTAAAAGATCAGATCTATGACAATAATTTGTAATATCATCAAGAAACTTTAGCCACCAACAAGTCAATCGGCACAGAATTGAGATCAGTGGTAATAGAATTGTATAGCTCAAAAGAAGTGTATGGCTTTTAGGTAGTAAGCTTAGATCTTTACATGTACTGGTAATTTAATTCCATGTCTTCCTATGATTGGGATAGGGATATGTAACTTTATATATTTTTTCTATTATTTCATTGGAAAATGTTTCTGTTCACTAAGTTTCAAAGTAAATATAATTGGTAAAAGAAACAACTAACAATATAATGAGAATTACCCTTAAGAAGACTGATGTATAGCCAGATTCTCCAGGTTCACTTGTTTCTACACTGAGGGATGAATCACTAAACTGAAATTTCCCAAAAGCCCCATCTGATGCACTTATCACCACAGTAACAGTGGATGCTACATCTAAAGTGGCTCCTCCTGTTGGATTAAGTAACTGAACGTAAAATGTTTTATCATCCTCAGGATCAGCATTGTCCATAATGTTTATATTGATGAAGTGGTACACCTGCCCATCATTAAATTCTAGCTTCCCAACACCAGCCTGAAAAAAAACACTATGCATTATAGATTATACAGTTATGGTTATATCTAAATTTATTGATGGTTAATAAAAGGAAACAGTCTTCATTTGCCTCAAATTTTACACCCCTGCAGTAGATTTGGCTTGCTTGATATACAACATTTTTGTTTTCCTTTGTGAATACGTGTACTTTTAAATTCATGTAACTGATTTGATGATGTTAGAAATTTTGGATGCTTATCTTTAGCAACTCCGCAGAAACAAAGCTTTTACTTTGGATGCATTTTTATCTCCCCTTGTAACTGTATCATATGCACTTAACTTGATTGGGGGAAATAAATATTTTCTGTATTAATTCAAATTCAAATGGATTTACAAGTAACAACAATCAAAACATGAAACCAATCAAAGCACTCTTTCAAAAAAGATAATTCTATCTTTTAGTAAAAGCTAATTTTCTTTCAGATCTCAAATTAAATCTTTATAATAAATCTTTAAGCATGTATATTTATAAAAAAATATTTAAACATGTATATTAAAAATAAATCTTGAAACATATATATCTGTAAACAAAAAATTTGTATATCTCATTGTTTATTTTTAAAAAGATTTGTTATTCAAGGCCTAAACTCAAGTGGTGACATCAAATGAGTTTAAAATTTTACTCAAGCAGTTCTTTTCCCTAACTTCACTTGAATAAAATATGATTATTGTTTTATTTTTTAATTTCCTCGTTCAGAACTAATATTCCGCTGAGAAATCAAAGAAAAAATATCTCTTATCATGAAAATAAAAGGGGAATACCATTGTAATTTTGAAAAAAAGATGGCAATGCAGGCATTAATTTAAAGACAAACTTAATCATAAAAAAAACCCAAAAACCTCATCTTTAAAGTACAAGTATTATTTGAGGTAATTTGCATCATTATATAAAATATTTGTTCATGCTCTTTTTTTAGGGTTTTTGGTCCATTACCAATTTATACTCAATTCCACTTCTACAACTCCTACATAAATCAAGGGTCACATAAATCATTATTGCAAATAAATTTCAAATCTCAGCCCACATGTTGAATGATTTTAGAATTTTACACATCAGCCCATCATAAAATATCTATCAAAGGATGTCCTGAGATTAGCCACGCTTTTCTGGATGGTTATGTAAAATAGCAACTTCTGGGGATTAAATTTTCCCTTTGAAATCAGTAAACAACTTACTAACAATCGAATAAAATTCATAACTTTGGCCATAAATCAAAGTGATTAAATTTTTGTTACAATTATTATTCTGTAGTCAATATTGTATTAAACCTGCCTTTCAATAAAAGGTCGTGAAAAATTGAAAAGAACATCATTTGGTTAAGGTATTGATGAAAGGTTGTTGATCGTAAGGCGGTATTGTGTCTAAATGAGAGGAAAATGATATCGTTTACATTTTAGAAGCTGATCAGTGACATTCTGCATGCATATTGAAGTATTATGGAAAATGTGCATTTAATTTATTTGAAGTTAAAATGCCAGCATGAATACATTTAAATTACATGACTGATTTTTAAAATCAAGTGATCATACTGCTACAAGATGTTTGATAAATTCTGGACGACTTATTTTATTACTTTTATTCTGTTTGTCTTTATAAGTAAAAATGATGGATTGAAAAGTGATTCAGCAAAATGTTTTGTCAAACTGAACAATTTCACTTATGAAATAAACATCTTAGAGAAGCATGGTTCAGCCCAAAAACAAAAACAAAATAGAAATATTGAAGAATGGAGTTCAAATGAAAATGAACAAAAGACTTTGAACTCAAAAACTTATCATTCAAGATATAAAAGATCAACAACTGCTGGTGAACCTCAGGTTTTAGATCTTGAAGTCAGCAGACTTAAGAGAAAAATTGGCAGACTAGAGAAAAAACTGTCAGAATCTATGGATGACCTTTCAAAAGAAGTAACAAAAGGTTTTAGAAGAATGGAAGAAAAAATCAGAGACATTGGTACACCAAGTCATACTAAACGTGAAGTCAGATATTTATCATCTCAAACCCCATGTCCACAAGACTTTAAACTCATTGATGTAGGGAAGCTACAATCCTGTTATTTATTGTCTAATTTCAAAACAACTTGGTATGAAGCTAATGAGTATTGTACAGCTCTTGGCAGTGACCTTGTTGCATTGGAATCAATCCAGGAACATTATGTACTGACGTACATTATCAAAAATCATCAAGGTAAGTAACATTTTTACTAAGCATGTAAGTAAGATTGTTACTAAGCATGTAACTTTTAGTCATTTTCCTAACAAATATTGTGACTTAGTTGTAAGAAGTTTTCTTGCCTGATAGATTTAGGTTCAGTTTACCCGTATTTTAGAAACATTTAAACTTCTTATATCATTTAGACATGTTAGAAGGATCTATTGACCAGGGAATAGGGTTTGTTATTTCACTTGTGGATTCATTATTATCCATGGGATACTTTGGATTCATTATTATCCATTGGATACTGTGGATTCATGATTATCCATGGGACACTGTGGATTCATGATTATCCATTGGATACTGTGGATTCATGATTATCCATGGGATACTGTGGATTCATGATTATCCATTGGATACTGTGGATTCATGATTATCCATGGGATACTGTGGATTCATGATTATCCATGGGATACTGTGGATTCATGTGGATTCATGATTATCCATGGGACACTGTGGATTCATGATTATCCATTGGATACTGTGGATTCATGATTATCCATGGGATACTGTGGATTCATGATTATCCATGGGATACTGTGGATTCATGATTATTCATTGGATACTGTGTATTCATTATTATCCATGGGATACTGTGGATTCATGATTATCCATTGGATACTGTGTATTCATTATTATTTGTGGGATACCCATTTTCTTGGATTCAATGGGTATAGATACAATTTTTCTTTTCCTCAATTCATGAAAATAGGCACCCACAAAAATAAATGAACCCACAGTACCAATATTTGTGAATTTCATTGGTATAGGTAAAAATTTAATTTAAATGTTGAATGAAGTACAAACTTTCTATGTGATGTTTTTATTGGAGGAGGAAGCTGTAGTGCCTTGAGAGAACCACAACCTTCGGTAGGAAAACTGACAATCCCAGTAATTAAGATTGGAGTTAAATTAAATATGATACGTCATGTATATCAGTGTACAATAATTCCTACAATGTTTTGCTATCCTTGCTTCAAAACTGACACTTTGTTTTATGTCAGCTAATTATTACAAACATTTACTCTGGTGCTTTTACTTTTGATGCAAAACAAGATTCCCTTTTTTTTTTAAATTATTAGAAATGAGATTTTTAAACATTATTAAACTCATATATAGTGAGATATCAACAAGAAAAAAAAAACTCAAATGAATTCTAATTCTTTGACTGACTATGAAATGAATTCCAATTTCCTATGAGCTTATTAGGAAGGAAAGAGTAGTTTGTATAAGATCTCTTTGCAGTAATCTTTCATATGTCTTTTTAACAGAGAACATCCCTTAAAAATAGTTATTGGTCTCATGCGTGTTTCTTGCATAAAAAACAATCAGGTCAACTCAAAGAGTATTTCTGGCTGTGCCACAAAAAAGTCCCATTTATTCTATTTCTAAATGATCCCCAACTATATTATATATAGCATTGATTACTATTCAATGATAAAGTTAATGTTCCTTTATAGTTTATATGCCCTGAAAAAACATTACAGACAAATTCTAGTCAGATTTTAGAAAATTGCTGAGAAAACATATATATCTAACATGGAACTCTAATCTAATAGTAATTTACTACATTTAATCATCATTTAAAAGGCTTTTCAGAGTTTCTTGAATAAAAGAGGAATCATTTAAATTTTGTAAAAGTGATGATTCGATGTTAAAATACAATGAATAAAATGAGACTCCATTCAATTGATGTTACCAAGATAACTTAATTGAAAATACAATTGACAATCCAATTGAATTTGTTTCTTGTGGTAGAACATTTCATCCTTCTATCTATTGATAAACTAAAAGTGACAACCACTAATTTTTTTTTAATTTACAGACAGTATAACACGCATTTATCCCACTTGACGACTTCTTCTGATAGAGTTTGAAGAAATAACATAATAAACATCAGTCTTTTCCAATAATCAAATGATTCAATTCTAATCTTCAAAGGGAAAATAAAATTTTGAACATAATAAGAAACTCCACAGTTCTGACAAGATCTGAAAACAAACTCTGTGGTCTTTTTTCACAGCTAATCCAAATAATTTATGTCTTAAAGTGTTTCATACCGTATCATTATGATTAAATTAATTCTACAAGGAACTTCAAACAGTTCAAATAAGTGCAATCTACTTTTGATACCACCATTTTTTCTTCAAATGACAATTTTTAAATATTTATTTTTCTTGGCACAGAATAAAAAGTTCAGCAGAAAATGCGATGTCATTCAATGAAATGCAGATTTATTCATATATATGTGAAGACTTCACCTGCAATGAATTCAAATAGATATCACAACTGGCAATGTATGCTTGAATCGAATAAAACAAGAGGCTCCTAAGAGCCTTAACAGCACACCTGGTCCAAATATGCCATTTTGATATTAATTTTTACGTTAATAAGAAACAGTATTGATATTTTCATAAATCATATACTACTGATCATTTTTGCAGTGCACAGTTTGTACCTATCTAGTTTTTGAGATATTTCCAAAACACAAAAGTTAGTAAAAAATCTTTGTTAAAGGGCAGTAACTCCTCAAGGAGTCATTCAAAGGTTTCAATCATGTTGGCACTTTTGTAGTTATTGTATAGCTGATCATTTTTGTTATTTACAGTTTCTATCTTTCAATTATAGTTTTCGAGATAATTTGTAAAACTATGAAATATGTGAAAACAAATGTTGAAGGGTAACAACTAATCCAATGGTATCGGTAAAGTTGGCTTTTTTGTGTATCCTGTATTTCTGATCATTATTTCAATTTACAGTTTTTATCTCTATTTTATAGTTCTTGAGATAAGTGGCAACAATACAAAGTAATCGTCAAAAATCCTCTTTTAAGGACCATTACTCCTTATGAAGTCATCTAATGCATTAGGTCACTTTGCTTTTTTGTAGATCCTATATTGCTGATCATTTTTACTGCTCACAATTTCTATATATCTGTTATAGTTCTTGAGATAATTGGCAAAAACATGAAAATTCATAAAAAATCATCATTTTAGGACCATAGCTCCCGACAGAGTCATTCAATGGTTTAGGTTATGAAGGCATTAGTGTAGGTCTTGTAATGCTGATCATTTCTGTCTTTAACAGTTTCTATCTATCTATTATAATTTTCAGAATAATTGGCAAAAACTGGCAATAACTCCTTCAGGATTCATCTGATAATTATGGTGAAAATTGGAAGTATGTGGATCTTGACATTCTGAGCATTTTTGACATGTCAGATTTTTTCTATCTGTATTATTTATACAGATATGACAATCAATGCATTTGACCCTTATGTTCTATTTTTAGCCATGGTGGCCATGTTTGTTGACTGACAGGGAAAAAAAACACAAATTTTATACTAGATACAGTAAGGATCATTCATCTCAAATTTGATTCAAATTGGTCAAGTATTTTCAGAGGAGAAGACATCAGCGGATGCCTAGTAATGGCAATAGCTCACATGGTCTTATGGCCAGGTGATCTAAAAAGTGAAGGAAATTGATTTTACACCAGAATTAGACCATGTTCATCCAATGATTCAGTATGGTTGTAATGTGTTGTTACAGACATTTTTATCAGTTCTTTTAATATCTTGGCAGTTATTTGTCCATCCAATAGCAATTTAATATTTTTCTAAAAACATGTCAACTCTCACATTCATACAGCCATTATCTTAGACTTAGGCACACTTGTCATATAAATGCTTGAGAAAATAAAGATATAGACTGATCGCAATCTATTTAAAGTCCATGAAAATGAAGAAGTAGTCAACAATTTCTTTAGGAAAAAAATCTTTAAATCAGAGTTTTGGTTTTCGTAAATTTTCGTTGCATTTTTCTTACTTATATGGACATTACACTAATATCTAACTGCAATGCAGTAGAAGCTTACACTGACAACACATCTGGTCTGGCTCTGTTTGGTGTTCAGTTTTTGTTTGTTACTTGATTTGTCTTTAAATCGATTTATGAAAAGGTTATTTATATAAAGGTCTTTATGAAAAAAATACAAATAAAAATCAAGAATTTTTACCTTTGTCATACTAAAAGAGCCATCGATCATTGAATATATGTCTTTTACAGACCACAGTAAGGTAGAAGGATGGTGGACAAGTGGTATGTTTGTATCTAAGACCAAACAGTGGATGTGGGCTACAGACATTACTATAAACAAACCCTTCACATTCATCAGATGGGCTTCAAACCAACCAGATGATGATTCATCCAACTGTGTGTATCTCAGACGAGATGACGACCAACTGTGGAATGATGAACTCTGTACTTCAAAGTTTAACTTTGTCTGTGAAACATGCTTTGGGTGTCACAGACATAATGGCTATTGAGCAAAAGTTTTTTGTTTCAATTGCTGTTTTCCAATTTCATATGAAACCATGTGAAAGACAGCAATATTTTGAAAGCTCTATAAGCAGTCAATAGTCAGAGCTATTTGAATTGAAATTTCACAGACGGAGAATGAATTAGAATAAGAATTAATTTAATGTTGTTAACTTATTTTCAATAAACTGTTTATTTTGTCTTTGATTTGAATGCACATTGTCTTGTGTTTGCAGAAAGACTCATATTCACTTGCTTTATATTAAGCAGAATAAAAAAAAACGGATTCCATGCATAAGAAAATTTCCATTTTGTAAAAGTTAATCTATAACAGTAGATCTGCTTTGATTGATATAGTAACAATATGTTGACAAAAGAAATAAAAATGTCTTGCATACAAAACCTGTTTAATAGTCAATCAGGACATGCTTGTGTTTATCATACTTTTCTCTGATCAATCAAGATAACTCAGTTCATAAAAATAGAACAATGTCATTTTTGTTTCATACTGACTTTATGAGCAAGCCTGCTAGGTCGAGATGATGAAGTCTGTATAAAACATTAAATGCCATTATTCTTTTCATCTTTAATTTATCTTAACAAGATGTTTGGTGGTAGAATATAATATAAAATGAAGTACTGTAAATTCAGAAATTATTGCGATGTTTTTATTATTGCGAAAAATGTGACAGGGTTTTAATTTAAACTCGCATTTTGAAATTTTTTTATATGAATTAAACAGGATTTTTCTCAATATCGCAAAAATTAATATCGCATTTTAGTCTAAAATGACAAAATCGCAATAATAAATGCACGCAACAATTTCTGAATTTACAGTAGTTAAAATAAACAACTCTTTTACACATACAAAACTTGACCATAGATCTTTGGATGTTTGAATCACATTACATGCATTTCATTGAAAAATTGAAGCAGATGGACATGGAAAACATAATGAAACTGCATTATGAGTGTTCTCATTGCAGAATTTCATCAAGTATCACGTTCTGTCAGAGATCCAAAAAATATTAGGAATAAGGATCAAAGGGAAAATGTACAAATTGCTGATAATATCAGTAACTATAAATCAAAAAACACATATCATTTTCTTGTACTAGTAAGAACATTTTTTTCAAGTAACTTATATATGAAATACTACACAATGATATTTTGAAAGGTTCAAATTAAATAATTAATTCTCAAAGGAAAACAACAGTAAAGTACAAATCTTGTGTACACTGTATGTCTGTATAATGGATTATAAACCATGTTTACAACATACCAATATTATTTTCTATTCAAAGTAAAGGTCAATCTGTATCACACTATGGACAAAGTCTTCTGCTGTTCACATCAATGTACATATTTGAGTTTTACACTAGCTAAAGTACTTTATCTTAGACTGTTTTTAAATTATTTTATTGGTTCTTTTTTCTTTTATTCTATGTTTACAATTCGGTTCATCAATTTCAAATGAGAGTGAGAGTACCTGATTGGTAAGTATTCAGTGCCTGATAGAGTAACAAGGACAAGTATGGAATGAAATGATCTAACAAATATGCTTGTCCTATTAAAAGAAAGCTAGACATCATGATCAGATTGTTTGACTGGCAAGACCAAAAACAACATGAAAGAAAATTAAAACAATTGTTTAGGAATTGGAACTAATTAGACTTGACGTTGTTGCTTTTTTTAGAATGGTGGAAAGCTATCAGAAACCATCACCATGATTATATTTTACATTTATTAAATATATTTAGAAACATAGAAAGATATTAGAACTAGTATTAGAAACAAACCTGATAATCTGGAGTTGAAACTCCTGAACTTTTAGCTGTTCCATCAGTTGTCCTCCACTCCACTGTAACAAAACCAGCAGTGCCTTGTGCTCTTACAACCATTAGTGCAATTGTTCCTGCCTCTTCATATACTTTTATCTAAGAACAAAATAACAACATTATTTTCATGAAATTCAGTAACAAAATAATGTTTGAAATATGATACTCAACTTTTTCATGAAACATCTTTTCATATAAATCTTGAGATTCTATTACTGTGGATTCATTTACTTTTTATTGGTATTAATTTTTCATGGATTGATGAAAACATGCAATTTCGTAAATATTCGATTTTGTGATTTTGCAAAAGTCTGCATACAAAAAGTCTGCATACAAACCTATAGAAAATCTGTACTTCGTTGAATATATAATTCCGTGGTTTATCTTTACCCACCAAAAACATAAAAATTGCTATCCAACGAATGTTAATGAATCCACATTATCTAAAATAAAAAACTATAACCTTCTACTTGATGTAGAACTCATGTCAACAATTTTATTTATCGTTTATCACTAAGCTATCATACTGGATTCCTATTACAGGTCTTATGTTACTGTTTACTTACAGTTGGTTCTTCTGTAGCTACAGGTAGAATTCCTTCATCAGGAGTAGGGGGTCGTGTCCTGTTACTGAACTGTAATACTCCATTAGAATGGTCATTCTTTAGAATGGTAAAGACAGAACTAGATTTTGACAGGTCTATACTGGCTCCACTAGTGTTAGTAGGACCCTGTGTACCATCAGTGCTGGCAACAGTCAACAGTCTGATGTGAAATATCTCATCAACTTCAGGGATATCATCATCTTTGACAGTCACAGTGAAAGTCTGAAAAAGAATGTCTAAATTACTATTACTATTAAGCATGTGACCCAGGAATACATTTTTGCAATGTATAGATAGGTTTCTATTGACACGATTTGAGCAAGAGTTACTTCCCTTTTGACACCATGTTGGAGGTCTACATATATAATTTCTTTATAAATCAGCCAAATTCAACCTGTTATACTGACTGCTAGACTTTAGAAAATTTATTTTCGAAACCATTTTAATTTCTTTTATTCTTGCTTGATTCATCACTAAGATCTAGTAAGGATCTTTTATCAGACTTGTTTGTACCGCATGTTTCAATTTTGTTAGTTCAATAATAAAATCAACCATTTACCCCATTAAAATGATGACTAAGAAATATAACTCAAACTCAAGTTATGTCATATGAAAACCTATTTATTTGTCCATTTTTATTTAATATGCTTATTTGATTAAGGGTTGTTCATGGAAAGTTGTTTCACTCCATGCAAATGATAGACTTTATGTTTCCTTCCTTGTGAAATTCAATTTCATTTTATCTTCTTCAATGCATCCACTCTCTTCCCATTTATGGCCTTATATTAACGTTTAATGGGCTATAAGATCAAAATCATGATAATTTTATTTAACAACATTTTTGAAAAGTAAACAGACTGTATGTCTTTTAAAGAGGATAAAATCAATAAAAAAGTGATTGAATGTTCAAGAATATCAAAATAAGTTGGCAATAAACCTATTCTCAGTGATGCCTTCATACTAATGACCAACATCTGACTTTTGTTAAAAATAGAAATGAATTAACAAGTACCAATTTTACATAAAACACAAGCACATTACCTTAAGTCTTTCTCCAGCACTAAATACCATCATTCCTCTACTTGCCAAAAAATCATCAGCAGCCTCAACTTCCCCTGCCCCTAGAGACTGGAACACACCCCATGTCACATTAACATTACCATCATCTCCCCTTTGTCTATCCACAGTACAGGATACAGTAGTGGATTCTATTAGTGCCTGACTGGGGCTACAGGTACGAATACTGAACACACCATTAGCATTGTCACTCTTCAGAACTGAAAACAATAATAATTGAATTCATATTTTAACATTCTAAATATATATCTTAAGTAAAATTCAAACTCTGTGTCCATGAATTCAAGAAGAATAATAGATGACTTTGTTTTCACAGTCACTGAACAAGAAGACTAAGTTGTCCATTAGAGCAAGAGAAGCTTTAAGTTAAGTACTGTACAGAATATGATTACACTTCCATACAACCTAATATCACTCATTTTACTATGGGTGTAACCAAAGTATAAATTTTCAGCTTTCATGTTTGTTTTGATCTTTGATGCTTTTTCAACACTGGTCTCCTCTTTGCATTTTAGTGAAAATTTCATATTGGGAATGCCTGTTTTTGCTTCTACTAACTCTTTCGAACTGAAAATATAGAAACTTAAAAAGAATATTTTATAATTCTGTGAATGTTTCAGTGGCGGATCCAGAAATTTTCATAAGGGCCCACTGACTGCCAAAAGAGGGGAGGCCTGCTCCAGTCATGCTTCAGTGATTCCCTTAATAATCAACCATATTTTTCCCAGAAAAGGGGGGCTTGGATCCCCCCGGCCCCCCTAAATCCACCTCTGTGTTTGTATTTTAAGAAGAGTAACATTAATGTTTTTTAAAGTTATATGAAACTTCAAATTTAAAAAAAAAGTTGAATATGTTTCATAAACTTGAATGGTTACATTTTACTATAAAACAATTGTACATGAACTTTTTTGTAAAAAGAAATCTTTTATATTATCAAAATCTTCATAAAGATACTGCTATTGAATTATTTTCTTCCCGTACACTAATTCGCCGATATTTTCTGTATGCATTGACCTTAACTACGTGAACTCCTGTTAGAACTTTGGCTACTTCACAGCACAAGTGTGAGAGCAAAACCATGATGAACTAATGTAAACAAATGTGCATAAACAGGCAAATAGCAATAAATGATTCTTAAAGAACAAATTAAATACACCAAATCATTTAACAACAAAACGAAATGTTTAATTAACACATGGTAACGCATGGAAAATATAAAAAAAAAATGTCATGGCTCTAACAATTCACTTAAATTTCACATGCTTCACTTGCTCTGTGTTGATTGTTTATAAATGTCATGATCTGGTAAACTTCGGCAACATACTTGAAAGTTAATAAGGCCAAAAATAAAATCTAAATTGTTTGATGTTGCCTACCTACCCACCTAAAAAGCAGCCAACCAAAAACATTTTATGACACAAATCGTTTCAAATTTTATTTTAAAGACTTTTTCCAGCTCTAACATGTCTAACTTTGTTTTCTTGTCATGCGTGTCTAAAACATGTAACTTATGTTGCTGGCAAAAAAAAAATCCCTACCTACCTACCCAACCCTACATGGTATAGATAGGCAACATCAAACAAGGAATTTTTTATGGGTGGCCTTAGCCTGCAATAAACAATGACTGAATGAAATATTATTTGTCGATAATACATTATAGATTCGAAATAAATGTAAAAATTGTGCATACAGGACTTATTTTAGTATATATGCATGCATTGGTTCAATAATTTCGATAACATTATAATTACTAGAAAATTGTTTCATATGACTTTAACCAGTGACTCAGTAAATACTATAACATTGAAATCCTAACTATTTACAGAGAACAATGTCAATTTTTTATTTACTCAATAAGACAGTTCACTTTGCAAAAAATTACATGGCCAGGTAAACACCAACTGATTCCAGGGAAAGGTCTTATTTTCTTAGCAAGAATACTTGTCCTATTTTCAAATTCTGACTAATAATTTCATAATATGTAAAATTTAAAACAAAATGATCAATTCTTATTATCCATGTTTTGATAACTGTTCAAATTAGACAGTACTTCCTATTTCATCTGACCTAAAAAAAATCTTACTTGTAATCCTAGAAATGCTATCAGTCTTTGACAAAGTTCCACCCTTATTAGCTGTTAGTAACATAACTGTGAACATTTCATTGTTTTCTTCTTCCAAATCCTGAGTTGCCGTGACAACAATCTTCTGCTCTCTGAGTGCTTCATGGTAGGAAAGATATCCAGATACTGGGGACAAGTCTGTTTTTGATGGGAGGGTGTACACTTCATGAATTTCTCTGTAAATATATAATACATCAAAAAAGAGCATAGCAGAGAGATTGTATGCATATGAGTGAATGTATTTTCATAATGAATAGAAAAGACAAAATGTATAGGTATTATGTATTCAAATTCATTGCACTTGTAGTCATATCGATTAAATCTGCATTACAGAAATAAAATTTGGATATTTTTTTACATGGAAAGACCTAATGCATTCCAAACTTTAATTTGATATTGATTATAGAAATGTAGTATTTTTACAAATCTTACATGGGAGTTAGTTTTCTGGTATATATTCGAACATCCTGCAAATAGCCTATAAACCGCTCATTTCCAGGTGCAATGGCTCCGATATGCAACTTCCCTGTCAAATCTATCATGGGCTGGGAATTTAAAAGTCTGGAAAACAATTTTAAAGTACAAAAAAAAAATGTACTAAAGGTAATAAACACATCATAAATCATTTAACACAATGACAGAAACTGTTTTAATTATATTTTGCCATCTATAATCATAATAAAATAAAATAATCCATTGAATAACTTTCATTCTTAAAATCTGCAGCTACATCCTGCTAATTTTAAACATAACTCAATATAAGTTGTGCATATTTTCACAATACAAATATAACTGACAGATTTCATGTCACATAAGCAAAAAATAATTCAAAATCAGTATACATGTATTTTAAAGTAACAATCACATGAATTTAGCTTTTATACTAAAAACTGAGTCTTAAAAACTTAACTCCTGTATATGAAAACATAACGAAAATATTTTTACAGTCGTTTCAATTGGTCTAAGACAATAACCTTTTGACTTAAAAAAATATCATCATTTAGATAGAAGTTGTCTTTTAACATTAAATGCAATATCATTGCAATATAAAACTGAAAGAGATACTAAATACAAATGTACTTACTTAGTACCAAGGACTCCTCCATCCAAGTAAAATGATATAGAACTACTATCTACTGTTAATAAGATATGATGCCAGTTGCTATCTTTAATGTTATTGTTTGTTGTAAATGATATCTGCTGGTTGTTCTAAAATAAAAGTTAGTTAAAAGCATCTAGCTATCTGTTTTCTGATAATATATATCTAATACTATTCCTTTGGCTTAATTATGCATTTTGTATGATGAGCTGCATATTTCATAAAGTCTCTGGAGTAATATTCCTTATGCAGATTATGAAAACATAACGAAAATATTTTTACAGTCTTTTCAATTGGTCTAAGACAATAACCTTTTGACTTCAAAAATATCATCATTTAGATAGAAGTTGTCTTTTAACATTAAATGCTTTTTGTGTCTCATGTTATATCTGTTTTGAATCATTGTGAATTTGCAAATGCTTAAGACTGTAACTAGAGTTGATGGCACTAACATGCCTCAACTGCTTCAATATTTAGGTCTAATGACACCTGTCAGATGTAAAACTCAAAATGGATTCACATTTAACCAAATACTGTATCTAATATTTACAATTTCTGAGAAAAAGACTTAATTGAGATATAAGCCTGGTCATTGTGATATGAAATTGATGTCAAGGTAATTTAAAATGTCTACATATACTACTGAAACAAATATTTTTTCTCATTTCCTATAAATTCAAAACTTCAGCATAATAGATACTGCACAATATTTTTTTGAAGAAATGTGACTGAAAAGTCAACAATATAGTACAGAAAAAGCACAATCCCATATCAGTTCAACTTTCCACTTACACTACTTCCTGATACAGAATAACCAAACAAGAAAATGGCACCACTTGTTCCTGTGGTGACCTTCAGTGTATAGAAAAACCTTGATCCATCATCTGTGGTCTTGGCAACCACATAACTGTTAAGGTCAGCAAAAGGTTGTATCCATGCACTGATTGTGTAGCCATTCTTTAGGTCTTCTGGTGGTGGCTGACGGTCACTGGATACTGTCAGATAATTATCTTTAAAAATATACAGAAAATATTTTAAAGGCTGTATTAACCTTCCAACTTGATCTGTCTATTAAACTGTTGATTGTCTTATTTCAAAACCTTCCAATTCAAACACTTGGAAAATTTCCATTGAGTGAAATATTAGTTTTGATATCCAAAACACTGTTAATCTTATTTTAGTAATATTTTAATTTTTGTTAAATCATACAGCTAAAATGCTCTATACAATCTCTATTTTGTAACCTTTTTATCAATTAATTTCTTTTTACATTATTCTTATTTCTAATTATCATATATGAGAGTTTTGGGATAGTTGTTTCTTTCAATGTGGAGATTAATGTAACTGAATGTAATAATTCAAATAGATTTTACATAAAAAAGTCGACCAAACTGTTCTAGTTTGACCCCCTCACCCTGATGAAAGTATTTACATTGCTGCTGATGTTGTACTATTTCCAACACTGGATTACATAGATTTCTGACATTATCATACGACCTTTGTGTGTAAAATGAAATCGGATACAGCAAAACAGACTATAGGAACAAAAGTATTTTCAAAACATTTGAAAAGTGGAACCATTATATTTCAATTTTATTTTGTGTTAAATATAAACCTGAACAGCAAAATTTTACTTATTTAGAATATAAATATTTCAAAAAATTGAAAATTATAAACAGCAAACACAAGTATGGTTACAACTTAAAAGCAAATGGACATGTTTAAGAACTAATTAGTGATAGTTCCTATTCGGTATATATCATGTGTCCGAGTGGAGGGAGAAGCAGTTGAGAAAATTTCATCAGAATTTACTTCCAGTTACTGTGATGTATATAACCTATATCTTTGTGGGTGGTAAACAAATTACTCTGGAGGAAATTTTAGGGACGGTGGAAAGGTCGGGAGAACAATTAATCAGAACTTAGTGACACTTATACAGAAGTATATTACTTACTGACAGCTCCAGTGAGGTACATAACATCTGTCTCTGAGTATGGTCTATGTTTCTCTGGAGGGAGAAAGATGGGGAGAACAATTAATCAGAACTTAGAGACACTAACATGGAAGTATATTACTTACTGAGAGCTCCAGTGAAGTACATTACATCTGTGCCTGTGTATGGTCTACGTTTCACTGGATTTTTCTCTACAACTGTAGATGGTTCAGCAATGAGAAGTAAATCATAGACAGATGGCATAGTCACTCCAACCTGATCTGTATAGATCTCCCATGCAACCTGGAAAAAATTAGATGACCCATTGAGTAAAATACAAGTTAATTCACCATATAACCTTATAAATATGTTTCAGAGTGTTAAAAAAAAAGCATCACAATGGTGGCAATCTTGAACTACAGTTTGACATCATCATAATAAAATTAAGGAGCAATCATTATGGTGGACATCTCTGATTTAGGATGAAATAGGGCATAACTATTACTATGTATGCATAATACTAATGTGACTCCTAAGTTTCAAAGTATACACCTTAAAGAGAATTCACACCAAGTTTGGTCCCTGTGGCAAGAGTGGTGTCAGAAAACAATAATTTTGAAAATTTTAAATGGATAATAGAAAAGTATGGATAATGGATGGCAAATGATGAAAAAAAATCACAATAGCCCTTATGGGCCTAATTAGCAAATAGAAAACTTACATTCTAAATGTGTGTTATAAAGTAAAAATAGTAACCTGAACATTTCCAAAACCACCCATTCTTCTCTCTACCACAAGTTTTGCCTCAGTTTTACTCTGTTCTTGAGGATAATAATCTTCTGCTATGGTCACGTCTGTAGAATTATAGGCAAAGGCAAATCTGCCATAGGGATCATCACTCTCTTCAATGGTCAAGGTCACTTCTAAGTCTGTATCAGCCAATGAGGCTAGCTCTACATCTGTTCTGCCAACAACAACTGAAATGAAATCTCTTCACTGTAAGTTATTGACTGTCTAGTACTTGATACTTAACAAAATGTAACTATTACATCAACCAATGAAATTTCAGCCTTCAAATTTTTGAAGGTGTGAATCATTACAACAAAACCAAAGGATCCCAAAGGTCTTTAAAACAAAATGTAGAACGAAATGTTATCAAATCCTTGTAAGTAAAGAGTAGACACAGGATGTGTATTTTAATTGTGCAAGTAAGAATATAGTGCAATTTTTAGGAAATATGATGCAATGCTAATTGATATAAAATGATACACACATATGCTCTGCTTAGGTAAATAAAGATGCCTAAATGATAACCAGGTGAGAATAACAGCTTTTCAATTAACATAAGATCAGATTTTTAAATATCAAAACCAATAATAACGTAGTTAACTTAGTGCAATCTTTAAAACTTTAATACAAATCTAACATGAACTTATATTACCGTCAATATCATGAAGTCTCACTGTGTATACCCTTTCTTTCTCAGGTGCCAGATCAGATCTTGGGAATATTGTAAAGGTCTGTCTATGTAATCCTTCAGTAAATAGCACAGTTCCATTGGATTTGTCAAACTGACTGCCATCTGGTGGCATTTTATTGGTCAGTACATCAATTATCTCCCATGATACTTCTACTTCTCCATATACACCACCATCTCTCAATATTCTATATGAAAAATGTAATAAAATTCAGATACCACACCAATAGCATTAGTTTTTTCATATATAATATCTCATTTTCTTCAGTAAATTAATGCTTGATAATAATGTATTGTTCTATTAATCAAATATTAATTTGTCGTGTATATGCCTGAGATATTTGCCACTGAACTTTAAGCAATCAATCATAAGCAGTATTAAATAGTTGAAAAGATGTATTCATTCGAAATCCATTTGCATTTAATTTTACACACCAAATCGTTAAATTTCAGGTAGGCTATAAAAATGTTGATGTTGGAAATTTTTTTAAAAATCGAGAAAACCTTACTGGTGAGATGGAAAAAATGCAAATGTATTTATCTGATAAAACAGAATTAAAACAAAGAAAAACAATAAAATATTTACGTTAGTTCCAGATGACTTCCTTCTTCCACTCTAACTGAGAAAGGAGGTAGAAATTTAAATATTCCATAGGCATTATCATTTGCAAGAATAACTATACTACAGTTTGATCCTCTGGTTGTCACTAAATCTCCTGAAAAACATAAAATGCAAATATATTAACCTGCAAGTTAATGAAATTAAAATTGAAAGAAACATGTTTATTTGCTTGTTTTGTCTTGAAAACTTACCCTTTTCTAATATGACAATTTTCTAAGAACCAAATCAGAATCATCTAAGAAATTTTTTTTCAGAAAGTACTAAACAATCCCCTACCATATAAAGTATAAAATAAACAACACTTCTGAGAGATGTCAATAACTTAGCAGTTTTCCAAAGATTTTAATAGTCCTGTCTTATCAGTTCCATTCAAACAAAAAAAATATTTTAATTTTCATTTTTTAAGTACGAGCTTTTTCATGCATACCAGGTTTTTGTCAAGGACATGACAATAGCATGACAATAGCATGACAATAGCATGACAATAGGATGACAATAGCATGACAATAGCATGACAATAGGATGACAATAGCATGACAATAGCATGACAATAGTGTCCATTTAAAATGGCAACATTTTTCATTTTGAAAATTTGGGTGAAATAGAGTCAAATATTATATTCACCATAAAAGAGATGATACATTTTGGAGCTAGCATTGCCCTGTAAATTTCATTACTAATCACATTATTTAAACTTCAAAAGAAAGGCTTTCAGAAAATATAAAGTGTGAATATCTTTTTTGGTGACTGTTGTGCTCTACATTATTGCTATAAACCACTTATGAGTAAAATAGTCAAGTTTTTGTAAAAATTGTATATTTTAATGAATCAATTTTATTACTGAATAACCAATAAAAAGGGTATATTTTAAACCAAAACTGCAATGTTTTATTGAAAAACATAAATTCAACATATGACTTTGCAAATTTGGCATAGTTTTAAATACAAATAGTGTCAAGTAGCCATAACTATTTAGGAGGGAATGTTACTCAGGACTTCACCCTATCAAAATCTTGAGTAGCTAGATGCATATAATATTATGATTTTATAACATAGATATGTTTGATATACAATGTATTTTACATCCATTGATTGACTTAACTATTTTTTCTTTAATTCATGTGGTCGATATCATTGTTTAATAACCAAAAAAAAAACACCATAAAAATTTTACCCATTATTTGGAATATTTCTATAAAAAATGTCTCATTTCCTTCTGGTAAAGTATCTTCATTGATGACCACCTGGAATGATACATCAGTCTTTCCCACAGCAAATACAGCATCCTGATTAGTTAGTTTGTTGTAGTCACCAACCAATGCAGTGCCATCTAGAGTTCTGTACTTGACTGTTTCCTGTTTACTTGCATCTCCTTCTCTATGTATTGTGACTGTCAACACAGAACCCTCTGCTACATAGTAGATCGACTCTGTCAAAAAAGTAAAGGAACTGAGAAAGATATTTTAAAATAGAAGAGGACAAGAAAAAAAGTCCTTGGAATATTTCAGACAAAAGCACTATTTTATTTTTCAAAAAGAAGAGCTATAAGATGAGATTTACTAAAATAGTTTGCTGATAACTTTTAAAGAACATAAACCATGGTTGCTTATGCTTTTTTGGATAAATTGGCTGTCTATACTTATTAGAATCTGTTCACATTTTTTATAAACTAAACATTGATATGAAACTCACTTGAAAAAAATTCTAATGATTCATTTTTTTCACATGCAAAAGAATATTCAGTACAGCTGTGTATGAAATAACACCACAAATGACCTGTGATATTTGGTCAAAATATGCTGATACTGATGTACTGTAAAGCAAATATATTTCATTTATGTTAATCCCTTGTCCTCATTATGGTACCATTTAAATTCATTATCCAAGTTTTAGTCTTCATAAATAATAAGGTGGGTGGCAAGCTTATTCAAATTTGCATTTGTCTAGAGATAGAAATACAAATGATCCATTTTTGCATGCTAACAACTTGAGGTAATGATTCTACAAAATAAAACAAAGATTGATGACACTTTGTTATCTCCCATGTACTGTAAATTCAGAAATTATTGCGAGGTTTTTATTAATGCGAATAATGCGACTGAGTGAGTATCGCAATAATAAGAACTCGCATTCTGATATCTGATCGATATATCTGAATGCAGTTTATCCTGAAATCGCAATAATTAATCTCGCATTTTTGACCGTTCTTCAAAAATCGCAATAATAAATGCACGCAATAATTTCTGAATTTACAGTATTCTAAACTCATTGGATGGTCTTTGTATCATGCTTTATAACTGCTTATATTGACTCAAAGTGCCACTTACATGTTTTGTGTTGGAGATTTTTTATTTTGTATGTTTCAAGTCAACTGTTTTTGTTCACATATTTATATTTTTGGGAGGTATTTATTTGACTACTGACCTGAAATATAAATGATATAACATTTTTGATAATTTGATGACAATTCCTGCAGAAATTATTTGGCATTAGATAACTGCTCTGGTTTTCTTATGATTGTGTAATTTCAAAACACCATCAGTGCACCAGCTATATAATATAAAAATATGAAAAATATATAAACCTTGGAAGTAAACAGGGAAATCATTCTTGTTAATTATGATAGTGAAAGTCTGTCTTGAACCAAGCTCTGCACCTCCTGTTGGATTTTTCAACTGTATGGTGAAATTATCTGCAGATTCTGGTATCTAAAATACAGGAAGTAGTAATTAGTAACTATAGATATCATCAATGTTGGTAACAGACACTTTGGAAAAAAAAAAGGAAAATGTGCCCATGGGACACAGATGATGCCCCTGCTTGCATATAACGTTATAAAGGGACATAACTCAAGAACCAAAACGAAAAATTCAGCAATTTTTCCATTTGTAAAGGGGCATAACTCTAGAACGGTGAAAGTGTTGCCACCCAAATTCGAACTTGATTTGTGTTTTGTGGTAATAAGCATTGTGTATAAGTTTCATAACAGTTGGTAGAGGCAAACTAAAGTTAGAGAACAGAAACCAATTTTTGGATGTATGTACGTACGGACGGATGGAGGGAGGGATGGATGGATGGACGAAAGGACGGACAGACGGCCAGATGGATGGATGGATGGACAAGGGTAACACTTAATGCCCCCTCTGGTGATGGCGGGGCATAAAAATAGGAAATATCTCGTCAATTATGATATTATTTGATGATGTGTCTAAAATATAAGATGAAGTAATCTGTCGACTTCTAACAAATTTCAGTGGTGGATTACTTTCAATATTCTACTTCTGACATAGGTATACAAGTGGCAATAACAGCAACAAAAACATTTGTAAGGCAATCTCTTCAAAAACATAAATTAAACACTATCTATTTATTGTTTGTCAAGGAGGTAATCTCAAACACAATTCACCCATATCAAATTTCTCTTCACAACAACAACAACTAAAATGGTTCCACATTTTTTAATGTAAGAAGCCTTATCCCATCTTCCATTAAATAACTAAGGCTTTTTACTTGCTTTTATTATATTGACTAAAAATCCTATCTCAAAGTCTGAAATAATGTCAAATCTTTACAGTGAAACACACACCATCACATTTGTCAAAATTGTTTTGAAAGCACTATAATTATTTGATGTAAAAATCTCATTATTTGAGGTATAAATTTTTGCTTTTTTTTCTTCTCTTCTCATAAGCATTGAGATTGTGCTACCCTTCGGGAGCACTGAGCAGCCCATGGTAATGCATCATGCTCTAAAGTTCTTCAAGGTAGAACAATCGTATTGCCTATATTAAATCAAAAAGAAGATATTTGTAAATGTTTCTTATCTATAAAATAGGACACATGTATTAATTACATCATCAGGAACTGTAGTGATCTGTATTGTTCCTTGACCTTGACTTTCTCCAAATGTAATTGATCCTGATATAGGAGTCAAATCTTGTTGGTTACTAGGTATAATATCCCATGATACTGTAACACTGCCAAATGTTCCCTGTGTTCTCTGTACTGATATCAAATTTGTAACAGTTCCACTGAGGGTACTCTCATCTAAAAGATATTTTTACTAATATAGAACGTACTTCTAATAAAAAAACATTTAAAACTATATACCGTACTATACAAATTTATAATCTTTTAAAGTATGTGTGAGTATGCAAAAAATTATTGTATTGAGTTTCAAGCCATTATATTATATGTCAAAAATACTCAAGGAACAAATTTGGCTTTAAGTGCCTTTGTTCATTCAGAGACTTACATGGTTAAATGTGTGTTCCTAACAGTATTACAACTATAATGAAAACTTATTTAGTCAATATCTTTAATTCTAAATCTAATGGTTACCCATATAGACAACTGGAGGATCATCTTCAAATTGGATCAGCCCATAGGGGTTATCATTCTCAAGGATATCTATAGTTATCTGTGACCTTGACCCTATCTCTGATGTACTGTTACCATAGCTATTCAAGGTCAAGGTAAATCTTTCCTCTTTCTGAAAAATAAACAATTGCAATTGCCATCTCTTTTGTCTAAAACAAAAATTGCAATTTCTTACCTAAATACTTTACCCTGCAAACATCTGTTTTACAAGAAAATTTTACTTTTGTTTTTTAATATATAAATATGATTAAAAGGAGGTGTGAGATAAATATTAATGAAACAGTAATCCTAAACAATACATTGTACAATGTCAATCTCCAAGTCACCTTGACAAGTTGTGAATAAATTTACTAGATATTACCGAATATCTACAGCCAAATAAGTATGGTAAATATATTATGGTCACAAGTATTTGAATAGTACTTTTCTAAATTACCCCCATCAAAAGAATAAGGACAGTGCAATACTGAGTATCCTCTCTAAATATTGCTCATAAGAATAAAAAAATAGATGTATGGTATATGTCAATGACACTACAACCAATCAACACAAATAACCAAAGACATGTCTTTTTAATGCTTTGAACAAAACTTAATAATAATAAAGTTCAAGCTCTCCCAATGGCCATGTCTTTGATGATGCTTGATGAAGACTTCATGCAATACTGGAGCTTTAACACACGTTGACAAGCTTAATCTCATCGATCATGTTGTGACCTTGATTATTTATCTCTGATTTTTAAATTTCAGTAGTGTTCAAGTTCATCCTATTTGGCAATACAGAGGGGGTGAAGAACTCATTTGTGACCTGCAAAAGCGTAACATGCAGATGGACACACAAAAAAAACTATTATTTTTTCCTTCTGAAGTTTGTTGGGAGGAGACAATATCTATTTTCCCAATCTGAAAGTTTTAAATTACCAAATGTGATTTATATCAATTTATTCACAAAACCTCTCTCCTTAAAATTCCCCAAAAATTCCAGGAAACTTTCTTTTAAATTTGACAATCTAAATGACATACCTCTGGAATCCCATCAAGTATAGGTAAAAGTGCAGCAGACATCTTCATGATACCAGGTTCAAACTTGAGTACATTGGTATATCCATAGAATTCAGCAGCTCCATTGGGAACAACTGTGTACTGTACATGTCTAGTGACTAAAGAACCACCATGTCTGTCAACAACTATATCTATAGGAGAACTGCCTTCCTACAAGTATGTTAAAAAATGATTACATGTAGATATAAAATTTTGGTGTCACACTAAATGCAGCTGCAGACAAACATACCATTTAATTTGTGGAGAATGAAAAACATTTTCCCAAAAAACAGATAAATAAATGATTTTAGTATTAAAAATTCCTGGATATTATTTCTTATAAATTCAATAGTCCTCTGCCTATTGCATAAACTTATAGATTTTTCTACTGAAAAAAAATCTTTCTTCCAATTACAATGACTAAATTGACTTATTTCAAGAAGATTGTCAACTAGAAGCATTTAGGCAAATTTTGAAATCCACTGATGAAAAAATAAGAAGATGTAATGACTGCCAATGAGACAACTCTACACCATATGTTTGTTAGTTATATTTTATCAACCATGTATCATTTAAAAGCAGGTGATTTCATTATTAAAACTAAAGTACAAACTTCATGAATTAAGTGACAAAAGATAAAAAAAAAATATACTTACTTGAACTTGATATGAATCTTGCATATCGGATGAAAACTGAAAAGTTCCTCCTGGGTTGTCATTTTCAAGAATGATAACCTTGACCTGTGTTGCGCCATGCTTTAAACGTTGTGTATCAGATGGACTGACATAAGTCAAGGTCACTGTCAATTCTTCATTAAGCTCAGGTAAATCATCTGGGTTAATCAGAATGGTAAAGTCTGCCTCTGATTTGTCTGCAAAGGAAATGTTTTATTACATGTATGACATTGTTATATTCTTTCTATTTTTTACAGCTTTATTTACCAGGTAATTTGAAGCTTCTTTCATCTAAGAATCAACTACATTCTTCATTGATAAAAATGTAGACACCTTTACTTAATTGCAGTTTTTCCCCCTATCCAACATATCCTCCTCTTTTAGTGGTAGTCCAAACTAAGTGTCTCCATCTTGTAGGGCCAACTTTGAAAAAAAACCTACTCATTTAATTGATTAATTGTTCATTTGTTTTTGTCTTGACTATGCATGAAATATTGCAACTATTTGTTAAAAAAACCAATAAGGAATCAAATCTATCTATACAAGAAAAATCACACAATAATACTTCATCAACCTATACTTCTAATCAAATATACATGTACAAACAAATAATAACTGTGCAAGGATATAATAGACTTTGTTTAATTACTGAACATATTTCATACCAAACCAAGCTAGCTACTATTTGAGTTACTTCCTAATCACTTATCTGTTACTATGACAACAAAATCTATTTGAGATCATTATCCTCCTGATTTTCTCAGTTATTATTGGTTAACCTTCAGTGCTGTTGACCATCTGATTACTTACCTGCTTCCATAACAGCAGTACCAGAAGTGGGTCCAGTATCTTCCTGGGTTACTGAGGCAGCATTGGTACCAGAACCGGCTAACGACCAGCTAATAACTGCCTGACCACTTGTACCTTCTCTGCTCAGTTTAAGATTAACCTGTAAAATGTAAGAGCTATAATTAGGTCAGTATCAATTATTGAATACTTTACTTAAGTGTCTAAAAAGCCTATGGTTGTCAACTGGTCACTTGCCTTTGTAAAATAACATAGCAGATCTTGTTTTACACAAGTAAACCAGTGCATTTTGCAGTTTTTTGCTGATGACCATAGCAAGACTCAAATATCTACATTATCACTGGTGATAAACTTAAATGCCAGTCAGTTAACTAGACTACTTGGCCATTAAGACCTTTTAAGAATTCTGGGTTCAAAAATAGTGAACAAGAAACTCACTCAGGTTACACATAAAACATGTATCTTTAATTTTTATGTACCGGTATACTCTTTCAGGGAACGTCAATAAAAAGATGAAAACTGTAACCTTATTGTAACTGAATTAACATCCTTTAAACATGTTAAAAAGGATGTTAATTAAATTCAAGTAACAAAATTATTTAACTTACAGAGTATGGACTGGTTTCTGGTTCACTAACAGTAACAGTATAAGTGTTCTGAAATCCAATCTCCCCATTGGCTTGTTGTATAGTGACTGGTATCTCTACTGTTGTTTTACTACCTAACTTTGGGGTGTTAAAGGCTCCTAGTGGTGGATCTGAAAGAATTATAGTAGAGTTGTAGTGGAATAGAAGTTATTTGAAAATATCAGTTCCACTGATATACCCTAGAATATTATTCACGGAAAAAGAATTATAGAATTAACATCGGACAGAGGAAATATTGTAATAATTTCTTCAAAGAATACTTAAGAGAATGGACAGAGGAGTGAAGCATTTATACATTCTCTATTCTAAGTAAATACATGTAATATGACTCTAGTAAATAAACAGCTGCGCCATGAGCGCATGATACGCCCGTGGTCTTGTGTGTGAATTTTTATGCAATAAGCATAAATAGTTTCTGACATACGGCGTGACATGCGAAAACCCCCTTTTTTTTTTACAAAAAACTCAATATCTCAAAAATATAATTTTGAATCAAAACCAAAAAGTATACAGATCTTTAGATTAATATAACTAAAAAGTGTGTAAAATTTTAAGCAATAATCATAAATCGTTTTTGAGATACGGCGCGACATGTGAAAAACCCCTCCCCCTTTTTTTACAAAATACTCAATAACTCAAAAATAAAATTTTGAATCATCACCAAAAAGTATACAGATCTTAAGATTAATATAACTAAGAAGTGTGTAAAGTTTTAAGCAATAATCATAAATTGTTTTTGAGATACGGCGCGACATGTGAAAAAAAACACACACCTGTTTTAGTTACTAAGTCCCGTAACTCAAAAAGTTTTAATCTTATTTTCACCAAAAAGTATACAGATCATTTGACCATCATAAGAAACAACTATGTTAAGTTTCATGAAATTTGGATAAGTCATTCTCAAGTTATGGTGCGACATGTTTACGCCGGACAGACAGACGGACAGACAGACGGACGCTGGACATTTGTATACCATAATACGTCCCGTCAAAAATTTGAAGGGCGTATAAAAAAAGAAAAATGTTAAGGTCATTTTTTTTTGCCATTTTTGTAAGTCATATATAAAAATTCTTAATTAAAAGGCATTTGGGCTATTTTAATTATAAACTAAAATGGTAATCATATAAACAAACCATAATTAAGATCAACACCAGTTAAGGTTGCAGTAAACTTTCCACCAACATGTAAGAATGCTGAACTGTTAATTGGAACTTTAAAAATCTGGCTACCGATTCCTGTTGTAAATATCGTCTGCCACTCTGATTTCTCTATAACATCTGAAATAATAATTTCTGATATATGTATTCTTCTGTCAATTTTGAGAAACTTGAGACAAACAATAAAAATAATTTGAAATTTTTAAACTGGACTTTTTGTCATTTGTATCTTAATGTACCTTATGAATTAGTTAGAAGGTAAACATTTTCAATTTCAAATTTTCTATATTTTACCGTCACTGATTATTTTTCACTGCCCGGTAACTTCTGTTTGTTTATATTTACCTCTGAAAGTTTTATTGGCCATTTAATGATTTCTTCCTAGCCCTCTGTGCATTACTGTCTAACATTAAATAGTGACAACTACCTGGTACATTTTTTGAAAGCCTTTTGTTTTTGGATTGCTGTCATATTGATATTAACTTTTTTTACCAATATAACCTGTTATATACCTTCTGTATCTCCTGGTCCCGTATAAACTACTGTCAGGTTGATGTTTACTGTTCCTTGGTTAAACCCTGTTCTAATAATTGTTAATTGTACATGTCTTGGATTGGATACCTGTATAAGACAGAAATAGAGATCAATCACCCATTATTTTTGTCTCATCTTGACATATCTTATACATGTTATAGCAGAGTACTTTTATCAATTTTCAATTTCGCAATATCTGAGCAGCGAAACTTACAATATATATATAAGTGATGTTCTCTTTCGTGAAGGAGTATTCATGTAAAATATGATTCAGTTATTTGTATGCAATTACCATTATTTTCAGCAAAAACCTACAAAATTCCTTTACTACAACACTGTTTTAACCATACTCTACGATCAAATTGCATGATTAAAATAATTTCACATGAATAATTGTTGTACAATATTTCCATAATTTTCCAAAAATTTCAGAGGCCACATGCATCTATTCCTCTTTTTACCAGATCATTCTGTACAACGTTGGAGAAAGAACTACCTTTGAAATACTTATTTGTTGTCTAGAAGATCTAAAATACTGTCAAGAAGATTTGAACATTGTTACAAAATATTTTACCATTAGCATAATTAACCTTAACCAGAGCTAAACCATAAATATGAAGCTTTGAAATTCAACCATGCATGTTAACAAACAAGGTCATGTATGAGTTCATCATATTTATTGATTAAAATGGGAATGGTTTTGATAGGAAGCAATTGTATCAAAGCAATAATATATGGCAACTGCTATCATACATAATCATTAATTCATGACACAATAAATCCTTCATGTTTTCCATCTTCAATCTATGATTTGATGGTTGCAACAATTAAGACTGCAGTATGCTATGTGTGACTGTGAAAGCCAACTTTCCTTAATTGCAACCATAGCCAAATTTTATCATAAAACCAGCCTGATACCTTATACCAATGATCAAATCTATTCAGATTATTAACTTTTTTTACTAAATAAAATATAGTCTAAGATGTAAGTTATTGAAAATTTAGCTAAGAGGTATGCTAAACTCTGGTGAATTTACCTTATTCTCACAAAAGTTCCTCTTTCAACAGCTATATAGTTTTAGACATACTGAATAAATTTGATCAAATATAAATAAATTAGTATATATATATATATATATATATATATTTAGTAAACAAGTCTAAATTGAAAACAACGTTCAAACCTATGATTGCGTTGGATAAAAACCGTTATTTTTATACATGTGCATGCAAAACAAATTTCTTGTTAGAGGGGTCTAAATACAGCACAAACAACATTTTTGCAAAAGACCAAAAAAGTGAAAAAGTATATTTTAACAAAACGCATTTGACTAGTAGGTCGAACAACTGATGTTCTTAAACCCTGCTGACTGCCATTGGCGATTGACAAAAATTTGTACACCATATCCAGATTTCTACAATTAATGTCTCTTCAGTGATGTTAGGAATCGAAACAGTATTTGGAAGGCCATATAATTTATCTCAATTTAGGATAGACTCTTGAATTTTGAAAGAGTCGAAATAGGATGAACGGATCATATAATCCTGAAAGCAAATATAATACAAGCCCAAACGAAATAATATAAACAAGTCTAAATTGAAAACAACGTTCAAACTCTTTCAAAATTCAAGAGTCTATCCTAACTTGAGGTAAATTATATGGCCTTCCAAATACCGTTTCGATTCCTAACATCACTGAAGAGACATTAATTGTCGAAATCTGGATATGGTGTACAAATTTTTGCACCTCATGTTTGCGATATACCATCTTTTCCGCAAGTTCATTGTTTTCTGTTTGGTAATAAATTAATAATAAGATCCATTTTTTACATCTGATGATCCGTTTATTTGTCAATCGCCAATGGCAGTCAGCAGGGTTTAAGAACATCAGTTGTTAGACATGCTAGTCAAATGCATTTTGTTAAAATATACTTTTTCACTTTTTTGGTCTTTTGGAAAAATGTTGTTTGTGCTGTATATATATTTAGTATATATATTAAACTAGCCATCTTGATAGTATTCCTGAATATCTTAGATTTGGATAAGTTTCTACTGCAATCTATAAACTAAATCCCAACAAACAAAACTTACCTCTGATGGTATTATTTCCTGTGTTAATTTAGATAATAAATTGGAAAAAAAAAATAGTAGCTATTGCAAAAATTTAAATCATTTTATACAGTAATACAATAAAAAGACCAAAATTCACCTTGTAAATAATCTGCTTTACCGCCCCCCCCCCCCCTTCCTCTCTCCCTTCCCCCCCAAAAAAACTCAAAACAAACATGAATCTTAACACTGTAACAGTAATAATGAAAATAAACTTCATTATCCTCTTTGGGGATGTCCATGAATTTTTAAATTTCAGGGCAGATTTTAAGAAGTTTTTAGACACAAGAAAAAATAAATTTTAGATTTGAAATTCTCTCCTTGTCTTGCCCTCAAAATTTCCTTTAAACTGTTTTCTACAGAGTATAAGTATGTGGGCCTTTAATCAACAACTTTACAACAAATTTCTATGGTGAAAAGGAAACAAATTTCTAAAACCACTTACCACAATGATTTGCTGTTGAGTATCATCTCCAAACTCTACAGTTCCATGATAATTATCACTATCCTCTATTAGTATTAATCCATTGATAACTCCATCAACTTTAGCTCCATCATTTACACTTCCAGGTAACAACTTGATTACAAAACGTTCAGGTGGCTCGGCAACAGAATCTTGAATTACGGTAACATTAATTTTAGCCTGAGACTGTCCTGCTTGGAATACAACACTTCCCTGTGTACTCAATATATCTCCACTCACCCCTCCAGAAAGGGTGTCGTTTCTTTGTATCTCCCATTGAACTGTCACAGTACCAAATGTACCTGCAGTTCGTAAAACTGTAAAATAATCTGAATTTTTACCATCTTCATTTAATTGGATAAGCGGCGATGAAACACCATCACTTCCTGGGCTGAAACTTATCACACCATTAGGATTATCATTTCCATTAATAAATATGGTTGTTTTGATTGGAGTTCCTGAAATGACATCACCTATTGCATTGGACAATAAAATCTGAAAACTTTCTTCAACTTCTGGATTGCTGTCATCTAGTATTTGTATCTGAATAAAAGCTTGTGTACTACCAGGACTGAAGACAAGCTGTCGATTACTAGGTCCTGTAAAGTCTAATCCATCTGAGGCAGTATCTGTCAATATTACAAAATCCACTGTGGCTAAACCATTGACAGATCCAATTCTACTCTGTCCATCACTTTCTAAACCTCGTAATACTGGAATCTGTATATTTTTAGTGCCTGGTCCTTCATCAAATCTGTATTCAGCCTACAAAAAATGGGAATATTACTGTTTGCTGATTACATATATACAAATTTATATCAAGATTATTAAACAGTATTATGTAGCAATGAAACCTTCGCACCACCACTTTTTTTTGGTGGAGAAGAATGCATTTTGGTGTTATTTTCAAACCAATTAATCCTAGATAAATACCACTGTATATTTTTTTCTTTTCATCACAATTTGGTCTATCAAAAAAAAATTTACATCTGTTGATTCTTTTTTTTTAAATTTTTATTCAACAACATATTGCACTACTGCTGTCAACAATTTATTTCACTAGTCCAGCATTCTAGTGAAATTATAGTGATGATTCTATTCCTATCCCATGACCTTTCACTGGAATCAAATTAGGGCATCTTTAATCTAATAAACCACATGACTTACCTGTTGGAATCTGATTGGAGCATCATTAGCCTGTATAATCAGTACCATTTCTGTGTCTAGTACCCTCGCACCCTGTGTAGCTCCAGTTAAGGTTATTATAAACTCTTCATTGTTTTCGGGTATCTAAAGTAGATAACCACAAGTAAACATTTTTTTTGTGTCTCAATGAAATTCAGTAAAAATTATTACTCAAATAAATTTTACACTCATTTAAATTCACAAACAGATTTGCTTATCATAATAAATGGGTTTTGGTGTCTCAGTTTACTGGACGGTTGGTATATTGTTATTCATTTCTATTAGGGAATACGATACAGTAGCAGGGGCAGATAATAACGTTTTCAAAACTGTTCGTGTTGTTTTCGCGACGTTGTTAATCAGAACGTTGTAATTTCGCAAAGTTTCTAATAAGAACGATTACATTTCGCGACGTCGTTTTAAATGTAGTCACATTTGCGGAAAATCCAGTGACGTCACAAATCCGGTTGCGCGAATTTGAAAAAAAAGTACCTGCCAAGAAAATCGGCCATATCATGAAAATTGTTATATTCATTCATTAATATTGAGGTCAATAGTATTAACTTGAAATGTGAAGAAAAAAAATTAAATCCACATTCATACTCTTGTATATGTTTTATTTCATATAGGAAATGAATAACAGATATGCAAATAATGATACGTCGATGAGACAGAAACCCACCTAAACAAAAAGACCAATAAGTAATTAAATGTAATTTAGATATCAACGTACTGTCTTGATCTATATATAATATCTACACCATTTGGAAAACTGTATGGAGAATTGTGCAAATAAATTTAACAGAGACTATCAACAAAATGACAAAATAACATGATTAATAAAGACAACGCCTCATACTGCACCTGACTTTGAATAAGTACATTAAAAAGTTTAACGGCATTTTTAGAATTTAACCCAGTGGAATACATATGTGTATGAAAAAGAACTGTCAGTTTAAAAGACCCAGTTATAAGCCCCGTATTATAGACGGAATGACGGACGGACAGACGGACAGGTGTAAAACAATACGCCACCCAACTTTCATTTGCGGGGGTATAAAAATACCCTGAAGACAAATAAACTTAGGCAACTTATCTATTGATACAAAATCATGCAATTTCATGATCTAATACCGACTGCTGTACTTCCTATGAAATGTTAAACTACACCGTAATGGACTTTATTGAGACAATTACGACATGAATTTGCTCGAAACAGCTCTAAATATACACCTTTTTGAACATGTTCAGAGTAGTTCTAAGCTGACCCGAGTTAATTTGGGTATGGTTTTGTGTTCATATAATGCCTATATAGTAGGCCGATAGTTTTCTTGATTGAATTGTTCACATTTTCATGTCGGGGCTTTTTAAAACTGACTAAACAGTGAGGCTTTTTTTTTGGTGAAGGCCGTGCGGTGACCCTTAATTGCGTTTATCTTCGTAATTTGAAATATGGTTGATAATTGTCTCATTGGCAATCATACCAACTGTCTTTATTTTTATATTATCCCACTTACTTGATAATTGTTTCATATTTTGTCTTGTTGGGACCTTTTGAATAATTAAAAATATGCCCAAGCTGTGTTGTCTGCATGAGTTGAAGGACTAATGTCGGACTGAGATGCAAATTATTTTTTATGCCAACGCCGTAGCGGAGGGGGCATTAAGTTTTACCCTTGTCCGTCTGTACGTACGTACGTACGTCCCAAAATTGGTTTCCGTTCTCTAACTTTAGTTTGCCTCAACCAAATGTTATGAAACTTATACACAACGCTTATTACCACAAAACACAGATCAAGTTTGAATTTTGGTGGCGTCACTTTTACCATTCTAGAGTTATGCCCCTTTACAAATGGAAAAATTGCTGAATTTTTCGTTTCCGTTCTCTAACTTTAGTTTGCCTCAACCAAATGTTATGAAACTTATACACAATGCTTATTACCACAAAACACAGATCAATAGATATAAGAAGATGTGGTATGAGTGCCATTGAGACAACTCTCCATCCAAGTCAAAATTTATAAAAGTAAACCATTATAGGTCACAGTACGGTCTTCAACACGGAGCCTTGGCTCACACCGAACAGTAAGCTATAAAGGGCCCCAAAAATTACTAGTGTAAAACCATTCAAACGGGAAAACCAACGGTCTAATCTATATAAAAAACGAGAAACGAGAAAAACTTATGAACCACATCAACAAACAACAACTACTGAACATCAGATTCCTGACTTAGGACAGGTGCAAACAAATGCAGCGGGTTTAAACGTTTTAATGGTACCAAACCTTCACCCTTTTTCCGAAACAATAGTGTAACATCACAACATAGAAAGACACACTATAAAATATCAACTGAAATAGCTTAACTCAATCAAAGGACATATTAACACCTTTGAACATACACTGAACAAATAAATTTGACCTATGACACAATGTAAATACAAAATAAATAAACTAAGGGAAGAATAATAAAAGTAACATGTTATATCGGTAAGAAATGTTAAACAATTAAAGAAAAACAATATGCTTGAACAAAAATATCAGCTATTTGCACTAACTTTAAACACAGGTAAATGAAAATAATTTTGTTGTTAGGTATACGTGTATATAGTACCAATGGAGAAAGGAAATAGTTTTACAAAATAAATAATTTTGATGTTCATAGTACATTTATAGTTATAGTTATACCAAACACTTATCAAAGCTGGTATATAGACCAGATATAACCCTGAATAACATTAAATAACAAAAAAGCAATACAATTAGTATCAACAGGTCAAATAAACAAGAAAGTACGATTTGAGAGTACTCGCAGTTACTGACAGCTAGTTAAAAGCCAAAACAATTAATAATAAAAAATCATGCATCAGAGACTAAAATCAACTAAAACACATCCCAGGGATTTAGTATTTTAACGTCATGGACAGTCAAAGAAGACATGAGAAGTTTGAATTTTGGTGGGGTCACTTTTACCGTTCTAGAGTTATGCCCCTTAACAAATGGAAAAAATTCTGAAATATTTGTTTCTGTTCTCTAATTTTAGTTTGCCTCAACCAAATGTTATGAAACTTATGCACAATGCTTATTACCGCAAAACTCAGATCAAGTACAAATTTGGGTAGCGTCACTTTTACAGTTCTTGAGTTATATCCCTTTATAACGTTATATGCAAGCGGGGGCATCATCTGTGTCCCATGGACACATTCCCCATTTATTTTTATTGTTATTATTATATTTTGATTATGAAATATTTATTTTTATCAAATTTATCTTTTTATGTTTCCGAACATTTCTTTTCTAAAAGTAATTTACTAGAATACTTTTTGTATCCAGCATGTCCAAGATTCGTAACAATTCATAAAGGTTTGGCAAATATTTTATGCTATTTTACGAGTAACCAGCTTTAAAAATTTTAATGAATAATATCATTGCTTTCGAAAAAAAAACTTGGCTATACCACTGAACTTGACAGCGTAATCATGAACGGCGGGAATGATTTTACGACGTTATTGCGATTAAAACTTATTTCAACGTAGTTTAGCGCCCTATTGGCAAACGTCCCGTTTGCAATTAAAAATCAAAGTTTATTGCTTTTATTGAAAAAACAAGCACATGGACCCCCAGTTTTTTCTTTTGCAATCAATCAAGTAATATTTAAAGAACACTCCGCCAAAATTTTAAGAAAAAATCAACGATCGATTTTTTTCTGCATTTCTGAATAGACGCAAAAATATTGTCAATTTCTTTATTTCACTAATAGTAAAGTAAATTCAGAAAACAACAATTTTGTTTAACCTTAAACTTGTTACAGCATGGTCATGCCATGGATCAAGGGAACATTTTACAAAAAACCCGGTTAAGTTATGACTGTTCGTTCAAAAGTATTGTAACTTTCTTTAAAAGTCCTTTTTTATGAAATTTCAGGGTTTTCCCTTCAAATATGCAAATTTCAAACCAAATTATCTCAAAAAGTAAGTCATGAAGGTATATTTTTCTTTGCATATTTCAAAAGTACACATCGAAATTGACCTTCTACCAAAATTTCAAGAAAAAATCAACCAGGGATCTCTACTGTATCGTATGCCCTTAAGGTCATGTAAAATTTGTCAAGGCATGGAGTAATATTATAGAGCTTTCACATGATGCAAGCACCAGCTTATTGTTGATGACTATATATATATGGTGAGCCCTCAATATAAAAATAAGGAGACGTGGTATGATTGCCTACGAGATAACTATTCACCAGAGTATAAATGATGCAGATATAAACAACTATAGGTCACCATAGGGCCTTCCAACAATGAGCAAAACTCTTATTCTATTATTTGCATTGTCAAATTACTGTTGTTTATGGAAGTCAATATTAGTGGATTTGAAAAAGGTTTCTTACTCATCATTTCTTAAATCTGGAGTTTGAGATTGGTAAAGTATATATTGTGTAATTCATGCTTTTTTTTTTCTTTTTGTGGTTTCATCAATCATTCTTCCATAAAATTAAAGTTTCAAGTTTCATATAAATCGTAGTTCATTTATAAATAAAAATTTGATTTTAAGGATAATCTTTACATTCTAAAAGATCTGAAATGCTTTAGTAAATGTGTTTTATGTCAATATTGTTCTTATAGTAAGAAATATATCATTGATATTGCCTATCACAATTTGATAATCAAGTGTATGACAATGTTTCCATGTATTACACATCAATATCTGATTTATCTAATTATTGGACAAGCTGTTACACATTTGTGTTGTCCTTACATTTGGTTTATGTCCTTTTGTATCATGGTGTACATTTAAAAAGTATTACAAATATAATCTATTGTAAATTGAATACTATAAAACTTTTTTTCAGTTTCAAAGACCTCAGGTTCTCTCTTAGAACTTGATCGTGCATTGTTGAACTAACATTATTTTGAAATATGTCACTAAAAGTGAAATCTTATTTTCGTTGGGTTGAGATGCAATTGATAATCAATGATTTTTAACTGGAGTTTATAATTTAATAAGACAAAACAATTTTTGATAAACAACTCAAAAAATTAGTCAAGCAACAGTTGCTTAAATCCATGTCATTTGGACTCTTGTGGATTGTTGTCTCGTTGGGAATGGCAATCATACCACATCTCCTTATTCTATATTTACTATAAAACCTGAGTGGTGAACCAGACATACAAATTACTATGGAACAAACAAGTCTAACAGTTGAATAATTCATGTAAATTCAAACATCTTTGCACTGTTTAAATCATTGGCAATATTCCCTCTTCAATAATAGACAGGTGTCCATACAATATGCCAACTTTAAAATATCCCACCCTGAGTCATCAATAATTATGACTAAATTAAACAGAAATTATCAAAGACATGTCATCAACACCAAATTATATAAACAGTATATTTACATTATCATCTTTAATTTGAATATATAAGTAAGTCTGAGCTTCACCCGCTTGGAACACAACAATTCCAGATTTGGGTGTAATGTCTTCTCCTGGGATGGCGTCTGCTTGGGTACTGTTTACCTGTATTATAATAGAAAGTTTTGTCTTGCAAAGTTTTAAGTAATGCATATTATATCTAATGACTGAAAATGTATCAACAGAGCTTAAAAAGAAAAATCCATGAGACATGCAATTTGAGCCTGAGCAAGATTCTTTCAATACAGAATAATTATATAAATACGTCTCGTTAAATTGAAATTGAAAACGACAATGGTTGAAAGCTCCACACTTATAAGGTTTGTGTTGAAAATAATTTGTAGTGGTTCACCCTTGAATAAATTAACAATACACAATTTACAGAAAAACTAACCACAAAAGTAACTGTAACTTGACCATTTGCTCCTCGATCTCTGCCAACACGTAATTTGACTGGTGTTATGATGTCTGCTTCTGTTACCAATGTATGAGAACTCTGGAAAATAATTAAGTTAAGAACAAAAGATATAGCAAACTCTTTTAATTAGGGTAAACTTAGTTTGTTTTCTGCTTCCACATTTGATGTGATTTGAGGGAGGGAGGTTATGTACATTGAAGAATGAAGGAAAACTTTTCATATCATCAAGAAAAATATTATTAGGCTAAACACTGAAATTGTGCATGTCTATCTATTTGCACAAATTACTAGGAAATATAGGCCTTTCAGCATGATTATCTGCCAAACATGATGCACCAACCTTCTTATCTTATTCAGGGTCTGATCCAGGTTTTTTGAATGGGGTAGGGGTGTAATTCCATAAAATGTAATAGATACCACGGAGTGAGGTGAAAAGATTTTAGACAATGATTAAAATCATGAAAAACATGAGATTTTTTTTATGGTGAAAAAAGGGGGGGGGGGGGGGATAAAAAAGATATGTGATTTTTAAATATATTTGTCAAATCCCTAACTTAAAGACTGCAAAGGAGCAGCACTCTTTTACTTACATCAAGAAAGCTAAATACTCCATAAGCATCATCATTAGCTGAAATTGTTATAGCTGCAATGTATGGTGTATCCACAGTTACACCACTACTTATAGCTGACAGTTCAAAGGTGAAGGTCTCTTCGACCTCAGGAAATGAGTCATCAGTGACAGTGAAGGTCACAGCTACAACATCAGGGCCTCCTGGATAAAAAGATCCAACCTGACTACTACCAACAAAATCACTTCCTGTATCTAGTGGACTTTTTACCTGTCAACAGAAACATAAAGTTATTATGTGATTACAATTGCTAACTCTGTATTGATCAAGGATCTAGAAAAAATACCAGGGAGGCTGGGGTATAAAAGAGTTGTAACTTTGGCATGCTATCTGCATGTTGAAAGACCTAGAGCTACAAATTTTCAAAGTGGCCCATAGATGACCTGCTGTTTTTGAAATGCTCATGTCAATTAAATAGATTGACCTTAGATGACTACCAATATGCATAAAAAATCAAAACATATAAGCCCAAAAAAATCTTTTTCTTCCTACATAAAGGACAGGGTTCACTAAGGGCAAAATATGGCTTGAATTTCAACGTTTATCATAAGATATCATAATGGCCATGATTTGGTTCTTAAATGGATTTATTTCAAAAGCCTAACTGCTGGGTAAAACAAATTTCTTCATAATGGTACAGAATAGGCTCCAAAGTCAGCCCATTTTTGAGATATTGTCAAAATAAGATGATTTTACTCATTTTTCAGAACTGAAAGCTTTAGGAAAACCTTGGCCGCAACCTACAATCCAAAATATGCTATAACCAAAAGGTGTAAAGTTTAATATTGAATCCCTAGACACAAAAATTTTCTGGATGAGGGATGGCAGCCAAAGTAAATTATGGAAAAAACTGTTATGAATTGAGGAAAATTTGGACCAAAACTGACATAACAACACAATTAATGTATTATCAAGGGGTCATAACTTCCTAATTCATAATGTAAAGTCATTTTGTATAAACAGTATTTAAAAAAACATCAAAATGTTAGGGCCAATATTAGCCCTTCATGAACATTCTTCTTTCTTTGGAATAATTAATCTCCCATAAGTTATAGCTAATTCATGATAATCAGCAAAATATTTGCATCTTTATATGAGTGTAATAAGAACCCTTGACCTTAAACTTTATTTTTTTATTTCTGTATGATTCATTAAGAAGAAACTGTTGTATATTACCTTGTAATATTACACCTCAATCTTTCATATAAATCTCATTAATCTGAGTTAACTCTTAGCCAAAAAAGATGAAATAAACTTAAGATCTCCTTATTATTCCATTTTTCTTTACCATGAGACCTTAGTAATTATAAATTACGTTTTTATTCTATGTTATCCTGCAAAAATTAAAGGCATACACAATTGTCAATGAAAAAAAATGAATTAAGGGATTTAGTTGGCCTGCAAACAAAGTAGTGTGACAGGATCTAATTTTTTTTTCTGTTTTTATTTTGTAATCTTTCCTTTAAAATCAAGTTTAAAAATAAGGATTAATTAATTTTTTTAAAAGCTACCTTCACCATTTTTTAACTTCCAGTACACAAAAGAGAAAGATTTCTTTGAGAATTGTCTTGCCGATGATTTTTTACACTTACTGCCACTACTGTATTGAGGACAGAGGTGATAAGTCCTGTTTTCTGTATACGTATTTGGAACTGCTGTCCTTCATCCACTAACAGTGCTGTATCTAATAGCTTGACTGTTACTTGTCCATAAGTCTGAACTACTAGTACCAGTAACCAAATATATCTTATCATCTTATAGTTATGTCATTTATCTGAAACAATATCATGATCAAAATTAAACAGATTGAATTTTGACCTCCGGACCTTTTCTGCGGCTTTTAGTTGCTGCCTTGTGGAAGTATACCCAACAATGACTAATCATAACATGGTTGAGTGGCGATATTGTCTGGGTGCATTGATGGAAATTTGCACTAAAATTAATGCTACTCCTTCAAGCAAAGCAGAGCAGAGTACAGAGATTTTGGCTGTACTAGCTGTGTAAACCTCTTTGATTTTGATGCTTGAACATTGTATGTGTTTAGCTTTCCAAACTTTTGGTCTTGAGAGTAACTGGAAAAGGTTATTCCCAAAACAGGTTGTGAATGCTGTTATTAAATATGGGCAAAAAGGAACACTGAACAACACATGATAAGTAACTAAAAGAAGACAGTAACTCCTTTATTGCTGTGTATAGTTTTCAAGCATTGTTGTGTGGTCTCAAATATATAAAATGTGCCATTAACCAAAGACAAGCTATAAAATCAAGACAAAGGAGTTTTCAGTGGCGTAGCTAAGCCATTTTTAAGTGTACGCCCGAACCTCGGCGAGGGGTTTGAGGGTCCCCAGCGGGTATAGGGCAAGGGACCTCCCAGCAGGGGTCCGACGGAAGCTAACGATTTATTGAGAGAGAGATACTATTTCTGTCATTAAAACTCATCAATAGCAACATACTAGTACTTTAAAGTCTAATTTCTTGATTTTTTCATGTATAATTTATTCAGTGTGTTGATTTGGAATCTAATGGCCAATAGTTGTTACTATGAAATATGTTTAAAAGGAGATGTGGGGTAAAACAATCAATCGACCAAAGATCCAAACCTTTCGAAATATAAAAAATGCAAGTTTACATTTTCAATGGTGTCGTTCTTTTGATTATTATGACTTAATCTAGTTTTCTCCCCTTTTATGCGCAAATTTCGTTAATGGACAAGTACATACAATAATAAATCTTCATAGATGGTCATGTGTGATATAAACATACTCAAAGGGTTCCGTGGAATCCTGTGTTTCGCCTGGGATTGCTGCTGTCGGTTAAACTATAAAAAGTGAATCCATTTATCAGTCAAATACAGGATTTAAAAGAAATCAAACTTTTCTTTAAATGTTTTTCTTGATCTTGGAAGATAAGCTTCTGTCCAAGTTTCATAACAATCTATGAAAGTTTACAAATGTAGCAGGTGAAAAATATTTAATTCAAGACCGTCTGCTAATTGCCCCAAAAAATGGTAAAACACTGAAAAATGAAAAAAAATATTGTTTAGACTGAAATTTGCTGACTGTTGTAAAAGTTTTGAAATCATTTAAAAATAAAGGAATATATCTCCCCCATGCAAAGCTCTGGTTCTTTGTCCGGAATTAGCGATACTTTATATACGCTTTATTTTGATCAGCTCTTCCAATTTTTTTATTAGGTTTTGGATTTTCAAATATTTCGGCCTCGTGCATCACTGATGAGACATTAATTGTGGAATTGCGCATCTGGTGCAAAAAAAAATCGTACAGTTGGTGTTAACATTTTCACATAAAATTCGATGAAGTTTTGACAAAGTAATTGATGCGTAACAAACAGTATCCACTTGTTAACTAATAAAAACAATGTTCTATTCAGTAAAATGCGGAAAAATTAAAAGTAAATTTTCATAATTATGCTCTGGATACTCTTTTGATCATAAAAAAGTTTCTGCCTTTATTCTGTAAAATTTCATAAAGGTTTTACAAATTCATTGATGTTTTAAAAAAAAATTAACCACGGGCTGAACATAAATATTGACGACGCCAACGCCGATAACGGAATGTCTCGCAGGCTCAACAAAACTGCATATCGTATCTCAGCAGATAATGAATTGCTTTAAACTATAGGAAAGGGAGGATAATTCACAGTAGATTCAGATTTTGACAGAAAACGAACAAATAAATAATATGATACCATTTGATTAAAAAGTAAATTTCTTGCGACTGTTATCTTCAATTACAAGTCAGTGGAGAAAGAACTACAAGGCTCATGTGCTTTTAGCCAGATCTTTTAATTTATTTAGATTAAAATATTTTTTCTCCAAATTTCATGTGTACGCCCGGGCGTTTTGACGTAAACGTAGCTACGCGCCTGGTTTTATAGTGGCATATTTATTAAGTTTTTAGATATTTCTTTATTTGGTGCTGGCAACCTTATAGACAGCAGACTAAAGGCATTCTTTCATCTCATTAAAATGTAATGTGTATTACATGACCATAAAAGGATTTTATGTATTAAAGAGACTATATCCCTGACATATGGGGGATATTACACATATTTATTGGCATTTGATGTTGATTAATCAATTTTTGTTTGAAGAAAGAATTGATTACCAGTTATTTTACCTTTATGAAAGTTTCTCATTTCATTTTTGCTTTAAACATCTGTTATCTTTAGCTATATATTAATAGGGAGTAAGACTTTGTCTATAAGAGTGAGCTACGACTGCCATTGAATGTATTTCTAATCCAAACATATAAATGAACTGTAATACAAACCCCATGACTTTTTGAAACACTTTCTTAGTATATTTCAGTGTGAATAAAATCTAGTCCTTCTCATCAAAGATTTTTTTAGCAGTAATCTATGAATATGAAAAAGTCTTCCATTTAAGTCTATGTTTCAGTAAGGTTGGAGCAATTTAATTCATTGTTGAAAGTCATCCAGTGACTGTTAAGATGATAAAAAGCTAAACAGTGTTATTATCTAGATACATGAGTTATTTCCTAGTAATCTTGAGGTTATGATTTCATCTATATCCATTCTAAATCCATTGTCTTGAAATCTGGTTGTCATCAAAAATCAAAATATGATGCAGACCTTAATCAAAGATCTTTAGTGCCCGTATTAACAAGTCATGTCATGTCTTATGTCTGTCAGATACTATTTCTTTGTTTGATGAGGGTCGTAAAAAGGGGTATGTGTACAAACAAACAAAAATAAACTGTGCATTACTCTTTAAAAAAAAAAAACAGCTTCCATGTGTTCTTTTTACTGATTCACACGAAACACAATGAATACTGAGCTTACAGCAGGTAAATAACCCATCCGACAAAAAACTGAAAGACGTCTAGAGGTCAGCATTCTGTCTCCAACAATAGAAAGGAATCTAAACAATATGTTAGGTCTTAAATCACCTAGAGTCTAGATGTGAAGTGAATAAATGTAAAGTACATTATCGACCATTCCTAGCCTATATCACCCTGCTCAGTCGCTCCGTAATTCTTGCATCATGGCTTTCAAATGTGTGCAGACATTATCAGTGACATCACAATGTCTGAGGAGAAGTTATCAGCAACGTCACAAATTGTGAGGAGATGTTATCAAGCTTACTTTTGTCCAGCGTAAAACTGTCTAAGGAAGACAGAAAAGACAAGAAATAGTACTATAAACAGATTATTGAATTTTCTGCTTATAGATATCGTAAAATATCAGCGACTCGACACGATGTGAAGTTGTTGAGCTCGTTTGCTACACTCACTTGCTCAAAAGGTGTACATTGTGGCACGCGTCTGATATTTTACAATGTTGATGTGTAGAAAATCCAATAATCTATACCTACAAAAAATCTGCAATCAATACTTAGCTCCCCATAAATGATAAAATAACATTAAGAGTTAGATATAAGTTGAAGGTTTTTATGAAGAATTAACTGTCACTGTTAGTCTTTCCACTGTTAGTCACTTCTGCAGTATTGTTTCTTTATAATACAGTGTTATGTTCAAAACTTCAGCACAACTTCATCAAGTTTACAAAACAAAAATCATTAATCATGTCTCCCGAAAACATATAGTCAGGGTCATGTAGGGTGGTTGAAAGATTTTATCATATACTCCTCACTCAACAACCCATATTATGTCTTGACTTCCTACGATAAATAATAAAAAGACGAGGTATAAACAAGAATGCATGTCTTATTGTGCTCTGCATACCCTAACTGGTAATTGAAAGTACCTGAAAACAGGAAGAAGGTGCAGGAACAGATCCAAAAGGTGCACCTACATTACAACTCATCCCTGTTAGGCTGCTGCAAATTCAAAAGCACTCTATTCAGAAGTACTTGAGAAAAGTGTGACAAAATATTTTAAGATGATTCAACATATATTGAAAAATTCAAAGTACAAATGTATCAGCAAACAGGAAGATGGTGTCTGAAAGATCTGAAAAGTGCTGATTACTTACAACTAATCACCATTAAGCTTCTGACTAAAGTTAAAGTCAATCTATTCAGTTGTACATGAGTAAAGTGTGACAGAAATATCTGGATGGACAATTTGAATACAACATAGCCCCCACTTTAAGAGTTGGGGTATAACATGTTCAATTGTTTTATACTAATGAAAAATCTAATTCACATCTGTAAAGGCATGAAATTATACTGATCGATATAGCACATTGTGTTTCTGAGAGATTGGTATTCAATTCACAACTTAACCACATTTTGCTGAAGTGTAGAATGAATGTCACAGTGACTTCTTTTTTACAGAAATTGTGTATTTAACCAAAGTCACTAATGCATGAAAAGAAGGTCAAGTTCACCTAATTTTATTGTAGACCTTCATCACTACAAAAGATGTATCAAATGACAATAGATCATTCCTCTGTTAAAATTAGATCAAAACGTTGATGCAAAAACTAACCAAAGCCAGTCATGTGTAAAAAGAAGATCAAGGTGACCTTATTTTAGTGTGGACCTTTGTCACTAAACATGATCATGTATCAACTGACAACAAATCATTCTTCTAGGATTTGTATCAATTGCTTAAATCTGGACCTTAGTGCAAAATTTAACCAAAGCCTTTCAAGTGTAAAATGATGGTCAAAGTGACCTTATTTAATGGTGAACATGATGCAGAGCTACAAAAGATTATTCCTTTATGATTTGTAGCTGCTTAGATCTAGTCCTTATCACAAAACTTAATCATATGGACAAATGAAGGGACAAAATGCTGTATCCCTCCTCAACTT